GTGACGTAGCTTGCGGTGGTCCACGGAATAGATCCTAGCTGCAACTCGAAGGCGCAAATTTGGGTCGCTTTGCATAGCTTGGATAGCTAGCACTAATTTACTTTCATCATTTTTATGGCGCATGTTTTGTTGTGGAGGAATTTAACATTTAGTTGGGGGGGTTGGTCACCGCATCATTTTGGCACTTTCGCTTGTTTGGCACTTTCGTTATACATGCACGTTATGTAATATTTGACTATTTGAATAAGTTAATGTGCGTGCATAACGAATGATACAACATAACGAATGATACACTACCTTGAATCCACACAACTCCTCTAGTAAACAGTAAATCCCTTCACAACAAAAGATGCCGCAGAAAAACGATGAACGCCAAGTTATATTAGTGTAATGGTGGGTGCACCAGATGTGAGAATCTAGCCACCCAAGGAAGGGATGATTTTACTAAGACAACACACTGTCTTAGGAAACAGAGCCAAAGGGTTGTAGCTTAGACTATTCCACAACGCAGCAATCAGGTGTATGATGTGGTGAAGTGGGTTAGACAAGTTGCAACGAATGTTGAGTCTGGGAACTCAGGGGTAAGTCAGAGGTTAACACCTCACTGACTTTTCAGAAACAAGGAGTAACAAGATGAATGCTTGGAAGCTTGTAAAAGACGTGGAAGTATGTGATAGTCGGTTTACTGTATTGTCTGCTTGCCCTTTCTTAAGGAAAGGGCAATCCTATTTATGCCAAAGGAGTGTAGTTCTCTCATTTTCCATGACTTTCCATGACTAACCAGGCTTGGTAAATGTATTAGAAATCAAGTGCGACCCACAACTAGCTTGCTAATCATGTAGCGAATGTAAGAGAATCCCATAGAACCATCTCTTGGGTTCCTAGCCTATAGGAAGTGAAAAGGAGGTCCAAGGTCAGAGTACCTATAGATAAATTATGTCATAACTTAACCAATCTTGTGGGTAACTAAGGAGCGATGACGTGTAATGAATCATAGAGGGTTGTAGAAGCTTCTAGAGCTATCGTTCATGTTCCTAGGCCTCTAGTTGGTAGAGATATGCCATGTGGTAGTATTGGCCCACCCCCTTAAGTGTCATACTGACATTCGTTGCACTCAGTTTGCTATCAAACTCAAGAGCAAACTTAGAAATCTCCTCCTCAAACCTACAAGTCACCATACATATCTTGGCTTATCACACCAACAACAGAAGCAATACTACTCAACGATTGCTGCAAACTCTTCTACTACATCTGTTTATGCTACATACATCACGGCATATCATTTGGACACTCATTGAACAAGTTATTAAGAAAATCTCCTCCTTAAGGGGGTGGGTCAATACTACCACATGGCATATCTCTACCAACTAGAGGCCTAGGAACATGAACGATAGCTCTAGAAGCTTCTACAACCCTCTATGATTCATTACACGTCATCGCTCCTTAGTTACCCACAAGATTGGTTAAGTTATGACATAATTTGTCTATAGGTACTCTGACCTTGGACCTCCTTTTCACTTCCTATAGGCTAGGAACCCAAGAGATGGTTCTATGGGATTCTCTTACATTCGCTACATGATTAGCAAGCTAGTTGTGGGTCGCACTTGATTTCTAATACATTTACCAAGCCTGGTTAGTCATGGAAAGTCATGGAAAATGAGAGAACTACACTCCTTTGGCATAAATAGGATTGCCCTTTCCTTAAGAAAGGGCAAGCAGGCAATACAGTAAATCGACTATCACATACTTCCACGTCTTTTACAAGCTTCCAAGCATTCATCTTGTTACTCCTTGTTTCTGAAAAGTCAGTGAGGTGTTAACCTCTGACTTACCCCTGAGTTCCCAGACTCAACATTCGTTGCAACTTGTCTAACCCACTTCACCACATCATACACCTGATTGCTGCGTTGTGGAATAGTCTAAGCTACAACCCTTTGGCTCTGTTTCCTAAGACAGTGTGTTGTCTTAGTAAATTCATCCCTTCCTTGGGTGGCTAGATTCTCATATCTGGTGCACCCACCATTACATTAAGGAGGAGATTTTCTTAATAACTTGTTCAATGAGTGTCCAAATGATATGCCGTGATGTATGTAGCATAAACAGATGTAGTAGAAGAGTTTGCAGCAATCGTTGAGTAGTATTGCTTTGTTGTTGGTGTGATAAGCCAAGATATGTATGGTGACTTGTAGGTTTGAGGAGGAGATTTCTAAGTTTGCTCTTGAGTTTAATAGTGTAAGGACACAGGGAATACGGCTCTCCGTAGGTGCATATGGGAGTGCGAGTCGGAGGTGATGCTGTATTCTATCCTATAGGTCTACTACGAAGGATACAAAAAAGATGAAGGGGGAACCCCGTTGAGTCTGTTTCCTTAACTCCCGAAACGGGCCCGACTCGGTTATCCCAACCCTAGCCCTGAACCTTCCACCGCAACAGGTCTACATCAGCCCTGAACCCTATACACTTACCGTCCCCCACTATAGTGTAACTCGCTATATGATCCTCTACTGGTTCGAAACCCCACCGAGTCGGATTCCATGTTTGTAGTGACCGTAACAGTTCTGAGACAGGTTCTTCGAGTATCTAGGTACGGAGGCATCCTTACAAATAGCAAACTGAGTGCAACGAATGTCAGTATGACAATTAGCTCTTCAGGCGATGCAAAATGACCCTAAGCTAAGTGCTCGAGCTGCTGGAAAGCTCTATTCTGTCGATCATCAGAAGCTTAGTCGTCGTAAGCATGGTATGCATTCACGACGCAATATTTCTGCCAATTTGCGGAAAATGACCGACTTAGAGGAATCAATCCTTGTCCAGTATATTCTCGACCTAGCTGCTAAAGGATTTCCTCCCCGATTGTCTGTTGTGGGAGATATTGCAAATCGACTTCTCGCGACATGCGACGCGTTACCTGTCAAGACGCGCTGGGCTTCCAACTTTGTTAAACGTCGCATAGAACTCAAAACAAGGTTCCAGCGCAAATACGACTATCAGAGGGCTAAATGCGAAGACCCAGTAATTATTCGTAGCTGGTTTGAGCTTGTGCGAAACACAATTGTGAAGTACGGCATCCACGATGCGGATATTTACAACTTCGATGAGACAGGGTTTATGATGGGCATTATTTCAACTGCAACAGTGGTAACAAGCTCTGATGGACATACGAAGGCAAAGAAGTACAGCCTGGCAATCGTGAATGGGCTACAGTAATACAGGGTGTTAATTCCCAAGGCTGGGCGATTCCACCATTTATTATTGTTGCAGGCAAAAACCACCTCATGTCTTGGTATGAAAACAGTGGATTTCCACCAAACTGGGTAATTGCTGTTACAGATAATGGTTGGACAACAAATGAGAAAGGCATGGATTGGATCCGACATTTCGAGAAGCATACAAAACCTCGAACTGTAGGTGGTTATCGTTTGTTGATCGTTGATGGTCATGAAAGCCATCACTCAGACGAATTTGAGGAATACTGCAAGGAAAACAATATTATCACTCTATGTATGCCGGCTCATTCTTTCTCATATCCTCCAACCACTCAATGTTGGGTGTTTTGGCCCACTGAAAAGGGCTTATGGGCAGCAAATCGAAAACATGATGCAGGCTCACATCACGCATATTACAAAGGATGACTTCTTTCCCGCATTTCACGCTGCTTTCTTTATTGCAATGACTGAAAACAACATCTGAGGAGGCTTCCGAGGCACTGGGTTTTTCCCATTTGATCCTGATAGTGTGGTTTCTATGCTTGATCTCAGATTTAGAACCCCGACACCACAAAACTCCCGCCCTAGCACCGCTCAACCTTGGGTTTCCCAGACACCAAATAACCAAAATGAAGCCTTATCACAGACAGCTTTCATTAAAAATCGAATTGCACATCATCAAAATAGCTCACCAACCTCTATTTACAATGCTGTTGACCAATTTGCAAAGGGAGCATCACAAATGATGTATCAATTAGCATTGTTAAAAGCAGAGAACGAAATGCTTCAGCAAGGGATGGAACAACTTAGCAAACGCAGAAGGGCTAAAAAACACGCCTACAGCAAGGAGATCACTTACACAACACGAAGCACAAGAGTTACAAGATGAGAGGGACCTTGCGCAACAAGTAAAGCAAGAAACACAGGCAGGGAGTGGTCGGAAGCCAAGGAAAGAAACACGCGCAAGGCGCTGTGGCAACTGTGGTGGCACAAAACACAATGCACGCACCTGTCAGATGGTAATAGAGGTATCTGAGGATGAGTATTCTACATAGCTTTAATTGATTTATAGCGTTGTAGTGGAATTATCATAGTATTTGTTAAGTGAGCACATTGGACTGTATCATTCGTTATGTTGTATCATTCGTTATGCACGCACGTTAGTCATGATTATTATAATATATTTAGTAAGCCAGCTCTCTAATGGCGGAGGCTGTAGGTGTAGGCTCTGGAGCTAGTAGACTGTAGAAAATATCATACTTCTATTAGCTCTAAGCCCTAGGTAATACTGCTTAAGGATCCATTTCTTAAGGGCTTCTGCACAGTCCGAGCTCGCCGTTTGAGGCTCATCCGTAGTGTTGATTCGGAGACTTTGAAAATGCGACAGGTAGCAATTATAGACTCAGAAGGGTTTTCTGCAAGCCACTCATGGGCATTTGATATAGGAGTCCCCTCCTATACCCCTTCCCCATACTCAGCCCCTACCAACTACATAATTCAACTGCAGCTGACACCAAACTAGCCCACTTACTTAATCCCCCCATCATCCTTCCCCACCTTCCCCGGCGATTGACGCTGCACGAAATAATTAAATAATTTTGACGACATGCATTGCATCCTCGTCCCTTCTCCCGCGGCCCCTCGGCACACCACGAAAACGGCGGTACAGGACGTCATTCCCTCCCCAGCCCGCCGTTCCCGCTTCCTTGTCCCATGTCCCGTGTCCCCCGCAACGTGAAGAATCTAAAACAATAACATTCGTCGTACCCTGCACCTACTTGTACATCTCACGTCGCACACAACATCATTTTTCTTTTTGGAAGTAACACTTATCACTTTCAATACCACCTCGCCCATACAGACCCAATTACTCTTTACCACCCACCACCTATTATCACATACACATCTCATCTACCCCGCCACCAACCAACCAACCAACCAAACCACCAAAGCAATGGCTCCCCTAACCCCCACCTGGCCCCAGCCCTCCCACGGCGACATCCAAGAGGTCGTCGTCAACGACGCAGCATTCACCTCCAAGTCCCTCTCCAAAGTCACCGTCGCGCCCTACGGCGTCTTCGCCAAGATCGATTTCCTGCCCGCCACGCCAGCGAGCGAACCCACCTACGCCACGGTGCAGCAAGGACGAGATACGCATTTGAATCTGAATAGCGATTTAGTTTATATTAACCATAGTTGTGATCCTAGTTTGGTTGGTCTTCCCCTCCCTTCCCAACCCCCATCCCCCCTCAACCCGCTCCCCCAGTTCCCCCGCACCCCCAGACCTCAAGGCGGAGAGAGCAACGAGGATTGAGGAATAGAACCCCAACTAACCTCCCCCCAACAGATCCTCGACATCCCAACCCTCTCCTTCCTCGCCGGCCCCCGCGGCCTCCGCCCCGCCGACGAACTAACCTTCTTCTACCCCTCCACCGAATGGGCCATGGCGCAACCCTTCACCTGTTTCTGCTCCTCCCCCCACTGCCGGGGCGTAATCAACGGCGCCGGCGCTATGAGCCAGAAATCCCTTGAGGGGATCTATTTGAACGGGTATATCAGGGATATGCTTGCTGAGAGATGGGTGAGGGAGAGTAATGGCGTGAAGGGGGGGGAGAAGGCGAGGGTGAATGGGGAGAGGGGCGTGACGAGTAGGGAGTTGAGTGGGGAGATGGGGGGGGATACTGTTAGGGCTTAAATCGGGGGGGAGGCTCAACGCTGGGGGAGGGGGGTGGAGAGGAGGTGTGGAGAGGAGGTGCGCTCTGCGCAGTGGATTCAACATCCTTGAAAAGCTTAGTTGGTTTTTGCATGTTTTATGCTTTTTAGACAGATTAGATACGTTGCGAGTGGTTTCAGACGAGGGTTGGATAATTATCTTTCTTTCGTAATCTTCTGTCTCTGGTCTAATCTATCCCTTGATCGACACTCCCGCCGCCATCCCGAGGCAACGATCACACGTACACACACGCCCTTGACTCCAGCAGCTGCAGCCTGGCCCATTGCATCCGCCTCGCTCTTGGAAAAAATAAAAACAAACAGCCCTATCAACAAATATCCAAACCTAGATATACCCCAATCCCATCCCGCTCACCAAACCCCAAAAAACACACAGCCATCGAAACGAAGCCCCGAGAAAAGGAGCGTCCTGAGCTCCCCCCAAAAGTGATCCTTAACACCAACTCCCCGAAAGCAAAAACAAAACAAAAAAAGTATAGCTGTCGCAGCCCAAGCCCCCCTATCGCCTTCCATTACCCCTTCCGAACACCAAACGCACACAAAAAGTACTAATACAGTAGTCTCTGACCCAGAAAAAATACACAACACAAAAAAAAAACGGATAGAAGGATAGAAGGATCACATAATCCCCGTCTTAACCTTCCTCCTCATCGACCCCCCTGTGACCACCCCCAACGCACTAAGCGTATTCTCCGACGGCCCCGACGGTCCAGATAGAGACTTCGACCTCGTAGTAGGGGGCATCGGTTCCGGGTCATCCGACGACCCCGCCGCCTCCCTCGACTCCGCAACGCTATTCTTCAAGCTCTGTCGCAGCTTCTCATCAAAGATACTGACCAGCCTCTCGCTATACTGGTCCAACAACCCCGCCAGCGCAGCCTCGCTGATCTTCCGGGTCTTAAGACTCTTCTCCAGGACAGCTTGGGCGGTTAATCGGAGCTCCTGGTCTAGTTCCTTCAGACCATCCTCTTTGATCGTCTCGGAGCTGGTTAATTTCTTCCGATACGCGCGCAGCGTCCGACAGACTTGCTCAGTCGCCATATTCACGCTGCCAAACTCATTATAACTCGCCGGCCCAGCACTCTTATTGCGCCCCCGCAAATCAACAAGCGATGCCTTGCGAGCCCCCAGATTACTCCGGCCCTTTGGCGAAGGAGGCGGCGAACGGGAGCGATTGCGCGCCGATGACCGGCGCAAACCGCTCGCGTCGTCGGAGGAGGCGAAGCTATAGGGGCCTGCCATGGCGGGGATAGGCGGCATAGAGAGCTTGGAGGAGTTGGCGTTCATGGAGTACTTTGAAGTTTTGCGGCGGAGGAGGCGCGGGGGGGAGGTGCGGCCGGTGGGGGTGGTTGCTGTGGAGGGGCGGGAGAATTCGGCGAGCTCGGCTTTGGAGAGGACGCGGCGGAGGGGGGGCATGTTGGAGGTGAGTTCCTTGGGGGGTGAGGAGTCGTCGGGGGTGAGGGTCGGTTCGGGGTATATTATTTCTGGGGTGCGGGTGCTGAGATCCCAGATCATGATTGTTGAGTCGGAGCCCGTAGAGATGAGCGTGGTCTGCTCTGGAGTCTCCAACAAGGCAACGTCAGTGACGGAGCTTGTGTGGCCGAATCCACGGTCCAAGAACGAGCCAGTGCAACCATCATATATCCTGACAGACTTGTCGGTTCCAGAAACGCCGGCCAAAATCAGAGGTCGTCCTGGCATCAGCTTCCCCATCTTCAAAGAATCCATCACGACGGCGTCATTCCCATCCGTGTCGGCAGCTTTGAAGGTGGAAAGCATCTTTCCTGTCGTAATGTCGAATGTAGCAACCGTGCGGTCCATCATCGAAACAATCACTGAAGTGACGGAGGGGTCATTATCAGTCGTTGTCATCGAGACTGGTGTTGCTTTCAGGGTGATAACCCTAATAGGGATCGCTGCAATGACCTGCTGGTCACCGACTTCCTTCGTGACAATCTGCCGTATTTGAATCGTACGATCAGAGCTGCTCGAGATAATCTTATCCCCGTCATCACAGAAGCATACACTCGTCACGCTCCCAGTGTGCTCATCCATGGTCTGCAGCAAGACCCACGTATCCCCCATCCTCTTGAAAAGTTGAACTGTGCGGTCCCTACCAGAGGTCGCAACCAATGTCATCGTCTTTCCTTCATATATCGCAATGTCCTCGACATCCGAGTTGTGCGCCTTCGCTACAAACGAACAGGTATGTTTGGGGGTATCTATAATCCGTATAACGCCGTATTTATCGCCTGCCACAAAGAAGCTTCCACCATCTGAGGCTCGTACAACCAGACACTGGTTGATAACTTCCTCTTCGCCACCACCCACTTGCTCTAGATCGATTTGGAATGATCCTTTGCAATGGCCCTCTAAATCCCAGAATATAACATTTCCTGCAGAGTCCCATGACAAGAAGTCTGCGCTAAGACTATTTGGGCTCAGCAGCCTCACGCCCATCACTGAACCTCGGTGGGCTGTAAGAGGGGTTACATGCCCAGACTCTTCCGAGCCATCTTTCATGATCTTGATGGCATGGCGTGAATCGACAGTAACCACGTGTCCATTTATAATAGACATGGCGCAAAGATTGCCGTCTGAAGTCTCGGCAGCACTGTTGAAATCCTCCTCAAATGGCGACGATGGTGGGGTACTCGGCGTCAGGAGTTCATCAAAGGTCATAATCTTAGTCGCGCCCAAGCGGCCACCAATCCGTATTAACTTGCGCGATGCATCTACAGACACGCATGTCACGGCAAATTCGGCATGAGCTACCTTGAGTAATTGGTTCTGATCGTTATTGTCGTCGACCAGGGCAATATGGCCTTTCTCCGAGCATACGACAGCTTTCGTTTCAGAAATGCTAGCAGCGCAGCTGAACGTCGCGTCGATCAAACCCCCAAGCAGGCAATTTCTGCCGCTGAGAGTTCTCGTGACGGTTGCTGGAGTTGAGGCAGTGCCGTCGAGATTGAACCTCTGTTTCAGAGGTGATGAACTCGTGTTGTCCTCAACTCTCCAGACCTTCACGTGGCGCGTGCCAACACTGTCAAGTTAGCATTAGAAAGGGGCCGACTGGAATGGGATGCATACGTTATTAGACTGTTTCCCATCCACATCATGCTTTTAATGCTGCTAGTGCACTTGTTGCTCGCGTGTAGCCTGGCAGCGCCAGTGCTCGATATGCGCCACATGTAGAGAAAGCCGTCATTTGGAGAACCCAAAGTGGCTAGGTGGCGTCCATCGGGACTAAACGAAACAGCTGTGACGCCGAAAGTATGCTCGTTCAATATGACGAGCGGAGCATCTGATGACTCTTGGAGGTTGAATATCAGCACCCTAGGTGTATAGCCCGTCTCGCCCACGGCGAGAAATCGCCCATCCCTGCTGATAGACAGGCATGTCGCGGCCTTGATTCTCTCCCTGCTTGTCCAGGTTTTCGAGAGGGGCGAATCGCTCCAGACTGCGCGAGAGGTGGTTGGCGTCGAAGGGGAGAATCCAATGGCAGATTCTCGTAGAGATGCGCCCGTTCTGTTTCGTGAATCGTTCGCGGTGTTCATGGGGGTTGATGGAGTCGTCGCAGCTGCGGGTATCACTGGTACGGCGGTCGGATGCGCCCTGAAGAATCGCTGAGAGTATTGCGAGTCCTCCTCTAACTGGACGACGACGACGGCAGCGCCCGCGACATATGCGAAAATGTTGCCATTTGACAGGCTATCGAATCCAGTTGGGGAGCTGACGGTGGTCCCTAGGATCCTCTTCAACGAGAGACCAGCTTCGTACAGAGGTCGGCATTTGTTTGGGGAGCGCGGCGTGCGTGGGTATGGCGGGTTGTTTGGCGTCGGCTTGATCCCCAAGCCGCTGTTGGCGGCAATCGTCCGTGGATTCGAGGGTGTAAACAACATATTTCAGCCATGTGCTGTCGCTCAGTCCAATGAGTGTTTGTTCAGCGATGGTTGTAGTTGAGAGAGAAAGGTGCCTTGCTGCGCATTCTTGGGGGGTTGTTTGTAAAGAACGAGTCGCTGGGGGCGTGAAATCTGTAGTCGACAAAAGATGGGTGTTTATCACAACAAGAGAGGTGGGAGGTGAATCAAGGTGAAATTTAACAGGGTATAACGCGTGCTGATGTTTTATGAACGAGAGACAAGAAATCAGAAGCGACGAAGAAGAGAGAGAGAGGATGAAGGGAAATTGCGAGGATTCAAATGGCTTGGCTTGAATTGCTGAAGGAGTGGAAGTAATGAGGGGAGTATTTTTTGACGATATGAAGATATTTCTCCCTTCTGTCGTCGGGGTCAAGGGGAGAGAGAGCTCTGGGCATGGACGGGAGCTTCCTTCTTGCCCTAAAGGTCCAAGCTTTCCGGATTGGGAAGACGCGAGCGCGTTTTGGGATTCTGGGGGGGTCAGTAGATGCCTGAGGTATTACTTTTACCACTATCACCACTCTTAGGACTACTTTACTTCTTTACTGTCCTAAGAATGGTGATAGTGATAAAAGTGGTACCTCAGGCACTAACTAGTTAACTATAACTAGGAACTATAACTAAGTTAGGTAACTTAGTTATAGTTAGTTAGGTAACTTAGCATAGTTCAGTGCAAAGTAACTCATACACCAAAACACTGCCAGTAGATACTTACTTACCTGTAGCCTGGTAGTTGGGGGTCACTGAGAGTGCTATTAGTAAATTCTCCCCTATGAAACTACAAAAATTGGATTTGTGTGTGTGTGGAATTAAAATGGAGCTTGGCAGAAAGTTGAGGGTAAAAGGGAGAATGAATACATGGAGATTCAACCATCCCCAGACTCTCCAACAACCTCCTCTGCTTACTTATTGCCTCAATTGACACTCCCAATTCAAGATCAGCTACAATTCTTGCTCGACAATGTCCAGCCGCCTGCCACGAAGCCTGGCACACGCCGCCGTCCGTTCCCCGTCCCCGTCCCCCTCCGTTCCCAGCCGACATCGTTCCACAGCTGCGGCATTCGGGCCCCGACGCTTCCCCGCCAAAATGTTCCCCTCCCACCCCTCATTACGTCTGTCCATGATTTCGGAGCAAATAAAACAATCCTCCCCCGCTCTGAACTCGAGAGGCCTGCAAACCACTTCAACACGATCAATCAACACTACAACTACAAACAACACAACTACAATGTCTCGTCCTACCCTCCTCATTCCAGGTCCCATCGAGTTCGATGATGCCGTCCTCCAGGCCATGAGCCACCACAGGTACGAAATGACGTCCTTCTGAAGCTCTCCTTGAAACCCCTCCAATGCTTACCCCTCCCCCTCCAGCGAGAGCCACACAGCCCCCGGCTTCATCTCGGTCTTCGGCGACACCCTCACCCAACTCCGCCAACTCTTCCAAACCACCTCCCCCGCCTCGCAGCCCCTCGTCGTCTCCGGCTCCGGCACCCTAGGCTGGGACCTCGTCGCCGCCAACCTCTCCGAAGCCGGCGACAACGCGCTGGTCCTGCACACCGGTTACTTCGCCAACTCCTTCGCCGACTGCCTCGAGACGTACGGCGCGAATGTTACGCAGCTCAAGGCCCCCATCGGGAGCAGGCCGCAGCTGCCGGAGATTGAGAAGGCGCTGAAGGAGAAGAAGTATAAGCTTGTCACAGTCACTCACGTTGATACGTCGACTGGTGTCCTGAGCGACCTTAAGGAGTTGTCGGAGCTCATCCAGCGCGTGTCTCCTGAGACCCTCCTCGTTGTCGATGGTGTCTGCAGTGTCGGATCGGAGGAAGTCCTCTTCGACGAGTGGAAACTCGACGTCGTCCTTACCGGCTCCCAGAAGGGTCTTGGTTGCCCAGCTGGCCTGTCTATCAACATGTACTCCGGCCGCGCCATCGAGGTCTTCAAGGCCCGCAAAACCCCTCCCGCATCCTACTTCGCCTCGCTCAAGAACTGGATCCCTAGTAAGCTTTCCCACCCCATTTCGCCCCCTCCCTTCCCCACCCAACTTCCCCACCCAACTTCCTCACCCAACTTCCCCATACCACATCCGACCGGACGAACTCTAACAACTACACAGTCATGCAAAACTACGAAGCCAAAAAGCCCTCCTACTTCGCCACCCCCTCCCCCCAACTAATCCACGCCCTCCACACCTCCCTCACCCAAATCCTCTCCCTCCCCCTCTCCACCCGCTTCGCCGCCCAAAAAGCCGCATCCGCCCGCGTCAAGTCCGCCGTCGCCTCTCTCGGTCTCAAGCAGATCGCTCTCAACCCCGCTGACCAGGCAAACGGTATGACCACCATCTACCTCCCCGAGGGCGTTGCGGTGCCGACGATCCTGCCGGTGTTGTTGAAGAAGGGGGTTATTTTTGCGGGGGGGTTGCATAAGGAGATTGCGAGCAAGTATATTAGGGTTGGGCATATGGGGGTTAGTGTGCATGATGCGGGGAGGGGGGATGTGGAGAAGGCGATTAGGGCGCTGGGAGAGGCGTTGGAGGAGGTGGGGTATAAGAAGGCTTAGGGGGGGGGGAAGATGATGAGAAGGGTTTGTATAAATTGAATTATTATAAGTATACTTCCGTTTAATAGATGATGAGAATGGTGGGTTGCTATATCGACTGTCCCCGTGAAGTGATTTGTATCCCACCACCCCAGAATCCCCAACCCAACCTTCCAAACACAGAAAGCCCCATCCGAATCACCTACCCAGAGAGCACCAGCGCCATATCTCCAGTAGCACGCGCACATGAATACGTCCCCCCCACACAAAGTCCGGGGAACAAAGCATCCACTCATTTGATGACACCGGAGCGGGAGGATATGGTGGGGTTACGGCGCAAGATGACGGCACCAGTACCGTTGAGATGGAAGAAGCATATGTGCGTAGGGGTTTCTGCTGTCATCACGTTCCTACTGTCACCGCCCCCCTCCCCACCACCGCACCTCTAGCGATGCCATAAACTGATCCTTGGGGCGTTCGAGAGAGTATTGCAAGAATTCCATCTGGGATTCATCATCACCACCCATTGTTGCTACCACAGCTTTCGCTGAGATGCTGATTATGATGTACGTTTCATAAATCTCTATATAGAAAGCGTTGAGTTGAGTTGTTGTATCTTGATACGTCGTAGAATACACAACAGCTATAATCATATAGCTGTTGTGTATTCTACGACGTATCTGTGAGGTTGTCGATGAGGTTATATATGATCTGGCTGATTGCTTTGGCTTCTTCAGTCCCTCGTCCGTGGTCCCTCCAAGTTATGCTTGATTTCACTTTATCCTTTGCGAATCCATAGTTCTACGAAATACATTCTGTTTGCCGTCAGGGAACCTATATATAACATCTTTTGCTCGCCTTCAACGAATTTATATTATACTCAACTTAGTGAATTCTTGAAGGGGGTCCTGCGGGGTGGTGGATAAATCTGGAAATAAAATGAAACCAACTATAAGAAGGGAAGTGAGGCTGCTTTACGTTCTGACACCAACTATAATGTCTCGTAAGCTAGATGAGCCCTCATCAAGTCCAACCAGAATGTCCACATATACGACAATGATGGTCAAGTTCTGGTTGAAGGACGGCTGCAATATATTATACGGCGATAGTAGTATATGGTGCGAGGAGTGTTTGGAGATCACAGTATACAGTGACAGCAGTATGTTATGACGGGAGACGGTGGCAGGATTACTCACACGGTGACAGCAGGAACCCCTATTTTTCACTTTCGCATCCTCACACATCATTCAGCCTCACCAAGGATCTCGATTTGGCTGTAGTATTTGACAGCAGGTTGGATGGGGCTGCGACGTATTTGGGAATTTGTCGAGTCCGAACATCAGCCTTGTGAGAAATTCCTGGAGGGTCTTCAAATACACTTGCTTTCACTTGAGAGTTTCTATCGATGCAGCAGTATTTTTCCTCCTGCTCCATTGCTCTTTTGTGCATTCAATGCTGTCATTCTGGAATAGTTGGATATTTTTCGGGTGTGAGCACTGCCCAAACCTTGGGATCTTACTGATATCCTGTACAGGCACATAGATCCGGACCTAATTTGGTGTTGGCTGAAAAAAAGACGGGGGGGTATTTGGAGGCGGTTTTTATACTGTGGTGTGGCCTTTGGAAGTGCTCAGGGGTGCAGGGAGAGCTCTCCAGTATCACAAAAAATTTGAAGTCATCGTCGTAATTATTGGAAGCAGTGTTTAGCCCGAGTTGCAGCCCATATAGGGTATCAATCAAATCACCACGCATAGTAATAGAAAAGGTTATCAAGTAGAAGTACGACAACTAATACGACAGTAGCGACGAATCGAAGCGCTCATGTGGTAAAACAAGAGCTGCAGCAAGAGTAGGCGCGAGGAAAACTAGATTGAGATTGAAATATCTGCCATTGCGGGAGACCGTTTGAGATATCACCGTTGATATCTCGCGAGTTTATCGATGAATGTGTCAAGGTTCTCACCGTCACTGTCCCCACGATAGTCCTTATCGCCATCCTCATAATCATCATTGTCGCTGTCGTCTCCGACAAAGTCGTCAAGCTCATCGTCATCGCCCTCATCATTGTCATAATCTTCATCGTGGTCCCCATCATCCTTGGCAACGCTCATTTCCTCGCTTTTGTCGCCATCCGCGTCATTCCTTTTATCATCCTCAGCAACTGATGTTTTGTCGACTTCCCCATCATCCTGATCATTTTAGCAACTGATATTCGGCTTCCCCGTCATCTTTGTCATCTTCAGTAACCGCCTTTCCGTCCCTTTCCCCGTCATTTCCATCATTCCTCTCCGCAGGTTTTATTTTCCCCATCAGGAACCTCCGTCCGTCTTTGAAGCTGCCTACACTGTTAGTAAGCCCCAGCACCAATCCATCAACAGGCAGCATCCACCACTTACCTTCTCATCAATTGACCCCTTGATCCCCTCCCTCTTCTTCAACGTCTCAAACAACTCCGTCGTGCTCTTCTTTAGCTCCACAGTCGAATCATTGAGCCTCTCCAGCACCCCGTACAAGACCTCGTCCGGCTCCACCTTCATATCCACCAGCGCCCCCTTGAGCGCGTCTTGGAGGTCTTTGATATCACACATGCAGCCATTTTCCGCACTCTGCGGTTTTTTACATAGGCTTCTTCGAGTGAGGCGAGCTTGGCCTTGGCGGAGAGGATCTTACGCTCTTCTTCAGCTTCGGAGTCGATGTCCGGCTCCTCGGTTGCTGCCTTGATTTGAGAGGCCATTGGGGAAGCGCCAGAGACTGAGGCTGGCGCGGTGGGTGGCGCTGTATCGGAGGGTGTGAGCGGTTCAATGGCGTATTTTTATTGGTTTGGGATGTCGACGAGGGAACGTTGCCGGGGGAATCTGTGTCTGAGATTATGGTGGGTTTATCGGTGGTGTTTTCCTTGGTTTTAGAAGTCATCGAGGGAGCGTCGGACAAGTCGGAGTCGGAGTCTGTAGCTGATACATTAGCCTTTTTCTTGGTTCAACAAGATAGTGGGCAGTCACCATCTTCATTTGACTCAGGCACGGCGTAGCGCTTGGGTTGAGTAAGTCGGGGACGAAGATTTCGAGTAGGGCGGTCTGCCTCCGGCGAGGGGGGCGTTTGCGTGTAGAAGATGGGGGTCGAAGATTTCGAGGAGGATATTCAATCAGTCGTAGCAGGTTCTGGAGTTGCTCGGGTGTTAAAGAGGGCGTAGCGCCGATTGGATCCATTGTATTGTGAGATCTTTTGTGCCTACGAGGGATAATAGCCTGGGAGTGCGGTGTGTGAGTTCGAGCAGTGAGACTGGAATTGCGAAGTTGTAACAGGGAAGTTGAAGAGAGGAAAATGTGAAAATATGAACTTAAGAGGAAATATACAAATGAAAGCACGCCTGACGTAACTAAACAGTAAACCTGGTGGTGTATCTGGGTGTAGTGGTGATAACTTCAAAGTAGCATGGTAAGATTCGAGACCGATAATGCGACAGGCCCAAGAATATGGAAAGGCAAGGTGGCGGAGAAGGGGTGAAAGGTTCACCAAGAAAGATCTAGGGTGTCACAAATTCAAGACAGGGCTCCGAATAACGATATTGGATGGCAACTTGCCTATTATATTTACCACTGCACTGACTCCACAGAGTGTGCAACAACTATTTCGATATCACCATGACTTCGCCTTACCAAACCCCCAAAACGCCCGCTAAATCCAATCCACAGCCTACCCAATACAGTATCTCCAATCTCACCTCAATTCACCTCCCCCTCAAATCCGGATCAACCTCGGTCCCCAGGTCATTCCCCTCCATAAACACCCTATTCCTCAGAGCATCAGGCATATACTCTTGCTTCACCCTCCCATCCTTATAATTCGGGTTATACTTATACTCCGCCCCGTACCCCAACTCCTTCATCAGCTTCGTCGGCGCATTCCTGAGATGCACAGGGATAGGGAGACTGGCCACCCCTGGCTCCCCAAGCGCCGCGTAGGCGTTATTCAGACTTCGATATGATCGCGTTGATTTAGGGGCGAGTGAGAGCGCTACGGTGCAATGGCCTAGTGCGATCCGGCATTCGGGCATACCTATCTTCTCAACTGCTGTGTAGGTGGCGGTTGCTAGGGAGAGCATGCTGTTGTCCGCCAGGCCGACGTCTTCAGATGCTACGACCACTAGCCGCCGGGCGATGAACAGAGGGTCTTCGCCCGATTGCAGCATGCGTGCCAGATAGTACAGTGCGGCCGTTGGGTCGGACCCTCGGATCGACTTGTGCAGTGCGGAGATCGTGTCGTAGTGCTGGTCGCCAGCACGGTCGTAGACGAGGGTCTTGGTAAGGGCGGTTTTGATGTCCTCTTTTGTCGTATCCGGCCTGTTGGATATGGAGGCGGAGAGTTCAAGGAGGTTCAGCGCTGTGCGTGCGTCACCATCCGAGAATGCTGCCAGGTAGGCGATCAGTTCCGAATCAACCAGTTCTGAGGGTTTTGTATCCAGGACGCCTTCAGTGGTAAGAGCCCGTTCCAGTATCAGACGTATATGCTCATCTGTGAGCTTCTGTAACGTAAAAGTCCGGCACCGTGATAACAGTGCATTCTGGACTTTGAACGAGGGGTTCTCGGTCGTGGCCCCTATCAGCGTGATCTGGCCCGACTCGACAGGCCCTAAGAACACATCCTGCTGCGACTTTGAGAAGCGGTGGATCTCATCGCAGAATATAATTGTTTTCCGGCCAGTGAGACCCAGCTCGCCCCGCGCCTCGGCAAAGATCTTCTTGCACTCCCCAACCCCCGAACTCGTACTGTTGATTTCGACGAAGCGGCTCCCGACCATAGAGGCAATGCACCGAGCTATCGTGGTCTTGCCCGTTCCCGCTCCGCCCCAGAGGATCATCGATGGTACGCGGTCTTGCTCGATGAGGTTTCGAAGGATTCCTTTGGGTCCAACTAATTCCTGGCCGCATACATCGTCGAGGGTTCGAGGTCGCATCCGCTCTGCGAGAGGCGCTGCCTTGTGAAAGGCATTGACCTTTGGCTTCTTTGCTGTCGGCGGCTGTTCATTTTCTACAGGTTCTCGTCGAACTGCAGGCGTTTCCTCCTCGAATGACCGTTTTCTCTGAGACGACAACGGCGTACTCTGCACATCATTTATCGAAGGTTTCGAGTCTCCATTTGTGCTAGACTTCGGGGTGCTAATCGGAAGGCTTCGCTTGGGCCCAGGTGTCTGGAAGAAGTTCGAGAGGCCATTTCCAGCCGGTTGAGTAGATGGTTGGGTACTATCGATGTGGGTTTCGCAATTGGAATCGATGTGGTGATTGATATCCTTTGGCTTAACAAGCTTATCACATATCGGGCAAGCAACCATTGTGAACTTTATATAATATAAATCCCAAACCACTCGCGCCTCCCTTAGTCGCGAGTCTGGTCTGGGAGGCGCGTTTTGGCGGTGTGTAGTGGCAAAATAGTTAATTAGCGGAATATACATAACCCGATAGTAGTGGCCTGGAAATAGGGGTACGGGGCAACTCTACGGACGGGACCAGGCAAGAGAGAGATAGGGGCAACATGCAATATGGGTTTAACGGTAGTTGGTATCAAGAGCAGACTACTATGTTGACTACAAAAGCTATATATGAGGACCTTGCTTCTGAAAATTTGAAGAGGGAGGTTTAGAGAGCGTTCAGGATAGGATAGCAGTGTAAGCTGCCTTTGGCTGGAAGTTCGCGTCAAAGAGAAGCGGGTTGCTGCTTGCTCTGCAGGAGTCTGGGTCACGCACACCCCAAACGGTCACACCGACACACTTGACCTTGTTGAGGCAGCCATTTACAACATTGACGTAGTCGGTAGCCGATGCACCGACAATGTCCAGCTCAGTGACAGCAACCTCGGAGACACCAGAAGCAGCAAGGACCTTGATGGCGCCTGCCAAACCAGCGCCACCACCAGACTGGAGATGGCCTTGAGTTCCGATACCGTCAATTGGGACGCCAGCAGCGATCCACTTCTTGACGTGTGCGGCCATGCCGGTGGTGACCTTGGCGTATGTGGCACTGTCAAGTTGTAGTTGTTGATGTACAGCTTGGCGTTGGGGTCTGCAGCGCGTGCAGCCTTGAAAGCAATGCTGACGAAATCCTCCGCAAGGACCCTGGAGAAGACAGAGTCACGCATGGAGCCGTCCTCGTTGAAAATCTCATTGACGACATCCCACTATTATCATTAGTCTCTGCTCACCAACTGACTATAGATATAGACTTACTTGAAGGATCTTGCCCTTGTAGCGAGTCATGACGGTGGTGACGTGGTTTTGGATGACGCATATCAATGTCGCCTTGTCGGTAATCGCACTCACCCATGATGGGAGCTGGCTGTGCCAGACTGAGAATGTTAGTCAAGACCAAACAACGGCCAGGTTCGACAGAACTCACCCAGGGTGTTGCCACGGATCAGTTTTCCGTTGGTCTGGGCCCAGTTCACTAGATAATCGGCTCCAGTCCAGCCAAAGTTGCCTTGCTATGCTGCATATTGTCAGCTTTAATCAAGAGCCATGGTTCGGTCGACTCACGTTCAATGGAATCCCACTTCATGCTGTTCTCCGGGGTGGCTTGACTAAAGTCTGCCTGGATGATCAGAGCGCTTCCGCTGGTCAATCTGCCCTGGTCTGTGGCAGTGCCGATGTACTTCTTGCCGTGTGCCTTGAATCTTATATCGATGCTGCCGCTGGTGGAGCCGCCCTCTGTGTTGCTAGGGTTTGAGGCGGTCGTGGTCGGGGTGCCGCTTCTAGGGTCGCTCGAGGAGACTGGCGGAGAGGTACCCGGGAGGCACTGGGAGTACCCTAGAAAGGTTAGAGTGGTTATATGGGTTGAATGTCTAACCTGCAGGCACTATTATCTAGTTTCTGCGTTCCAACTGATATAGAAATACACTTACTTGGAGAAGGTGCAAACAGAGCCTGACACGTGGACCAGTCCAGCCAGTTCCACCGCGTGTAATTGTCAGAACAGCTCACATGTTCAAGACTTCAATACTCACCTTAATATGCGGGAGAAGTCGAATTGAAGCAGAAGCGGCAGGGAAATAACGTTGTTACCCAAACCATCCATGGGATGTTGCCTGCGTTGCATAATGCTTATAGTGCCAGGTGGATACACTACCGTATCACGCGCATTGTATCGTCTTGACACCCCTGGCACTAGATTTTCCGTCCAGAAACTTCCCTTGCTGCTACCACCAAGCAGTAAACAAGCCCCCTCCCCAATAATGGTTTGTTTCTGTGTGTGGAGTGTATGACCTGTGAGGGAAAAAGCAGATAACGATCGATTGTTAGGCGACCTTAAAGGCGCAAAAAATAACAAAGAGGTTTCTGGAAACCTGGGGCTGGACATCAGAGTAACCCCTGATCCCCATCCCCATACTCCTGATCTTCCAGATCTGTACCAGAACGCTTCTCCGAGGCTGCTTTTAGTGCCCAAGAAGTGCGAACAGAAGCAAAATGATCATAAATCGATGACACTTGAAGTCGGTTCGGTGGACAAAATTCATGTTATCCAGCATGCTTCCCACGGCTGAGCACTGAAGTTCAGTACCAAACAAATATCAAGAACACGGTGTATCAATGTCAAGCACAATTACAAAAACCAATCCATTCGCGCGTTCTATCCTACAGTATCCCTCCCCAAATCCCCAACTCCGAACCTCCCCAACTCCAAACCGCCCCCACCTCCACCCCCATCCTCCTCTCCAGCTCGCCGTAAAGGGTCCTCAGACGAGAACTTTGGTGTCAGAGCCGCCGCCAGGCTCTTTCATCGCAGTTCCCGCATCACCAATCGAGCTCGAGCTCCGGCATGGAAGCCGCAACTCTGTGCCGGCTTCCACGCCGACGAGCCTCGAAGGTGACCCCACCTATCGTCACCGTCTCGACCTCGAGGTGAATGCCAACTGGTTGTTGGCGGCAACCAGTTGCTTCGTGGCCCTCGAGGCCGGACCGTGACAAGGATGTCAGGGCCGAGGGTGGTACGCCGGCTCCCATGAGCTCGGCGACCAAATGAGAGTGGGCCGTGGAGGGAGTAGCCATGGTCAGTATGCCTCGTGCATACTCACCTCCACGATCCTGCTCGAGAGCAGGATCCTCCACAATTGATGTCAACTCCAGCTCGCGCTGGAGTGACGCGCGGGAGGTGACAGATGGTGGGGGCTTGGTATTGCCATGTCCCGCCGACTCATCTTCACGACTTGGAGCTGGGCCAGCTCCAGGCTCCAAGTCCTCCGCGATTGACGTCGCAACGCCAGATTCCGTCTGTGTTCCAACGGAACACGATGTGAACCCAGTGTCAGTCTGGGTCCCAACTAACACACGAGACTCAACACTGGGTTGAACGGATCTGGCGTTGCGACGGTTCTTTTTCTTCGAGGCCGTCGTGACAGCCGATGTGCCCGGTGGCCGAGATGCAGTGACCCATTCCTGTTGCTCAGGAAGAGGCGCGATCCACTTGCCTCTCTTTGGCTTGACATTCTCCTGAGCAACAGGATACGGAAGCTGTGCCAAATGAGAAGGGCCGGCAGAGATCGGGTTTGTATCATTCGAAGAATGTTCCAGCGAGCGAGGCAATGTCTGAGACGGGTCGGCGATGGATGTGGCGTTATCGGCCACATTGGAAACAGATATGAGGGATTGACCTGGAAGCTTCGGATGAAGGTCGGCAACATGCCCCTCATTGGTTGCGCCATTTGAAGAAAGTTCTGGGACATGCTCCAAAACCCGAGGTGGATTCATCGACTGGTAAGTAGTCTCGTTTCCTTGAGCAGTTGTCTCTGGAAGGGCCCCGGAGGATTCAGATAATTGCAGAAGCTCTGATGCAGCGGTCGGAGTCATTGAGGTTCCAAGTGCTGATGCACGGGATAAGGTACGCATACGAATAAAGTCAATGCTCTGGCGCCTCTCCTCCTTCACGCTGGCTCGGCGGGCTCTCGCTTCCTCGAGGCTTGGTGGTGGTGGCTGCGCTCTCAACTCAGCAATAACCCGAGCTCTATCCTCGTTGATGGACTGGGGCCCATGGGTTGATGCAATATGAGCTCCAGTGTGATTTGAAGTGGCACTGGCGGCAGCAATAACCCGAGAAATTACTTGGGCCTCCACTGAAGCGGCAGCTTGAAGGTCCACTGCATCTTTGGTTGGGGCTTGGGCAGATGCTGTGCCTCCAAGTGGGGCATCAGTTCGAGAAGATGTTGTATGTATAGCTGGGGCAACAGCTTGACGAGATACCGATTTCTTGGCGATGCTTGTGCCTATTGTAGCAATGGTCGTAGATGAAATTGCTTCATTTCTGGCAAGGACTGAGACTGAAACTGAGACTTCTGGAATTATTTGGCCCTGAGCCAGCTGTCCAGCTTGGTCCTCGGATTGGGCAGTGAGTTGAGAAGATTCCTGGCCATGGCTTGACGTGGAGACACGAAGGTTTGTCTGGCGTTGGTTTGCAATAATACTTTTTCCGTCCTTGATCGTTTCAGAGATTCTGGCTTCAGTTTTGTTTGTAGTCGCCTCTTCCAGAAGATGGATGACGTCGGGGGTCTCATCTGTGGTAAACTCGAAGTCATTATCTTCAGTAAATGCCTCCAAAGTTTCCTCGACCTTTGTGGTCTCATCTGCTATCCATTCAGTTAGAGCTACGTCTACACCGGTAACTTTGGGATATTAAACTCACAATTAATCTCCGTAATCTCAGCTTGAACGGTAGCAACACCGCTGGCTTCACCGGCCTGCTCAACTCCATCAATCTTGCGCTTCGTCCTACGGCGCTTGTTCTTGCCTGTTTTCGCTTTTGGTCGCTTTTGGATGAACATGACTGGTTCAAGCCTTGAAAAGCCCCGACTCGATATCGGAATGACCTCCAAACCATAATATAGTTTCGAAACGTTGTTGAAATTCGGAAAGCCTGGATTTCTTCCTTCCATGTTCGCGATACAGTCCTGGGTATCATTGTTCAGACATGTCTGGATCAAGAATCGATGGTTGTCTTTCGCAAACTGATGGAGGTCATCGTGGGTTGGAGAGATGATTGGTGCCTCATCATCAGTATTGGTCTTGCAGCAAAGTGTGTCGATTGAGTCATGCTCGATCTGAAGCGCCTCTGGGTCTTTAGTGAATATTTCGATAATGGTCTCATTGTGGGCCTTCATTCTATTGTAGAGAAAGTCCGTGCTCCATACAGTTTGGCCAAATGTAGTGCCAATGTAGATATAGGGAATGGTGGAGTTTGAAGACGGGAGGCCGTGGCTTGCAGAAAGACGTGAATTCTCATAACCCTGTGATTATTAGTGAATAGGTTTCGTGTGTCTTCACACAGCTATAACTTACCTCAACCCAAATCCTGAGATCGATAAAGCCCTCTTGCTCCCCCAACTTTTTCTCCAGTCTGGTGGCTTGGTAGCCAGTTTTCTGCCAGAAAGCTTCTGGTATGATGCAAGTAGTAAAGTTGTGGCTAATATTGGCATCATACACTGTGTTGGCGTAGGAAGTCATCGTATTTACTGTGACTGGTGATACTGGTGCGATTCCTAGAACGTGATTCCAAAGGAATACCAAGAAGTTATTGTCAAGGTTTCCGGCAGCTGTTTCGTTCCTGTTGACAATCTGGTGCGAGAGAGCAATCCAGGCCCTGTTTATGATACTGGCAGGTATGGCAAAGCCACTCGTATTGGTGATCCGCACAAAAGCTGGAATGCTGAGCTTCTCCTCTTCTGGTGCTTTGCCGCCACCGTCTTTGCTGCTAATAGTCGACATTGTTAGCATAGTTGTAGAACAAGGTTGAAAATAACTGTGAATTTGACAGAAAGAAAGTCGAAAGTAGTGTGGAGTGTTTGGGATGTTGTTGGCGATGTTTGGGGTGTGGTGGCGCCGAGGATCGATCTGGCCAAAGATGGCAACAGGTGCAGTAGTGAAGTCAATCTGCTTGAGAGATATTTGGGATATCCATGTGCCAGTGAAGGTTGTATGAGGAAATGTGAAAGGTGTAGGGGGAATCGGTAGATTGTAGGTGAGACGGGCACTCCGCTCGTTTTCCGGTGAAGGTGTAGGGGCAGTCCGCTCGGGTCGCCCGTGCAACGTAGAAGCAACCGGAAGAGTGTAGGTGAGAAGGACTGCCTGCTCTGGTTGCTAGGGAAGCTATGGCTCTTCTGGGGAATGAGAACGGGGGTGACCCCGGTCACAAATCTCCGCCAAACTGACGCAGGCCAATGAGCTAGCGGAGACAGTGCCCTTTAAATCAAATAGAGAACAAATGAAAACTATGAACTTACACCTTTGCTTTCAAGATTCGAGATTAGGAAACGTTAGGAAACGTTAGGAAACGTTGGTGTAGAAACGATGCCGTTAGAAAATTCGTAAGAGGATGAAGTTATACAAATCGAAGTAAACTTAACTATTATATCAAGGGGATTGTGCGTCGTAAATACGCGAACCACTTAGCGCCTCCTATACTACGTACGGTACGTACTACGTACCGTACGTTGGGTTTATATTGCTTCCCTTAAAGAGCCCCATGACAAAGATAGAGATACTCTCCTACACGTGCCCAAAGTCAAATACCTTCAGGCTAAAGAAATTAAAGGATTGCTTCATAGTGATTTATAAATAACTGCAAGTTTAACGGGTACTTGTATCTCTTAAAATCTTTCCTAGACTGCGTTTAGTAACAAGTGATATTGATAAATTGTAGGGATTTGGTTTGGCTCATTAGTGAAATCCATGACAAGGCTTCTCGGCCTCGCCGGTATAAGCTTGGCATCACATCTTGAACATTAAAAGGAAATAAATAAATATATGCTTCCTCTCCCCTCAGCTTTTATATCAAAATCAGCTTTAGGATAGTACGGCCAGAAATGCGCCGTGAAGAAAGGCATGGGGAATCCCTAACACCTGGGCCCGCTGGGTATCAGATACGACAAAGTGAATAGGAAATTACTGTACATTTAGCATATATAACGTAACTGTAATATATATAAACTGAAATGATTGTATCAAAAGATTACAGGTGCAGTTAGTCATGAGCCTCGATTGCATAGTGATAATATGTCGTTGGAGGTTGCTCAGAAGATTTGACGCGCGCTTCAACTACAAGCGCGCTTGTTGCTTTGGGTTAGCGCGGTTTGACATAGTTTATTGCAAAACCTCTCTTGAACAGTTTGACATAGTTTATCGCAAAACCTCTCTTGAACAGGTTTGACGATCTTCAACACCCTCTTTCGTACGAGATACATATTTGGCCGTTGCAAGCGCATATTTGAGCAGGGCAGCTATAGTGCGGATCTCATCTGTAGCTTGGAGGTTTTTTCTTGCAATATCACTGTTGCGACACTTTCATACCCAAGGCGAAATCCACAAGAAGCAACAGTACTCGATCTACACCACGGCCTCACAAAGATCTATATTGCACTCATGGCCGAACAACCTAGTATCACGTCTATTCTGGCGGCTTTAGGTGAGTTTCAGTATTGCAGATAAATGGCGGTGCACTAACCATCGTAGCTGCTCAACATGGCACTTCACAGAACCAGCAACCACCACAGCCAGGATATCAGGAACAGCAGTACCAACAACAACCACAGGGCCAACCTCAGCATGGATATCCAGCTTCACACTACCCATTGCCTCAGCCAACGCACTCCGGCAACGTTGACCTCAGCAGCATAAAGCCTGTTAATTCTGGAACTGTTAGCATCGCAGATGCCATTGCAAAGGCAAAAGCCATAGCTGCAGAGAAAGGGCTGGCATATGAAAGGCCAGCATACGGTTCCGGCCCTAGGGCTGACGCGTCAATGTCGCACATACAACCTCGATCGCGATCAAGATCCCCGCCTCCTGGTCGCCGAGAGCCATTCCGCGACAACTACAACCCCTACCGAGACGAGCGGAGGCCTGATCGGATGCCTGTGGGGAGAGACCAATATGGTAGAGAACGTTCATTTTCCCCAGCACCACGTGCCCGAGGTGCACAGGAGACATTCTCACCCCCTCGGGCTGGTAATGCGGGGTATAACGTCCGCGAGAGGTCACCAATCGGCAGAGGTGGAGGAGGAGGAGGTGACGGCGATAACTCCGAGATAATCACGATAGAATCTAACCTTGTTGGCCTTATTATTGGCAGACAAGGCGAAAACCTTAGGCGTGTTGAGGCTGAAACCGCTTGCCGTGTCCAATTCATTCCCATCTCCGAGGAGAATGGCCCATTCCGCCAGTGTAAAATCAGTGGTCCGCGAGCACGCCGAGCAGAAGCTATTGCAGAGATCAACCGCATTATTGACGATAGCGGTATGGGCAGTGGTGCTCGAGCCGGAGCAGATCGTCAGGGAAAAGATGCCGCCCCAGCTCGTGCTAGCTCACACCAACCAGCACTGCGCGACGGTGAAGATAGTATGCAAATAATGGTCCCTGACAGAACTGTGGGCCTCATCATTGGCCGCGGTGGTGAGACTATCCGTGATCTACAGGAAAGGAGTGGATGCCACGTCAATATTGTGGGCGAGCAAAAGAGCGTCAATGGCTTGAGACCTGTCAATCTCATCGGTTCACGTGAAGCTGCAGCCCAGGCAAAGGATCTAATTATGGAGATTGTAGAAAGCGACAGCAAGAGTGCGGCTGAAAAGGGCCGTGCTCCTCCTCCACAAAGGGAGCCTGCCAGAGATGCTAACTACGGTGGGGCAAGCGGAGGTGCTGATAAGGTGAACGACTCAATATATGTTCCTTCGGAAGCTGTCGGCATGATTATTGGCAAGGGAGGCGAAACTATCAAAGACATGCAAAACACCACAGGCTGCAAGATCAACGTAACTCCTTCATCTGGCCCTGGAGAGGTTGAGCGTGAGATTGGCTTGGTTGGATCCAGAGATTCAATTGAGAGAGCTAAGCTGGCCATTGAAGACAAGGTCGAGGCTGTGGTAAGTCCTATCACTTTTTTAAAAAAAAATCTAGCTAACTGTTGTAGCAATTAAAGAATGGAGGTGGGGGTGGTGGTCGGAACAAACCTCAGAATGATCATGTAGATCGCGGCTATTCCCAGCAAGCTTATGGAAGTGCTCAAGGACAGCCTCCACAACAGGGGCAATCTCCAGCAGCGACAGGGGCCGAAGACCCATACGCAGCATGTAAGTACGGCCTTTCAAACTCACTGGACACCCACTGATTAGATATAGATGGCGGTTATCAAGCATATGTTGCACTTTGGTACCAAGTCATGGCTGCTCAACAACAAGGCGGGCAAGCACCAGGCGGCCCGTCACAGCCGCCAGGAACTTCCTAATCCCCGCCCAGACACATCTCTTCGGACATCGACACTATCTTGACTGCTTGACTACATGATTTGATTATTGAGACTCGCCTGACCGAAACTGCACACTGAGACTGTGATGCCAGCACTGGCTGGTATTACATACATGATTGCATGACTTGTTGATCGTTATGAAGCTGCTGAAGATTGATGCCGCAACTCCAAGCTACAGGTCCTGGGCCACGACATGATCCATTGATGATACCCCTCTTGGTAGCCAGGTCGACTTTGTGGTTTTCTTGACCTAGATGACCCATATGACTGCCTGACATGCTTTACTGGCCGTTAGAATGCACCATGACCGCAATGATACTCCCCGGAGTTCTGTCTGCATCCTGGACTCAGCTAACAAAATCTACAAGCACTTCATGCCAGTGTTACAGTTGGATGGAAACAGTTGCATTGCCGATGATATTAAATGCCCTGGTACGGTGGCCCTGTTGCCTTTGTCGTTCGTCAAGGACGTCGCCTATTGACGCCGATCACAAATCCTCTCATTTTCAAATGGACTTGTTAATGGAATGAGAACTGACTGCATGATTTTACGGGTCCGAGGACGAGTATATATCTGCACAGAGTAAGTGGTCGGCATCGTGGTCGTCTTTTGCTATGCGAATATGTATATTGTAGGATTATTAGTTTTGCGCAATGAACACGAAGTTTCTCCAATTCCAACGTATATAAAATTACTTCTAAGAAAGAGCAATCGGGGAGTTGTGCTGTGAGAGTCCTCTGTCATGATAGTGAATGTGATAAGTCATGTGACGTATGTTTTTGTAACGCCTCAGGCTGACATCGCCCTTCGAAAAGTTGAAGCTCCAAACCGCGATCGACTAGCATATCATCCCAGTCTTCCACGATCTGAACTATGAAAAGAAACTAAGAAATATCTTCAAAACGTGTCAATTACGTCAATAACAACAAGTATCAAAGTTTACAGCATAAATTGCATTGTCCACCGAAGTTACAGCCATCATGGTCCAAATCACTGAAGTGAAAGGCAACAGCCGCGAAAACCGCATTTCAACACATACCCATATCAAAGGCCTTGGTCTTCGGCCTGATGGCATAGCTGAGAAGCAATCTGGCGGATTTGTTGGGCAAGTTGCTGCAAGAGAAGTGAGCAAGGAATGGAGCAGTTTATGATTTGCAATCCACTAACCCAGTTCATAGGCATGTGGTGTAGTTGTCGACCTCATTCGAGCACAAAAGATGTCGGGCCGCGCCGTGCTGTTGGCAGGGGGCCCTGGTACCGGGAAGACGGCGCTCGCGCTGGCCCTCAGCCACGAGCTGGGAACCAAGGTTCCATTCTGCCCCATTGTTGGCAGCGAGATCTATTCGACTGAAGTAAAGAAGACCGAGGCGTTGATGGAGAACTTCCGGAGGGCGATTGGTCTGCGTGTGCGGGAGACAAAGGAGGTTTATGAGGGCGAGGTTACAGAGCTCACTCCAGAAGAGACCGAGAATCCTCTGGGCGGTTACGGCAAGACGATCAGTACGCTACTGATCGGGCTGAAGAGCGCCAAGGGCTCGAAGAAACTGCGTCTGGATCCCAGCATTTACGAGGCTATACAAAAGGAGAGAGTGACTGTGGGCGATGTCATCTATATCGAGGCCAACACCGGAGCTTGCAAGCGTGTTGGACGATCCGATGCCTTTGCTACAGAGTTCGATCTAGAAGCGGAAGAATACGTGCCGATACCCAAGGGAGATGTACACAAGAAGAAGGAAATCGTCCAAGACGTGACATTACACGACCTGGATATCGCGAACGCACGCCCTCAAGGTGGTCAGGATATTATGAGCATGATGGGACAGCTGATGAAGCCAAAGATGACCGAAATCACCGACAAATTGCGCGAGGAGATCAACAAGGTGGTTAGCAAGTATATCGACCAAGGTGTTGCCGAACTGGTTCCCGGAGTGCTCTTTATCGACGAGGTATGCTATAAAATACATCTATAGGAATTGACACGTTCTAACTTAGCACTAGGTTCACATGCTCGACATTGAGTGCTTCACGTATCTGAACCGCGCGTTGGAGTCTCGCATCTCTCCCGTTGTCATCTTGGCATCCAATCGCGGGATGTGCACGATCCGTGGTACGGAAGACATTGTGGCTGCACACGGCATCCCGCCGGATCTGCTTGCGCGCCTTCTCATCGTTCCGACTCACGCCTATGATGCGGAAGAGGTTAAGAGGATTGTCAAGATTCGGGTCGCGACTGAAGGCCTTGCAATCGCAGAGCCTGCGTTGGATAAGGTGGCCGAAGCGGGTACAAACATCAGTTTGAGATATGCGCTGCAACTGCTGGCTCCAGCTTCGATTGTTGCCAGATGCAGAGGGGCACAGGAAATTGGAGTCCAGGATATTTCAGAGTGCCAGGACCTATTCTTAGATGCCGGCAGGAGCGCGGCGGCTATGGTTGGGGATGGGAGCGGGTTCCTGGTTTGATTTCGAAATTTGGGGCGGAAAGGAGTCTCGGAAAGGAAAACGGCGTTCAGATGAGTGATACGAAGAAGCTGTGTCTGTATACTAGGCGGGGGGTGCAGATTTTAACGGAGTACGATAGATAATAAGAATACCACGTGGAAACTTATCCATCCGTTTGGCTTATTTGAGCACCGAGATTTGTCGACAAGTCAAAGTTGGAGGAGAACTGCAGATATGCAGATGTGCAGATCGGAGCGATGCAGCCATCCGTTGATATTTACAAGTTTAACGAGGAATGAGCACTTACCAAGGAATGAGCACTTACCATCCGTTTGCGGGTACTCTATACACTCCACATTTCACAGACCAACATATACCAAACGCAGGTTTTGAGCCGCATGTCGGACGCGTTTCTTTCATGTACCACCCGGCCAGTCGAATAAAATGTCTCTGGCCGGCCAGCCCTGGTGCTCTTACTTTTGTTGGCATTGGTTAACTCCTCTATTTTGATTGCTTTCTGCATTGTGAAGTTATCCAGCCCATGGTAACCTCATCCGTATGGCAGCCTATCCGCATACATGTCTCGCTTTGTATCAAATGGATCAGTTGCTGCTTGTATCGGTGACAGTGCTCTGCGGTATCCTATGATTTTCTTTGTCCAGAACCAGGTTTTGACGCTTATCTGCCGAGACATAAGGGTCAAAAGGTGTGCAGAAAACAAAGAATCTGCTAGTTGTGAGTTGAAGCTTTAGACAAAGGTTTTATTGTGCACAATATCCTTTCATTGAGATTGTTCCCATTGATTTCTTTTCTGGCTTATAATGGTTATTTTCATTCATCGCTATTCTAGTCTACGCTTTGTTATTGTTTCGGTGATAAGGGCCTTTTGACGAGAAGGCTTTCTGCGAGAATCGATTCTGAGATGCCTTACTAAATTCTGTTGGGAATATCCCGTCTTCGGCATTGCTGCGTTTGCGATTTTCATTATCATCCGTACAGTGGATCTAGCCATGGCCGAGGGAGAATCAACTTCTTTTCCGAGCACTCAAATGAGAGACCTTCCAAGGTCACCAACGACTATATCACCATCTTCCTCCAGGAAAGACTCCCTTAGATCATCCAACAATACTGAGAAGGAGTCGGCGCCCTCACCGCCACACACTCGTTTGATGAAGAAGCGGGCGGCGTCTCTCGACACTGATGCTGCCAACAATCCTTCCATTGCGAACCTCTCTCTCCACAGTGCCAGCCTCGAAAGCCCATGGACTGATTCAAATAACCAAGTTTGTCTCTGCCAACCTGATCCAAAGATCCCCCGACCACGAAACGGTACGTACAAACTATCCTCTCTCTTCTGCCATGTTTGTCGTTTTTGGGTCAAGTGCTCGCTGTCGCCTTTGTTTCGTTTGTAAGTTTGATTGGGCACTGGTAGCTAATTACTCTTTGAAGCTTTTATTCTTTACCGTCAGCACTATCAAGGGCAGGTTATTGCACAAAATCCAGGACTGGCCAACCCGGAAATATCAAAGATCATCGGGGCACAGTGGCAAGAGCAATCTATTGAAACTAAAAACGAATGGAAGAGACTAGCCGAGGTTTGTGAAGGCCCTAGAACCCTCTTGAGAGAATTAGAGCTGACAAGAACACTCCAGGAAGAAAAGCACAGGCACCAGCGTCAATATCCAGATTACAGATATCAACCCAGACGACCAGGGAAGCTCAACGGCCCCCGATCTACAGCATCGCCTGACGATCCCTTGAGGTGTCCAAAGTGTAACGGTCGATATTTTTCAACGCCAGGCACACCTCTTACACCATTACCACCTACTCCATCGATAGGAAACTACAACGATAAAACTGCTCATCCGTTCTCACGTGCGATGGACTGCGAGGGTCGCTACACCACCGACTCCCCGGGGCCATTCAACGATTTTCGAACCGGCCCTCCCTATCCACAGACACAAAACCGCCGCCCTCGATTGCATATCGAGGAAGCAGGAGGCCAGTGGCAAGATTCAGACACTGAGGTGCTTCACTCCCCGCGGGCTAAGCGACATAGGCCCAACGACAATCCAACCCCCTATCCCACTCCATCATGGCCGAATGGTCCACAGCGTATATCTCGCGTCCCCGTATCGGCTGCAGCCTATGAGCCTACCCGAATTCCTAACCAACGCGTTGTGGCATATCACCATCATGGAAACCATGGGATGATGGAGCCGCCTCCCCGCTCTACACCTATAAGCGGTCAATTCCCTCCTCATACCCCCAGCCATGTACGGCCTCAAAACCTGGACGACCTGCGCTTGCCGCCTCTGCAAACCAAGATTCCCGTGCCAGGGTCAGCGCAACTACAGCAGCATCAGTTCCACCAGCAACCGCAAATACTGCGGAACAGCAACTCTCAGTCCGTTGAGGCTATGGTTATGACGATCCCATTCCTCAACAAGATCCGCGTCCTCGCCAAAATCGCTCCGCCACTGGCAGCACCAGGTCCCACGAGCCCAACGCAGGAAGTCCGCGGGCCAGTGGTTGCAGTGGAGGGAACAAACCAAAAGCTCGTCGCTGAGGTAGGGGAATACATCGAAAACTGTCTGAAACAGAAAGCAGAATGCCTTGTCAAAACATGGGCCAGCGACTCTCACGCCCTCTCGAAGCGCTCAGTATCAACACCAACCGATATGTCCATGTCCGGTACTGAGAATAACGCTCCAGCGTCAGCCAGCATCACAAGCAACATCCAAAGCAGAGGCCCGATAAACGACTACCTCGAAGCAATCGGCACCTGGCACTCCAAGTCTGCTGAGATCCGCAACTTCGTCTCCACGCGGCCCATAACCACAACCCCTCCAAAATCACCAGAGGGCACCCCAAAGTCACCAGCCCCCACCACAGCTCCGCGCCTCCCTATCGCTCTGCTGCCGAGGGGATTCTCGCTTTCCCTCTCCGACCGTGCTGCGATCCATATCCCGATTAACGATGCGTATGCGCCGGTGGACCACTGGCAGTGGATGGCTACCTTGTGGCGGGGCATTATTGGCGTGGATCTCACGGTGTATGTGTGCAGCGGGGCGATCGGGGATGAGGATGGAAGCCGTAGAGTGCATCCGGGTATGGGGGGAGTGGAGGTCAGGAATGATGCGAGGGCTATTGTTGTTTATGCTCCTGGTGGGAAGTTGGAGGATAAGTGGTTGCGAAGGGTAGGGTTTGAGGTTGCTGAGTTTGTGATTGGAGGGGGGTTAAAGGGGTAGAGTTGTTTTTTTGGTCTGGGGCGGCGGGGAGCGAGGCCTAGTGCTTTAATTTTCTAGAATTGTGTTTTTTTATTAAATTAGATAATTAATGAAGCTTTGTTTTATTACTTGTAAACCTAGACAAAAATATTTCACCTCTTTTCACCGCAAATAATAATAGTTTAGTTATTATATTTTGAAAATACCCCTTGAAATTCCTATAAATGAGATTTAAATGTATAATGCAAGTGTGCTAGCGAACTCAAATGTCCTCAGGCTCGAACCCATCTTTATCCAACACCTTCTCCAGCTGCTCAGAGACATAATAAGCCACGTGCTTATTCACCTCATCCCGTTCTCTCTCCCCCTCCCGATCAACCGAATTACGGACCGAGCCCGCGCCGCCTTCTGTATGGGCATCTCCATTGATCGAGCTATTAAAATCGCTTCGAGCTCCGATAGATCGGCTAGTCGATGAGCGGCGCATGGGCTTCGGCTTGAATGATTCTGGCTGTCCAATATGCCTTCCGAAGAAGTCATCGAAGTAGTGCGCCATGCCTGTTGATGGCGTGCGAGGTGTTTGGGGAAGTCGACAGCTGACTCTGTGAGGTTGTTAGCAAGAGTAGAATGAACGTATTATTTTGAAACTTACCCAGTATCGTGGATCATCCTGGCGATGAGGCCGGTCCATCCACACTGGTGCGTGGCTCCCAGCCCACGTCCGCTGTCGCCATCGAAGAATTCGTAAAACCAGAGGTTGTCCTTCCAGTAAGGGTCGAAGTCTAGTTTATCGTCGCCGTCGTTGATGGCACGCCTTCCATCGTCGCCACGTGCAAACAGATGCTGAAGACGATGCTGGATCTCTTCCGCCACATGGCCCAAATGCATGAATTCTCCAGAGCCAGTGGGGCATTCCACCTGGAGCGATTGGCCGTAGAACATGTAGAAACGCTGGAGAGATTCAACAAGCAGGAAGTTGACGCAGATCCAGATGGGTCCACGCCAGTTGCTGTTGCCTCCAAATAGTCCACTATCGGAGTCGCCTGGGATATAGCTCACTTTGAATTCCTGGCCGTTGACTTCCATCGAGTAGGGGTTCTTCTCGTGGAATTTTGAGAGCGATCTTATTCCGTGATCTCCAAGGAATTCATCCTCATCCAACATGCGCTTGAGGATCTTCTCGAGACGATCCTTGCTCACTAGAGAAAGCAGGATTCTATTGTCCTTTCCTCGCTTTCTGATGCTGGCCATGTTGCGCTCGGCGACATCATGGCGATTCTCAATAAACCAATCAACCCTCTTTTTGAAGTTAGGCAACTGATTGATAAGTTCGGGCTCTAGCGTCAGGGTTGCGTAGAGCGGAATCAATCCAACTAAGGATCGTACTGGGAGTTGTTGAGAATATGGTCCACCCCAGGAAATTGCATCGTAATAGAAGCCATCCTCTTCGTTCCAGAGCGATTGTTCCTCTGTTTGCCCGGGTTTATACGTCATCGCATCACTAATGAGCATAAAGTGCTCAAAGAACTTGGATGCAATATCTTCGTAGATGCGACGGTGCTTCGCAAGCTCCAAGGCGATGTTCAGCATGCAGAGGCAGTAAAATGCCATCCATCCAGTGCTATCAGCCTGCTCAAGCACTCCTCCTGTCGGGAGGGGTTCTGAGCGATTGAACAAACCAATGTTATCCAAACCAAGGAATCCACCCTCAAACACATTCTTTCCTTCCAAATCCTTTCGGTTCACCCACCAGGTAAAATTGAGCAAAAGTTTCTGAAAGACGCGCTCTAAGAAGTCCAGATCTTGCCTGCCGTACATCTTCCGCTCGATCTTAAATGTGCGGAACGTAGCCCAGGCATGCACTGGAGGATTTACGTCGCCAAAATTCCATTCGTAGGCAGGCAGTTGGCCATTCGGGTGCATATACCACTCTCTCGTGAAAAGATCCAGCTGTTTCTTTGCGAACTCAGGGTCAATCATTGCCAGTGGGATGCAGTGAAACGCAGAGTCCCATGCGGCAAAGAAGGGGTACTCCCAAGAATCAGGCATCGACAGAATATCATCGAGATGCATGTGCTTCCATTGAGTGTTCCGAACAGCCTTTCGCTCTGCAGGAGGTGGTGGAGATGACGGATCGCCGTTCGCCCACTGGTCCCAGATGAAATGATAGAACTGCTTGGTCCACATCATACCGGAAAGCGCTTGCCTCTGGATGTTGCGAAGGTCGTCGGCCATTGGAAGCGGGCTGATGCGGTAGAAAAACTCATCGGTTTCCACTCGTCGCTTTTCAATTATATCGTCGAATACCTCCTCGTCCAAGTATTCGTCATTCTTCTTAGAGAAGCGGAATCGTACAACAGCACACTCTCCTGGTGGCACTCCATCTCCCTCGTCGAACGCAAACCAGGCAGCGGCTTTGGTGCCAGTCTCCTTAGGGTTGATAGCGGCCTTCTCTCCATCAACGATATACCGATGGAACGCATCTTTGACATAAGGCTGTGGATTCTCTACATTATAGAGGTGCTCCAGATTTGTGTCGTTTTCCGTGAATATTAATTCAGGTTGTATGTCTTGGCCACTTGTTCCAGTGCCTGGGGATGGCGACAATTGAAAGTATCGGTCACCGAGCTTGTAATGTTTACTATGTGCGGTTGTTTCCCCTGACCTTTCGATCGACGGCTTCTTATCCTCAGACTCATGTCCCCATGCCCAAGTATTTCTGAACCACATGTGGGGAACAATGTGCAACGGCGCTGGGTCAGGGCCGCGATTCCATGCTGTCACTCGGAAGAGGAGTTCGTCTGGGTCGTCGCTCTCTTTTGCGGTCTCGATGAATATATCCCAGTAGCGGTCTTCTTCAAATATCCCAGTATCTAGTAGTTGGTATTCTCTGTCTTGCTTGCCCCGGCGGGCATTCTCATCGACGAGATCTTTGTAGGGGAATGCCTTCTGTGGGTATTTGTAAAGAAATTTCATGTAGGAGTGCTAAAAATGTTAACAAAGTCCAGTTTTTATGCACGATGACCATACTGTAGGGACGTTGTCCAAGTGAAAATGAGCTTCCTTGATGCTTTCGCCATGGTTTCCCTGTGGGTTAGACAGGCCGAATAGTCGTTCCTTCAGAAAGTCACTGGTGGCTGTTAGCTATATCCCTGGCTATAACGTAATGCGCGCATACTCTTTCTCATTCCAAAATGCGAACGCGATGTTCTGGAAGCCGTGTGTATCTGAAACGCCTGCAATTCCGTCCTCTCCCCACCTGAAAGCCCTTGAGCGGGCGTCGTCGTGGGTGAAGTCTACAAACAATTAATTGCCATTGATTGAAACTGGACACAGAACTTACGGCTCCAAGCATCGCCATCAGCACTGTAATCCTCACGAACTTCACGATGTTGTCAGCGGCGAGGTCCAATACGACGAAGGACGTGGGGTAAATACCAGTAGCCCATTGCCTTTCTGCGACGTACGGGCCCCATTTCTTCCAATACTTTGTTTTTTCCCCATCTTCCTTGAGACGCTTCTCTTCCACAGACAGAAGGTCGACCTGGTCAATGCGAACCATTTGGGCAGTGAAGACTCAGAAGAGCCTTTGCGGTGTTATGAATGAGAGAGGGTGATTTTTTTCAACGAGAAAGGTGAAGATACGGCTGGCCCCGCGTATGACAATAGCCCACTATAATTATTATAGAAGGGATCTTTCAATTGGCTGGTAATATCAAACCAGATCGTTCCAGCCAGCGCCTATGTCTGTAAGTTACCACATGTATTCAACAATATTCCCGAATTCCCGATGACGTATCTGCCAGATAAGGAAAACGCGGCACTTGTATAGTACAAGTACCAATGTACCCACTGAAGGTAATATTTTGACGGGTAGAGTGTTTTAAACGGTTGGTCACATGACTTCGTGGCTGCGCATGGCGCGTCGATCGCGTTGGGCTCAAGCTTCCCAAAATCTCAAGTGAAATCTCGCTCACAACCAACATCAAGGACATAGCTGACGATACAATATTCGCCCATCGCGATTAATTGCACCTCAGCAATCTTTTGATTGGCATAGACAACTACAGTGCCTCAGCAGATTCCATAGAATTGGCAGGGGAAGAGCATCTCTTCGGACGAGTAATACAATGGCGCTTCTTGTGGACAAGCATCGTCCCCGCTCTCTCGACACATTGAGCTACCATGACGACCTTTCCGAGCGCCTTCGGTCCTTGGTATGCTGCCCAAACACCATCCCAGCCCAAAGGCTTAGCTAACCTCAATCTTTCAGGCACAAAGCGGGGACTTTCCTCATCTCTTGGTATATGGCCCGTCCGGCGCTGGGAAGAAGACGAGGATAGTGGCTACTCTCAAAGAGCTCTTCGGCCCAGGAGTAGAGAAGATCAAAATTGATTCTCGCGTTTTCCAAACCTCTTCAAACCGCAAACTCGAATTTAACATTGTAGCTTCGGTCTACCACCTCGAAATTACCCCCAGCGATGTTGGAAACTACGACCGAGTCGTTGTCCAAGATCTGTTGAAAGAAGTAGCGCAAACACAACAAGTCGATCAAAGTGCCAGGCAGAAATTTAAGGTTGTGGTCATCAACGAGGCTGACCACCTAACCAGAGATGCACAGGCAGCACTGAGAAGGACAATGGAGAAGTACAGTCCGAATCTAAGGCTCATCCTCCTGGCAGACAGCACAGCGAATATTATCGCTCCAATTCGGTCAAGAACCTTACTCGTACGAGTCGCGGCCCCAACTGAGGCCGAGATCTGCGACGTGCTCGCCAAAACAGGAGCAAAGGAAGGCTGGCCGTTAGCAGAGGAATTAAATCTCAGAGTTGCACAAGAAAGTGGCAGGAACCTACGGAGAGCACTGCTCATGTTTGAGGCTGTGCATGCACAAAAGTAAGTTTGATGGCCCATCCTCTAATATGAGGTGCTAATGGTGCCTCTCAGTGAAAAAGTCACAGACCAGACCCCCATCCCGCCTCCAGATTGGGAAGCGCTAATTTCTCTGATTGCCGATGAAATCATGGCCGAGCACTCACCCGCACGAATCCTACAGGTTCGCGCGAAACTATACGACTTACTCACACATTGTATCCCGCCTACGACAATCCTCAAGACCCTTACCTTCAAATTGATCCCCAAAGTCGACGATGAGTTGAAGGCAGAGGTAATCATGTGGAGTGCGTTCTATGAACATCGCGTTCGGATTGGGTCAAAGGTTATATTCCACTTGGAAGCATTTGTCACGAAGTTCATGAAGATACATGAGACTTGGCTCATGAGCATCGACTTTTAGATTGGGTGGTGGGAGAGCGCCCTGACGCAAGGGATAAAATTGTGTGACTATTTTGGTTAGGGGTCGGGGATTAGGGGTAGTGATGATAATGACTCTCAGGCATTGAGAATGGAGTTAACCTACGGATAGGGGCATGAGATTTCAACATGAAAACTACCACGTCTTTGCCACTCCTTTCGTAATACTTGCATGTCCATAGGTGTGATGCGCCCAACGACGAGAATACTGCAGACTACAAAAGATCACCATAGTAGCATTGAGCACGCATCAGTAAAATTTAACCTCTTAGATTCCGATGAAACCCGCTCCCCTTACAAAAGCCTAACAAATGAATATCGCTCAAACTGCCCTATGGGCCACGCCAAAAACTCCGCATCAAACGTCGTTTATAGCACCCATCAATCATTATAACATCATGCTCCTCCTCCTCGCCTCAAGCCTCTTAATCCCCTTCCCTTCCTTCGGCGCCTGCAAGCTCGTAGGCCGCTGCAATGTCTTCTCCCCGTTCTTATACTCCTCCATCTTTGCAGCAGCTACATCCCCCATCCCAACTCCAAGCGTAGATTGTCTTCGCCTCGTTGACTGACGTCCCGCTGTCGTCAGGTCCAGCATATCCGTCGCGCTCTGACTCCGCGAAACCCTTTGTTTCTGCGAATCTTCATTATTGCGGCGGGTCCGGGACTCTCGTGGGGGCGACCCAGAGAACTCGTAGATGTCCAGGTCGGCCATCCTTTTCTCCATCTTCTTGAATGCCGATACCACCAGATCCCGATCCGACATCTCTGGCTTAGCCTTTCGATTCGCGGACATTAATGCCGATATGGCCGCCCCAGTGCCCGACTTGGCCTCCTCATCCCCGCTGTTGGTGTGTAGTTGCGAGCTTCGGCGCTTGCGCTGCGGTATTTCTTGTATAGGAGCTACATCAGCCACCTTGCCGGAAAGCGGACTGTTGCTGTAAACACTGGCGCTCGAGGCGGTGGGCAGTTTGCTCTTCCAAGAAGCATCATCACCTGTTCCAGGCTCGGGTTTGATCTTAACTGCCGTCAGTGGTTCGTCTTCAGCTGGGACACAGCTAGCACGACGATATTTGCTTTCTCCTGAGACAGCATCGATCTGCCCCTCCGCCGGCCGCCTCATTTTATCACGTAAATTAGGCTCGGCGTAGTTCACGCTAGCTCGAGCGCGTCTGCTTGGCCTGTGGCCTTCTCCGCCCTGGCCTATTTCTTGTGGTGGAGGCGTGTCCCGAGATATCTGGCGAGTAGTTGAAGGTGCGGAGGAAGTTGGTGAGAATAAGTCTTCGGGAGCCGCAGGTGTTTCTGGCTCTGGGATTGCCTCGATAGATGGCATAGCTACGACAGGGTCGACCTGTGCGGGTATGACAATCCGCGGTTCATTCCGACTGCGTGGGCGTTCTTTTCCCTTATTTCCACTGATCTTCCCAGGCTGCGAGGAATCATCTCCCACTGGGGGATTAGAGGGTTTCTTGGGAGAATTTGCGACATCCGTGTTCGACGTTTTTGGTCCAAGTGCCTTCCTTGGAGGTCCTGAGGCAACTACCGGAGTACTGGCCTGGGCGTTTGGTGCAGCCCTGTCTCTGGTTTTGGCCCGAGCCAGTGCAACCTCTCTTTGGATTCTAGCAACAGGTTTCTCAGCAGGCGTAGATTCCTTCGACGGCTGTGTCTTATCCACAGATATTCTCCTAGTATGCCTCGAATCTTCCCGGGCGATTGAAACTGGTCTTGCTTCTCTTTCGTCTTCTATGTCGTCACTGACGTTAAATTTCCTCTTCGCACCACTGTTCATGGGCTGAACGGACTCCTTCTTCTCGCCAGATGCCGTGTCGTTCTTGGTTAAGCGGTCATTATCTGGTGTCCCGCTCACATCCTTTCTCTTGCGCCTCTGTTCCAGGTTTACTGGTAATGTTGGGCCGAAGTCGGTCACTTCTTCGGTATCTGTTTTCGACCGAGTAGGAAGGTCTATCTTGATAGGATCTTCATTCATAAAATGCGACACAGGTGGCGGTCCGATATCAGGCGAATCACTGATACCGGGTATTGGGTCTGAGAGAATTTCTGTAATTTCCTGTGCGCTTTGAACTTGTCAGAATATATTTGTATCAATGAGGAGGGTGCATACTCTAATGTCCGTCTTGGATAGTGTTTGTTTTCTACGATTGCCGGTAGTCGCCCTTCCTGTTCAGCGAGCGCATCCATCATTTGCATTCGTTCTTCTGAGTTCCTCCGTTTGGCCTTTGGAAGCTTGGTACCAGCTGAGGACCTTCTTGGCTCCTTCACAGGCCGGTCCAGCTTTGCGACCAAAGCTGCAATGTCCCGCAATTTGGAATCGAGTTCTGATTTGACACCGCCAACATGGCTAATAAAATTCCGTGAGCGGTTTGGTTGTGTCTCCTGGGTTATAATCTGTCCACGAAGATCTAGGTTCTCCGCCAGAAGGCGGGACACTTCAGTTTCGAGATTGCGAATTCGTACTGCTTGGATCGAGTTCACACGAGCAATGTCCTTATTCTGTCGTATATATTTTCGTCGTACTAAAAATCACAGTGTTAATAGATGCATTTCAGGAAGATAGACACCGTGAAATTGGAACTCACAAAGCTCTACAGGATCAGCAGGCGCAGATGCCTCGTTCAAACGCGCCATGGTTGTTTCTCATGCGGCAAATGAGTCCCATTCACAGATGATGGCGCTTGGCAATATATCCAAGATATGAGTTGAAGATGTGCTGGTTTTAAAGCAAGCAAGAGTGTTGAAGCCGTCGTTGTAATTATGAGGTTTTTTGTCATGCAGTAGCTTTGATGTTTACACAAAGGCTCGAAGTGGCTAGACAAAACCATTGCCAGAGTGTACTAGCGCGGGCCATGGCGGGATACTGCCGACCTGACAGATACAACCCCACCCATAGACAAAAATACACCACTACAGTACCATTGTCGCCCATTGAACAATTAAAGGTTCCACTGCTACCTTTGTGCAGTCTACAATATCCAAGATATTTCACTTTCATACAAAGAATCATCTGGGGACAAACCCGGAAGCGCCACGATGTCCTACCCCTCACGACCCCTCCCGTCACACTTGCGACAGGCGTCCACCTCGAACAATGGAAATTCGTTGCAAGGACAGTCTCCTGTTCTACTTGCGCGCATCAACGAGAAACGACAGGAACTTGAAAACCTAAAGGAGCTGAGAGATCTCAGTGCTGGGCTAGCTGGGCAAATGACAGTTCTAGAGGAAAAGCTCGCAACACTGTCAAACGGCACCGAAGGTACGATACAACATGGTTACATTCGGCTTCCAAGTTATACTAACAAACCCGTAGCTGTTGCGATGGTATTAGGCAACTGGCATAATGTTCTAAGGGCGATAAGCATGGCGTCAAGTAAGTATATATGCTACAGCGCAAAGGCTCCCACTGACGCGCCGCAGCGAAAATAACGATGCCTAAAGTCTCCCAAAACTACGAAGAAGAACGAGATGACGATGTACCTCTGCCACAAACACTTGTGAGAATTCCTACAGAGCAGGCTCCGTTAATACAGCAACACGAGGAGGCGGCGAGAGAAGCTACCAATGAGGACCAATAAGGGTTGGAATAACACTGGATTGTACAACGCTGGGTTTGGGTTGTACATATGACTGATGCGATAATGAGGCCGGTGCAGGGTATGGAGTCAGGCGTAGGGTTTGGTAGGCTGGTACTGCCGGATATACATGGTGGCAAGTCCATAGGAGGCTCATTGCCACAGATATGACGCTTAGTTTCAGCGCACCCACCAGAGGTCGTGAGAGCGTGAGAATCTGTGGAATAAATCGAGTTTCCACTCAACTGTACATTAACATGAGTCACTGGAGGCTGAAAGATTGAAACACACGTTTTGTCGCGTTCGCATTTTCCTAGAAACGCGAAATCGCGTCAACGTTCCGCGTCTATTATTCGTTGCTGTAGTGACGCGTTGGTGTACCTCTCGATTTACACAGGGCCATCGCGACCCAGATTCTATATGAATAGATACCTTCCCCGACAATCTGTGAGCACGCCTCGAATTCTCCAAAACGACCAAATCACACAAACGGCACTGTTCACCTATTTTTTCCCGCTGCCCAGCAGAAGGATTATTGACATTTCATAGACACTGTCGTGAAGTGTTGTCTTTTTAGTTTCTGAGCCAAGCCTCAGGCACACCACCACGAACCAAACAACATTACTGCGTGTGCATCAGTCGCAAGCGTAGCTATGGCACGAGTTACCAGGTCCACGAAAATTACAATCTCTGAGGACGAAACCAGCCAGTCCATACCCCAGAACCAACATATTCCGTCAGCCGAGGCACGGGCTCCTTTGCAAAAGATTACCAACACCACCGAAGAGATTGTGAGCCTCGAAGACGCCCAGATCGCCGACGAAGAGAAGCTACTCAAAGCCGCGTTTAAGACAGCAATTGGCATCAAAAAGAAGAATAAACGAGCCAAGAATAAGAGGAATGTCGACCAGGAGCAAAGCCACGACAACGAAGTTATCCCAGACGATCAGCCAGCATCCTTATCACCAGCCACGGCCGCAACCCGCGAACTTCTACGATCCGACTCAGGGCCCATTGCGCAAATCCGCGACGAATTGCAGGCAACAGACCTAGGAGGACCAGAACAAGACCCAATGGCAGTTGACGCGCCCAATCCGACTACTACATTCACAGGGCGCCTTACGCGCAGTCAAATGAAAGGTGTACAGCCAGGTCAGTATAACTACAATTCTTACGCCAATCATGGCACGTTTGCGCCGGCGGTTCCCAGTGCTCCCCATTTTCATTATGGCCATTCCAAGTACCATACGGGGCATGTTTCGCCAGGCAAATCGATTCCTCCCGCTCTCGGGTGGCCCGTACCGCGTTGGCTTCCTTACCGTTATGGCGATCCAATATTTCAATATACTAACACGGACTATCGCGTAGCGGGGCAAGAACAGGCTTATTCCCATAGTGGACCCAAAATATCCGACTATGTAAACGGGGATGGAGATGTTGCGATGGGAGGCGCCACTCGAGGCTCTGCCTTGCATATTGAGGACATCGACGAATGCGCCAGAGACCAAACACCCGAGCCGAAATCTTCGCATGACGACTCGTTCGTCAAGCATATTTTGGGCCGCTCTCCTGCGAAGCCAGTGTCTCGACGCCTCTCGGTGGAGGAGATGGTGGCCATCCACTCATCTGCTAAGCCTTCCCCAAGAATCGAAGACTCAGTGGACGAATTGGATAAATTTGAGGAAACTATCATTCGATCGCCTGCTAAGCCTGTCTCACGCATCGAGGATTCCCTCGAGGAGCTAGACTTATTGGAAGATATCATGGAAGCACTCACAGAGGCCGCAAAGGCCCAGGAACTCGCATCTCCAGTGAAGTCTAGAAAGGCGACACCTGCTATACTGAAATCTACTCGTCAACCTACCACGTCGCCAGCTTTAAGACCTACTCCAGTTAAGGCCAAAACTATCGGGGTTCGAGAAGGAAAGGCCCTGATGAATGAGATGATGGCGAAGAAAGCTGCCTCGGGAACGTCGACTGTCCGCTCAAAACAAGTCGCCGTGAAGAAAAGCGTAATGCCACCCACCTCAGCCCGTTCTGCCTCGGCCGAGCCAAAGCCTGCTGCACCTATCACCAAGCGGCCAGCAGCCAAGCGTCCGGTCAGCCTCATGCCTCCAAAGGAGCCAATCAAGTCTACCAAACCCCCAACGCGCTCGACATTTGAGCTTCCTGGTGAAGCCATCTCCCGGAAGCTAAAAGAGCAACGCGAAGCACGCATTGCTCAGCGCCAGTCAAGCGTCTCCTCGGACTCGACGCCACCCATAGTTTCCGCCAAGGCGATGGCACCGAAGGTCAAGTCAACCAAGGCCCCATCTAGACCTACTTTTGAGCTCCCGGGCGAGGCCCTCTCTCGTAAGAAGCGCGAGACTTATGAGGCCTGCCTAAAGTTGCGAGAGGAGGAGGAAAAGAAGCGCAGGGAGTTCAAGGCGAAGCCTGTCCGTAAGAGTATCGCCCCGAGTATGCAGCCAAGGCAGACAGCCGCCAGTCTAGCGCGAAGGAGCATAATGAACCCGGAAGACGCCGGAGAGGGGTTGGTGGTGTCGAAGCGACGCTCGGTCATTGGCGTATCTCGTCCCTCACTCACAGCCCAGAACCTTGCCAATACATCGGCCTCACGCACGCGTGTGACTGCTCACGGCGGTGGCCACATGACGACTACGGCAATGAGCGATTCATCTCAACGTTCGTCATCTGTCCCAGCATTGGTACAAAAGCTGAGCGGAAGGGATATATATAAGCGTGATGCGAGAGCGCTGGAAGGTGCGGAGAGAGAGAGAAAGGAGAAGGAAGCTGCTGCGAAGAAGGCCAGAGAGGAGGCAGCTGAGAAAGGCAGACAGGCGAGTAGGGAGTGGGCCACGAAACAGAGGAGGAAGATGATGGAGGGCAAGATTCCCGACGAGGGTCTCAGTGCTGGATATGGACCCGGTGGCCAACTGGGCTTGAAGGGCTAGGTGTGGAGTAACTGTATGAATGATGTCGACAAGTTGTGGGTGACGAGAGGGAGTGTGCTTTTGTTAAAACACCATGTCTTGATTTGCTTTGCTTGCTGACAGTCAGATTGGGGAGCACAAGTCGATGTATGGTCGGCTCGGAAGGGATCAATCGATCATTACTTGTGGGTTGAGGATGATTACTCGCTCGTTTTATACAAATGTTTCATTTGTTGGCGCGGCGTGTTGGGAAGCGTGTATTATTGGGGAGCGGGATTGAGTCTGGCGTCAGCTGACAGCGTGTATTATTGAACGATTATTAGTGAAAGTATTGAATGAATGGCATATTTGAAAACAAGTTTAACTAATGGAGTGAGTGCTGTATGAAGACAAATATATTTCAGAACCAAAGGCTCTTTTATACTGTAATTTGATAATTTATCATGAAGAAATAGGACTTGGCATGTTGATGGCTAGACTGCTCTGTCGAGGACAAGTTCTCCTGCCAGATCTTGTACGTACCCTTGTACCGCATGCCACGCCTTAATCCCTGTCCCCTCTCCTTAAACCTTTTCCCGACATTCTTCCAGACCACCGTCCTCTGAAGTTCATCCAGGCTACAGAGTATCGTCGTCGTCGAGTATATTGCCTGCACTGGAGTATTTTGCATATTGCATCTCCACCACGATCGTTTTCACCGAGACAACACCGACCAAATTGCGCGCGAACTGCCCCGGTTTCCGTCATACTCAACGTGGAACCTCGCCCTTGGAACTGACGGCCTCTGAGGACGACATATGATGCTTTTAGAGTCCTCGACCTCTCGTTAGTGTCTTTCCAGGGCCACGCGCCTCGTCTGTCTCGCAGCACCATGCGCTTTTCCAAACCCTCGTTCCTGCCCTTCGCGAAGAGCTCCAGAAAGGCAAACATCCTCGCTGTCTTCCGCCATGCTCGCCGGAACCCACGCGACTTCGTCAGCCGCTTGTGGTGCCCGCGAACTATCGCCAAATCGTTGGTCTTTCTCTCCGGTCTCGTCGTCATCGGCACCGCCATTGCGGAAATTCTGCTCTATGTCCGCACAGGGAAGAACAGTCGTATAGGCACCACGGTCATCAACCCGTTCATACCGCTCGCTCGTCCCAGTGTCCAAGTGTACCAGGGCATCTATAGAGGCGGCACCGCCAAGACTGGCCATGTCTTCGTCGAAAGATTCCTCGGTATTCCATATGCACAGACGACGGGTGGATACAACAGGTTTATGCCGCCGGTGAAGATGATGGCAGGAATGGGAACGCATGACGCGAGAAATTGGGGCCACAAGTGCTGGGGAGGTCCAGACGGCCCTGACCAGAGGTCGGCAGATGATTGCTTGAATATCAATATTTGGCGGACACGAGGCGTGAAGGAAAACCAGAATGTGCCAGTTGCTGTTTACTTTCACAGCGGATCATTTAATTTTGGGAGCGGTGCTGAAAGGGACATCGCGAGTTTTGTGGCATGGAGCGTGGATCCAATCATTGGTATCTCGGTGAACTATCGAGTTGGTGCGTTGGGCTTCTTGAGCTCCAATCTTACCGCCGAGGAGGGCATTTTGAATCTCGGTTTGAAGGATCAAGCAGCTGCCCTGGAATGGGTGCAGGAAAATATCCGCATGTTTGGCGGAAACAAGGATCGAGTCACCATCTGGGGAAGCTCAGCGGGTGCACATGCCGTAAGTAACGTCAAGACTACCTTGGATCGTCATGAGTGCGAGTCCTCTGAACTCAACGATCGTTTAGTTGCTCAAACTAACTTTACCTAGGTTGGCCACCACCTCATGAAGATTGACGTCCCCGCACGCTTCCAGGGAGCTATTATGGAATCTGGCGCTCCAACAGCTCGCGCCGTTTATCCATATAACCATCCCCTCCACGAGGAGCAATATCAAAAGTTTCTCGAACTTACCGGCACCTCTGATATCCCCGACGAGTCAAAGATGACACATCTTCGCTCCATCGATATAGAGACAATTGTCGCTGCCTCAGAGTCAGTTTTCCAGCAATACGCCCCATCTCTGCGCTGGCCCTTCCAGCCCGTCATTGATGGACCCGGAGGCATGATCCCATGTGCACCCCTCGAGAGCTGGAAAGCGCGAGCATATCACAAAGTCCCTATCCTGACTGGCTTCAACACCAACGAGGGCAGCATGTTCGTGGACACCGCCGCCGACGATCCAAAGGAGTTCGACGAGTTCTTCCAGACACTGATACCGAATTTTACCGAGAAGGACATGAGAGAGCTGAACGAGCTGTACCCAGACCCTTCAAAGTCTCCTGAGCCTGAGAGCAAGTATACCGAGGACCGCCCGGGTGTTGGCAGGCAGTACAAGCGCCTCGCACGCGCGTACGGTGACTACGCATATATCGCGCCGGTTCGTCACACAGCGCACTTCGCGAGCGCATTGGATAGGCCCGATGATGCGGATGTGTGGATGTATCAGTTCGACGTGAACCAAACGGTGATTCGTGGCGCGAATCATGGTGACCAGGGAGAATACGTTGTGTACTCGCCCAGTGTGAGAAAGCTGCCATGGAGCAGACAAGGCGCGATTGGCGAGCAGATGCACGGTTATTGGACGAGCTTTGTGATCTCTGGCGATGTGAATGCAGTCAAGAAGGGCCGCGTTAAGAATCGTAGCACATGGGCCCAGTATGGAAAGAGAGGCAGCAGCGCGAAGATGGTGTTTGGGGAGCATAATAACCAGCGAGCTGGAGGGAAAGATGAGGGGGCCTTGACGGAGAACCGACCGGATCTGTGGGGTGATGCAGAGGGAGATTTCTGGTGGGCAAGGACGATGTTGACGGAGAGGATATGAGGGGACGCCCGGGGGGGCGATGATGGATGCGATGTGACGATTATAGACGGAACTTTCCAACGACGTGTTTTTGTGTCAGGAGTTTCATATGGCGAGGGTGTGCACAGGCGCGAGAGTTCTAGGAGTGATTGGGATAGGACATTCATCTTGCAGCATAGTATTCATTCACGCTGTTTATTCTAGTTTAGTTGTGCGAATAGTAATGCTCATCCAAATTACTGTGGTGAAGCCTTTCCATCTCAGTTCCTGTCCTCTAAAGTTCCCATCTCAATCACTTAACTACAAGCTAGGCACTCGAACAAAGCTCATATACCCCATTAACCCAACTCTTCTCGCCAACAAGCAAGCCAAGTGGTTAATGTGGCAAAGTGTCTGACGCTCATTCAGTAAGTGCTGAGTTCGAGCCCCGCAGTTCACATCAAGTAAAATCCAAAAAAATGGGTTTTCTTAGATATCGATTACGAATCCGTAATCGAATCGTTCTTTTTGCATTTCTTTTCTAGATACCAACTACTTTTTACCAGTCTATCTAAGCATGCCACCATACTTACCACATAATGCAAGTTCAATATTCAAACTGCAGGACAGAATTCAAGGGGTTGGCTCAAACGTCTATATTTTTATTCAGGGATGTTGAAAACCGCTGCCACCTCAACCGAGGATAGACAAGCTCTCTAAACTCATATAACAGAACAAACTATCCATAGTTACGTCCTCTACATAAAGTCCGATAAGTAGTCATCATCTCTGTTCTGGTTGCTGCTCGCCTCCAGCGCCTCCTCCGTGAAGACATCATCATACGCATGCTCCTTCTGGTACTTCAGATCCCTCCTCTCCTTCGCAATGCGCGCCTCCTCCTTCTTCCGCGCCTGAACGCCAGCCTGGTTCTTCTTGCCCTTTGCCTTCATGATCTCGTCGCGCTCGGCGGCGAAGTCGGGGAACTTCTCTACCTTGGTCTTGTTCAGGCGGTTGATGATGGCGTTTATGCGTGTCGGCACAAGGATCTTCTTCACCTTCTTGTTGTCGTGGAAGCTGACTTGGCCGGTGGCCATGGAGCCGTCTTTCTTCAGGTTGCTCCATGGCGTGTAGATGATGGTGACATTGTCCTTCTTGTTTCCTGCAAAGACGTTAGTCACGTGGTTGAGCAAGTCATGGGGATTGAACTAGCCTTCGATGGAGTTTGCTTTTGTGAGTTGAGCAAGATCAGTGAGGAGGTCTTCAGGTATGGATTCCCATGATTGGGTTTCGGAGAGGCGGAGGTAGATATGAGCGGATGAGAGATTGTCGACGTGGAACTGCTGGAGTTGGTGATGTTTCTTTCAAACGGACATTAGACTTACCCTGTACATTTATTAGCAAAGAAGGTATTTATTTATTCTTAAAAATGAGGATATTACTTACCAAACTTCTTCTTCAACGCCGTATGCGATTAAATCCTCGTCTGAGGCAAAGATTAGTCACACGTTGCTCCTCAAAGAGCCAGGAAAAAAGCAAGTATAAACTCACTTTCGACCTTGTCTTTCCCAACATAGACATACGCCGACGGCGACACCGTGTTAGAGGTGAAGTAGTAAACCATCCTGCCTCCCGAAATCGCAACTTCGTTGTGGTGTCAATTTCTGGCCAGGCCAAAATTATATTGACGGCGCGTCGGGTCTTTAGTGCCGACCGTAGCGAAAAGTATTGGCTTCACCTCCCTTCAACTTTTGATGACCTCCCTCCCCCAAGGCACCAAACCACCCACACAATGGCGCCCAAACTGTCGAAACTAGGAGTGGCGCTCCAATCGCCCTCCTCCTTCCTCGCCGACGCCCACGCACTTATCCCCCTCATTGCCAAGCGCGGCGTCAAATACGGGTGGACGACCGCACCCGCCCGCTCAAAGGCCACACCAGGACGCTTCAACCAGGTCTCCGCCGGCCTGCCCATCCTCTCCGCCTCGCCCGCCGCGGCATTAAAACGAAAAGACTTCACTCTCCCCCTGCGAACGGGAGCGATGGGCATCAAGAAGGGCATGACCGCCATTTACGACCCTGAGACCGGCAAGCGCACCGCCTGCACCGTCCTCCAATTCGACCGCGTGCAAGTCGTCTCGCACAAGACGCGCGAGAAGAACGGATACTTCGCGGTGCAGGTCGGTGCGGGATGGAAGCACCAGAGCAACGTCACGAGGCCGCTTCTGGGGCACTTCACTGAGGCGGGAGTCAGCCCCAAGAGGCACGTTGTGGAGTTCAGGGTCAAGGATGCGACGGGACTGTTGCCGACGGGACAGATGATCGGACCGGAGTGGTTCGTTGAGGGACAGTTTGTGGATACGCGCTCGAACTGTAGAGGAATGGGGTTTGAGGGTGGTATGAAGAGGCATGGCTTCAGTGGACAGGGAGCGTCTCACGGTAACTCGAAGGCGCACAGACTTATGGGTTCGAGTGGTGGTTCGCAGGGAACAGGTAGCAGAGTTCTGCCGGGGAAGAAGATGCCGGGAAATATGGGTGGCCAACAGGTCACTGTGCAGAATGTCGAGGTGCTGAAGGTGGATGCTGAGAAGGGCATTATTGTGCTGAAGGGATGTGTTTCTGGGCCAAAGGGCTGCGTGGTCAAGCTTCAGGATGCGATTAAGAAGCCATGGCCAAAGGTGCCAGCTGTGCCATGGAAGAGGTAGTGGCGAAGGTTGAGGAGGTTGCTGCGTAACTCCTCAGTGAGAAGACAGCGTTGGGTGGGTTCTTGGTGTGAAGATATTGTTGAGATAAGAGTGTATATTACCAGCGGCAAGGCGTTATAGAGTGTATAGTAGACAATGATTCTACATAAAGCCTTGAGATTGCTACACTCGCTCATGGGCTGGCCCAGCTCACGGTTTGGCCGGAATATATATGAATCTAAGTTCTGGTGATGTAGATGCGGATTGCCCTACACAGAGCCTCAAATCCAGAACGGAGTTGTTGGATAATATAACCACATTACCCCAGAATACAAAGGAATATATATCGTTTGATCAGATGTTTGAGAGTAGTTGTACAGCCTATAGTAAAGTATACACGGCCCGTGCAAATCATGGCGGCCACAAAGACGCCATCCCATGCCATTTCATTCCCACGCCTCCCTTCCCTCCCCACCACCAACCCACCATCTTATCCCGACAACGTCGGACTATACGACCCCCTCCCCACCCTCTTCTGCTCCTCCTCCGCCGCCATAATCGCCTTAAACACATCCCCCCTATCCAACAAATCGACCTTCACCCCATTCTCCCCCTCCAAACTCCACTCCTCCGTCTCAAACACCCCATTCCTCCCCCCCCTCCTAAAGCTCCTAAACCGCATGGTCCCCTGCCTCTTCGACCCGCGGACTTCAAAATGGATATCGATCCGTCCGTGGAGCTGGTTCATCTCCCCCCAGATCCACGGCATCTGGTGCGCGAAGTAGATTTCGTCGCCGAGGAACTCGCGCGCGGCGGGCGAGGTGCGAAGGGCGTACATGGTGGAGGAGACGACGGAGGAGGAGGACTTTTGATAGTTGAAGATGCCGAGGGTGCAGCCGGTGAGGACAGCGATGAAGATGGGGATTGAGCGCAGCCATTTCATTCCTGAGCGCTGGATTTCTGTAGTCGCACACACATCGGTTAGCTTCTGCTTTTGCGCAGTCGGAAAACTTCCTGCTTAGGGATTCCGGGCCTCTTACTAGGTAGTTCCCTATCAGCTCTCCTCTCCATCAACGGCGCACCCCCCACCTTCGGCGGACTGACAAGTCCCCGTCTCTGCACCGTCTTTCCAGCATTCGGCGCAATCCTCGCCCTCAGCGGCGCCAACACAGCGCGCCCTCTAGCACCCAGCATTCGCGGCAGCATTGTATAATATTGTGTGTCTGTCAATTCCGAAGCCGCGCTTTGTAGTTGGGAATGCGGGTTGGGAAAACGGGGTATATAATTCGTTGTGAAGAGGGCGGCGCGGAGCTCGGGGGGTTTTTTGGATTAGTCAGCGCGAGGCTTGGAGTGAGGCTGAGGAGTGGTGGTGGGTGACGTCTTTGCTGGACTTATAAACGCTAAATTATTGGATACGATAAAGATCGTTTTGAGAGCGAGAGGTGATCGGTTATATCTACTTCCCCCTCCCTCTTATATCCATACACCCACCACCCACAAAATGGCATCCCACACCAAAGCCCACCTCCGCAAAACCTTCCAATACCCCGACCCCGACGACGACGACACACCCGAAGCACTAGATGAAGAAGGTTCTTTCTCCCCCTTTTCCCTTCCCCCAGCCAAACTTCCAAGCTAACCCCCACCCTCCCCCCAGAACAGCAGCACCTCATCACCACCCTCCGCGCCAGCGCCAGCGCCACAAACACCCTCTACACCCGCCTCTTCACCACCTTCCCCCTCCTCCTCACCCTCGCCTACCTCCCCCCCCTCTCCAGCGCGCGCGGCGCCCTCCCTCTCCTCGCTCTCACCTCGCTGATAGCCAGTGCGTGGGTGATGTATGCCTTCCCCGTTGGACGGACTGGGTGGGGGGTTGTGGATGAGTGGGCCGATGGTGCTGGGGCAACAGCGGGGGGTAAAGGTGGTAAGGAGGGGAAGGGGAAGGGGAGGGCGGGCGATATATCACCAGGGGACCAAGAGGGGCCGTTGAGAAAGTGGCTGGTACCGCTAAATGCGAGTCTGGTGGGCGTGATACTCGTAGCGGGACTCCTGGGGACCGGGGGGGGAGGGGTGAAATTGAGTGTTCTCCCGGCGCTGGCGTTGGGGGTGGTGGTCCTGGTTAAGGTGCAGGTGAGGGGGGTGGAAGCGGATGTGGAGGAGTTGGAGGGGTTGAGGTATGGGTATAAAGGCGCTTGAAGAGGCTTGAAGAGGGGGGGCGGGGGGAAGGGGGGCAAGGGGTTTGTAAATAAGTGGTGGTGGGTGGTGTGGCGTGGTGTATGAATAGTCACGAGGGTAATGAAGTAATGTGATGCAACGCGTACTTGCTTGCGTGCTACCTGTAGCGGTATCTATGCACCCTCTTCCACTGAGTTTTCGGGAATTATAATCCCCCCTCCCCCCCCAACACCTCCCTTAACCCCCTCCCCCAACCCTTGACCCCAAACCGATGTGGTATATAGCCTGTCCTGTATACCTATACCCTCCCCCAACACGCCCCCGCAACCGATTCTACACATCAATCGACTCATTAAACCTTAATACGCCATTCCCCTTCAATACGCCATCGATGCCCTCCGGCAGCCTCGGGAACGGATCGCTCAGCGGATCTATCGGCGCCTGCTGCTCCGTTGATTTATCCGTCACCAGCACGAGGCCTTCGGATTTAATCGCGTTGGTGAGCGAAGGTACCATGTCCTGTTATTCGTTAGTCCCTTCATCCCTCAAAAGACACAGCTGACCCTAGACAAAAAATGGGGGAAGGGAGGAAGGAGAAAGACATACCAAAAGCCGACTACACGAAATCAGTCCCATAAGATTATTATCCTTCGCAATCTTCACCGCCTCCTTCACACTCGTCGTGCGCCTCCCATCGCGCTCAATCCCCCCCTCAGCACTCACTATCGGCGCGTCCTCGCGGCCAAGGTCATTACACAAGAAGACAGGGAAGTTAGGCTGTTTCCAGTTCAACGCCGCGCATATGGCCGGGTTGTACGCTGAGAACACGATACTGCGCATCGCAACCGGAGGTTCCGAGCGCAGGCTCTGCGCGTGGTCGAAGATGACGGTGATGATCGCGTCGACGAAAGAGTTGATATTAGCAATCGGCCCCAAGTGAAGAGCTTCCTCCTCCTCGACCGACGGGTAGATGACCTGGATATCAACATGCAGACCGCTCGGAAGAAGATTCAGCGCCTCTTCCAGCGAGATCGCCGTGCGCGCCAGGACGTGGTGGATGAAAGCTACCTGCTCCAAACCCATGGTCGGCAGGCGCGCGAGATCAGCGTCGTTGCGGGGCCCCGATTTCAGGAACTCGGCGTAGGTGAGGCGGGTGATGGGGAGGTCGACTGCGTTGTAGGGGAGGGTCCAGCGGGGCCAGAGGACGGGGATGCCGTCCGAGGTGTGCTGGACGAAGAGCTGGATGTAGTCGCCTGATAAGCTGGAGCCGGTGATGAAGGCATTGGGGGTGTGGTCGAATTGGCTTGTTGCCTTCCAGTAGGTGTCGAAGTCGGTGATTTCTAGGGGCTTGCCGGAGAAGGGCTTGATCACTTGGAAGTTAAATGCGATTTGGCCGATGGCGCGCAGGCGCGGATCAAAGAGAGGTAGGCAGCAGCGGCCGTAGTTACTTGATAGAGTTTTGAATGTGCTGGGTAAGGCCACGGTCTTGGCGATGACCTTTGCGCCGTATGTGGGGAAAATGTCGAAATCGACAGCGAAGGACTCCAGGCTGTCGATTTGGAAGGAGACATGGCGGGTATCTTCCTGGAACGGCAGGAGGATGTTCTTTGGAATGAGATCCGAGAGCTTGGAGGAAATAGTAAGACGCGCAGCAGGATATTTGCTGTCGTGGAAAAACACCATCGGTTTCTCATCGCCCTCATCGAAGCTAATCTGGACGAATGTCTTCGTGTCCAGGAAGTTGTGGCCGTATCGGCGGAGTGGGATGATAGGTGGAGGTAAGGAGAAGTCGGGAATGCCATCGATATCAGTGCTCATCGGCATTGGCGCCGAGCTGGTCAACTGCGGCGCTAGCTGAGGTTGTGTCGACGACGCGGCTCTGGCGGGGTTGGCAATAGATGAGAGTAGTCTCATGCACTCTAAATTACCCTCCCATGCTGCGTAATACATCGCGTTGAGATCTTTCTCGTCCAGGATATCTGCACGAACTCCGACATCTAAGAGCGTCTGCATCGAAAGGACATTTCCTTCGCTAGCCGCGTGGAAAAGCGGTGTCCACGAGTAGAGCTTGTCGATTTGGTCGAGGTTTGCGCCGAATGTTTGTAATAATAGTAATAACTGCGGCGTTTGTCCTGATCTCGAGACAAGATGCTGGGGGTATAGTCCCTCAGCATCTGGCATTAATTTCGCGCCATGCCTCAGGAGTAGCTCAACTATGCCAATAGACCCGTGTTCGCACGCAAGGTTGAGAGGAACATGGTCATTGTCCTTCAACGGATCCAGCATGGCGTTGCGAACAAGTAGCATGGCCACGCATTCGAGATGGCCATGAATAATCGCGTGTATGAGAGGTGTGAAGTTGTCGTGGTCGATGAGGTCAATCGCCCCGGGGTTCGCAACAAGTAAAGCCTCCATCATATCTAACCTTCCATGCATACACGCGTAGTGCAATGGTACTCGTCCATAGACATCTGTCCGGTCGACCGCCACATTTTTACTCAACCCAACTTCGAGGACAAATGAGTTGCCGTATATCGTCGCTTGATGCAAGCAATTCCTCTCGTTTATATCGTCTTCCGAAAGGACGTCAACAAGACCCGTGTCCAGCAGAATCTGCAACGAAGGCGCAGGCGCCTCATGAATAGCTGCAAGGAAGGTCCTCGTTATCCTCTCGGTGAGCATCACATCCCTCGTCAAATCCGCCTCATTCGCCGATTTCAACCGCAACAAGAGATCCTTGAGCAACTCGAGGTTCCCCGAGATCACCGTATCCAACAACAGCGTATCCGCATCCCCCTCATCCGTCCCCAGGTGACTGCTGACAACATGCTCCGTCTGCCTCTCAATCGTAATATTATCACCCTCAGACCACGCTCCCAGCTCCTGCAAACTCATCGTCGCCTGATCCGACAACTCGCTAATAACCGCCTTATTGAAGAACGGCTGCACCTCGACCGCCCTGGACAGGTACAGCTCCTTCGTCTTCGACTTGCTGGTCTTATCCCACTTCTTCAGGATCTTCGAGAACGCCGTGCCATTGATCTCCACAAACTGCTGCAGCTTATTCAGATCATTCCCAAACTGCTGAAACCCCTCCTCGAGCGTCGTGAACTTGGCCGAGCGGCGCGACGTATTCTGGCCACGGCTCTGCATGACCTTCTTCTTATCCAACAGCGTCTTGAGACGGATCTTCAGCTCCGCCTCCTTCTGCAGGTAAAACGCATTCACCTTCTCGAGCTCGCGCTCGAGCTGGAAGAAGAACTTGGCCTTGTTGGCCTGCAGCGCCGCCTGCGAGTCAAGCGGCTCATTCTTCAGGATGTCATTCTGCGACTCCAGCAGCGGCGTCGCGGACAGCTTCTTGATCAGCTTCTTCAGCGCCTTGTAGTTGACGAAGCTCGCCGCGTACTCGGGCACCTCGAGCTGCCGCTTCTGGATCTGCTTGCCGAACTTCCTGGACGGGGGAGGCGCGTTAGTGAGGGCATTGGGGACTCGGCGCGTGGAGGGTGAGAACTTACATGTTTGCGCTGTGGATGTGGTCGCAGTGGTGAGGGGTTGCGCTTTATCTACGTGATCTCCAAAAATTCAGGTTCGCGCGGGGGAATAAGTCGACTCCTCTATGGGTCACCGGGTTTCAGGCATTGTCGGCGCTGGAGTGTTTATCTGAAAGGAAGGGGGGCTCTCAGACACAACCAGTGGTGTTGGTATTCGAGAGAGAAGAAGGAAGAGAAAGAAAGCCCTCGGCGGGAAATATTGTTGCGATGCGTGCAAAGGACGACCGACCTAGCCACTTCTTTGACAAGTGGGGTGAAGATCGGGGACTCTCGCGGGTTTCAAGTAGAGGGGGTCTGGCTCGAGTGGAATGCGAGGGGGTGAGAGTTAGTAGGTGATGGTATAGTGGGATGGGGGATGGGGGGTGGGTGGATGGGGGGATGGGGGGATGGGAGCTCACTGGTCCGCGCCAAAAGCTAATCGATAAGGCGCGGCGGCGGCAGTCCGATGCACATGGGGGGATATTAGGAATTTGAGACAACCACCGGAGTTTCGGATATCGATACTCGGCGTACCTCAAACATCCTCTTCATCACCACCGTCCCACCGGCCGTGCACTCTACACTGTCCCCACCAAAAACACCAATAAACCCCCTCCCATCACAGCCGCCGCCATCCCACTCCCCAAAAGCACAGTGACTAAACCCCGTCTCGCTCCCCTCTCTCCCCAAAACCCCTCGCCGTCCCCTCAAAAACAAGTGGGATGCCCGATTCTAACCTCCCCACGGCCGGCCAATCAGACGCCAACATGGACGCACGTGTGCCAGGCTACTCGCTCTCAAGCAACCTCATCAACGTCATGGTCGAGCGCTCTCACCACGGGCTCTCTCGCAGGCGCTCTCACAGGGTTGTTTTCTCACTTTGCATACTACAATGCAGTCTACCCAGAAGTAGCCTCGTCCCGTCCGCACGGAACTATTCATCCCACGTCCCTGCCTACTTTCGTCCAACTATCCTGCAACTGCAACGCTGCTGTACGTATGCAAGACGCGCGGGGGCCACAGCCACACCTGTCGACGCGTTCGTGGCTACGGCGGCGAGTTGTGGCGTCGGTGCCTGGCGGGATGGGCGGCTGGGAGGGTACAGGGATGGGCCGGGGAGTTGGTTGTTGAGTTGATGGGAGGGATGGTGGTGGTTGGTTGGTAGGTGCGCTGGAGTGGTTTTTGGATGGTTATCGTGAGTGGTTTTGACTTTGTGATTTACGATTTAATATGGTAGTACGTTCACCACAAGGTTGGGGAAGTAGAAGAATGATGGGTTTAGTCCACATTCACGAGATAGAAGCTATAACTATATCGAGAGTAACTGTAAAGCGTTGCTCCTCCTCCAGTTCCAAAACCCTTCATCTGCATGAACTCCTCCCCTTTCCTCAACTATACAAACCACTCCACGGTATCATCTCACAAAAGAATTTCGTCTCTCTCTCTCCCCTCACACCATAACATATCTCACTCCAAAGATCCGCGACCACCACTATGTCACCCATCTCATCCCCCTGCGCAGTTCCATTCCCATTAGTGCCTCCACCCCTCGTGCAGCCCCCCAAAATCCGCAAACAAACTTCAATGAAAAGAAAGGTCGAACTTTGTAAAACAACAACCTTCCAAATCCCCTTCCCATATTTCTCATCCCTAGATGCCAAATACCAATTGCTCCTCCCCTTATGCTCCATTGGTAACGTAAAAAACAGATATAAAAAAAAAGGGTGTAGAGTTTGTAGGAAGGTAAAACGACCTCAATCTCCTCATTCGCAAAAATTATTAAACGCCGCGGCCTCTCGTTCTCATCACCTTTCTGTCCACTCTCGAGAGAGCGTAATCGTACTAATAACACGTCGTCCACACTGCTTTTGGAGAAATCTTCGCGCTGGCACACATCCCAGCCGTCGACATCATCCAGGACTTAAAAATTCTGCGAAATCCCCGCACTAGCCTGCGTAGGAAAGTGCGACGGGTTCTCAATCCGCGTCGCCCTCCTCGCCAGATTATCCCTAATAACCGGCTGCCCCTGCGCCTCCACGGCGCCCCCACGGCCTCCATACGCCTGATCCGCATACGGCCCATCATTCGAGTAGTACTGCGCTGCGCCATACGCGCCGCCGAGGACAGCCTGCTCATCCGAGCCATCGGACGCGTGACCCGCGCTATACGAGGACGACGCGTTAGACGCGCCGCGGTGGATGTCGCCGCCCCTGTTCCCGGAGGCGGATGGGCCCATAGCACCGAGCTGCTCGACCTCATCAGAGTGCGGGCGTCCGTTGCCGATGAGGGCGTTGTCGGAGCGTGTGTCTGAGACGGGAGCTTGCGATTGTGCGCCCTCGGAGTACGCGCCTGCCGCGCCGCCAGACATGGTGGTCGATGCCTTGCGGCCAGACGTATTAGTCGTAGTTCCCCATCCGCGGTATCCAGACTCCTCTTCGCGGTGGGCTCCGTTGTCGGTCGAGCCGGCGCCGCCGACCATGCCGATGGCGGGGAGGGTGGGGTCGTTGTTGGGGTTGTAGCCGTACTCCTCGACTTCCTTTCTGCGCAACTCTTCGGCGTCCTTGCGTTGCTTGCGGCGGCGCCAGAACCAGAGGGCGAGGAGGGCGATCAGGGCTACGGCCACGATTGGGACTACGACTGCGACGGCGGTGCGCCCGGCTCCGGTGAGCCCGTGGCTGCCGGTGCCTTCGCCTGAGTTCCCGTCGTTGAGAGATGGGTCGGCGGATGTCGCGGATGTGGGTTCGGTAGATGTATCGCTGGTGGGGGTTGTCGGCGCTGCGGTCGACGAGCGCGTGACGGTCGTTTTTGAGGGGCCGTTGTTGCCGCCGCCATTGTTATTTGATGATGACGGTGGGGTAGAGGAGGGAGGCCCTTGGCTTGTTGTAGGCTCGGACGTGGTTTTAGGGGGGGCTTGCGACGTGGTAGTCGACGGCTCCTTGCTGGTTGTTGTGGGAGGAGGAGGAGCCTCGGTGGAAGAAGGAAGGTTAGTGGTGTGCTCCGAGGTAGAGGGCGCCCGTTCCGATGGCGTCGTGACTGGAGGAGCAGATGTGTCAGCAGTTTTAGATGGTTGTTCAATACCCGACGTTGGAGTTGGTGTTTCCGGAACTGTCGGGCCCATACTGGTAGTATTAGAAGACATGGTAAAACGTCGCTCAAGGGTGAGCCGTCGACGAGGTGGTCTGTACATGGCAACATTAGCACCTGCGAGTGATGAGGGAATGTGGCAGAACGGGAAGGCATATCTCACCTTTAGCTGAAAGAGGTCTGCAGAACCCTCGGTCGTGGCCAAATGGATTGCAGCAGCGATCTGGTCAACGATGAGGATTCAGTGGTGATGGATGATTGTAGCTCAAAGGAGGGCGTTGGAATGGCGCGTAAAAAAGAGAGATGCGGTGCGAGCGACAGGAGAAAGGCTGGTCTGATGGTCTCGCTTCTCTCGAGTGTGAGACCCAAACGAGTTTGGAGATGAGACAGAGGCGGCTCAACAAGGACAGTCGTCGCACACAGGTGCCCTATCCCTTCTGCGTAGATTCCCTTAGTTAGGTCTTCCGTTAGGTCGGAATCTCTCCGTTAGCACTGGTGGGTTGGCCAAGGCAGGATAATATGAAAGCTTGGAAAGGGCGGTTGCACTACTTGGGGCAAACAGGATTGGTGGATGAGAGGTGTGTTATGGAAGCTGGTGAGAGGGCTCGTAAGACACTGGCCGGCGTGAGTTTTTTCAAGGAGGAGGGCGGGTACTTGGGGGGGGGAGGGGGGGGGAGGAGGAAACAGTTGGCTGTGGATGATTGGTACACGGGACACGGAGTACGAGGTTTACAGTGCGGAGTGTGGTTTGGAGGCAGGTACCTCATGTCAGAGCTTGGAAGGGCGCCAAAATGCCTAGATCAACAGAGAGGTCCACAAAGGTACCAACGTTCAGGGCGAGCTAGAGAACTGTTAGAGTAACTAACTTGGACTGAAGAAGAGGTTGAAACTTTTCTGTCTTGCTCAAATCAAATCGTTCCCGTCGGTTGGGGGTTGGGGGTTGGGGATGGTGAGAGGGGAGCTGAGATATGTCTCTCCTTCCTGCTGTGTACAGTAACTTACAACCCCGTACGTACAGTCAGCCCAGCAACGCGAGCACTCTCCAATCTTACTTGCCGCCCAAATAAAACCCCTATATCTCAGCCACCTCACCCAACTCGACCCTACAGCCCCATCCGCCCACCTACCACTCAAGTCCGAAGCCAACCACCAAGTCAGTTCGCTATATCAGTGCAGTGTCCCACGTAGAAATCCTAGACCACAGTAGAGCGAGAAGCCATGTTCTTTCGAATTCTAGGGGCCGTCATTTAATAAGCGACCGGTTATTTGATGGAAGTGATGGGGTATAGCGGATTATATAAACATAATCCTATATAAACATAATCCGCTATACCCCATCACTTCCATCAAATAACCGGTCGCTTAGCTCAGTTGGTTAGAGCGTGGTGCTAATAACGCCAAGGTCGCGAGTTCGACCCTCGTAGTGACCAAACATCACAAATTCATTCTTTTGTCATTTTTTCCATTTTTTCCATTTTGCCCCTCATTCCCCTTGATCCAGTCAGTCTAGACGCAGCATACGGCGTTTGCCGATACTCGGGATCCATTCTTTGATCACCCAAAAAGTCAACGTGGAGACTCGAGGATTCCCCCTCTGAAATACAGAGGGACGATGAGTGGGCTTTGACATGTGAACTACGTGAAATGCATGCACAGCCGCGTTTAACGAAAACGGCTTTTCTGTATCTTTGGCTCAAAAGTTGGGTCCGTTTACACTCCGTTTTTGTTGGTGAAACGGGATCGGCTGGTTGCTTCGTGGCCCGGACTTGAGGTGTCGATTTATGACCCTTTCTTTTTGGTCCTCCCTGATCTGGTCTAACCAGGGCAAAAAGGGAATTGTGCCCTGAACATGTGACCCCACACACAAAATGCCCTTGGTATTCTCAACTCCCCCCTCAGAAGCAAAAAAGCAATCCCCCCTCACCAATCATCAGAAACAGCAAAAGTATGAAATACCGACTGGTCACTACGAGGGTCGAACTCGCGACCTTGGCGTTATTAGCACCACGCTCTAACCAACTGAGCTAAGCGACCGTGTTTGGTAATTTAATGTGACCCTCGATCCCGAATCCGCTCTTTGAACCCCTCCTCTGCTCCCCTCTCCCCCCCAAAAAAGGGCTGGCCCACCATCGGCGGCGTCGGCATAAAAACATGTTGTGAACCCCCCACCGACGTCGTCATCGGGAAAAGAGTCGGCCCGGGGAGGGACAGATGGCCGATTTGTAAAAGGAGGAAAGAAAATGGCAAAAATATGACATATTGGTCACTACGAGGGTCGAACTCGCGACCTTGGCGTTATTAGCACCACGCTCTAACCAACTGAGCTAAGCGACCTGGTTATTGATACCGGTTCTTGCGTATCGGAGTTGATCAGACGGGTTGGTATTGCTCTTGGTCAACTTTGAAGACGCTGTTGTGGAGGTGGAATGTGTGCTGGTTGGTTACTGGCGACGGTCATGGCGAGGGTGAGGGGAGAATGAGGGATGGGGAGGAAGGTGGGCTAGGTAGTAGTAGTTAGGTTTGATGTATTAGGCATCGCACCTTCCTCGAAGACGCCAGCTAAAGGTCGCTTTGGTTTTTAACTGAAAAGCGAGATTTCATAACCAGTCACCACGAAGTCGCAATGAAGAAGTGAATGAATAAAATAAAATAAGAAACAAAAATATGCCGGCCCATAGCCATAATTACAGTACTCCTTCCTCCACCTCCCTAGAAAAACGATCGGGTGCGTAGTGGTGAGTCATGCTTTCATATACAAAAACAGATGCTGCCTTTTATATCCCTCCACACAGACCATCGTCATCAAGAAGAGCAAACAAAGCCCATCCATTCGTGCCATCCCGTTCCGTCTATACAAATTACCCCCTCTATGCAACCCTAAGCCCGACGCTCCCAACGAGTGGAGAAAGAGAATGGAGATTACTCCCCATTCCTCAACCCCCAAGTCGGCTTCAGCGCCGCAATCATATCATCCTTTGTGCTGACTGAGTCGCCAGGTAAACGACTTACACGATGCGCACCATTGCGAATAGCCTGCAACTGTATCGCCGACACCCCACTGCGATTACTCCTAATACTGCCCGCATCACTCATCGTATCCTGATCACGGAACACCCTCTTCGGCGGCGCGAAATCAAGAGACGTAAACGTCCCCGAGTTCCTGAGGGAGTGCGGGCTAGGAATAACAGCTAACTCATCAAACGCGCTCACAAGCGGCCTGTGAACCGGAACAGCAGGGCTATACGGTCTCCTCTCTCCCATAGGGCTCTGAGAGCGGCCCTTGGCACGCTCTTTGTAGCTCGTAGGCGCGACGAAATCAGCCGCGTTCATGATGGCGAAGGAGTCATCCTTCAGGAGCGCGGGGGTGGGGATGGTATTCAGATCCGCAAGCGGTGCCATGGGGCGCTTCTGCTGCGCGGTATTAGGGCGACGGTTAGAGGCCGACGAGAAGGGGCGGGGTTCTTGGAAACCGGGTGCGGGGCCGCGCCACTGGGTCATAGAGCGGCCGCTCATTGAGCCGTGGAACGCGCGCGGTGGCCCGCCGGGTCCAGGGCCGTAGTTGTTGTTGAAGCCCGAGCCCTGCGAGCCGCGCGGTGGTGCCTGGCCCATGAACCTCTGAGCGCCAGGTGGCGGTGTGAAAGCGCGACGAGCCATGGGCTGCGCGTATGGCTGCGGGATGGGCGCTTCGTAGGCGTCAGCACGGGGGTCGTAGTACGCCCCGTCGTCGTAGTCTTCGTAGTACTCCCCAGCGGGCGCGGGCTTGGAGTCGTCAAAGTATTCTTTGTAGAAGGAGCGGATGCGGTTTGCGCGCACTTCGGGGTCGTCGGACTCGACTGCCAGGGTGGGGGGGAGGGGGCGGAAGCCCATGGAGATGCGGCGCGGGTCCACGCCGGGGGCGCCGAGACCGGCGTTGGCGTATTGCTCCGGGGGGACGTCCATGGAGTAGCGGCTGGCACGCTTCATGGCGGCGTCTTGGGTGGGGGATGGGGGGGTGACTACGAAGCCGTCGTTTCCGTAGTCGTCTTGTAGCCAGTTTTGGTCGTGTGTAATTTGCGGGATCTCTGGGAGGGCCGGTTTGTCTTGGGGCGATGACTGCAACCTCGGTGGGCGAGGGTTTGCTGGTAATGAGTTTGCAAATTGTGGTGGTGAGTTCTTCTGGGAATCGCGGTCGTCATCCAGAGAGGTTGGGCCCGTTGGCATGTCAAGAGCAGCGGAATCAGAGAAGGGAGATCTCTCGTTGTCTTTAGCGGGAGCAGATGGCGGAGGGGTCTCCATGCGACCTCCTCCATTGACGATTGCACCAAGGTAGTTATTGCTCAGTCTGAAGCTCGAAGTATTACGTTCACCGTCCTTTGAAGAGTCAGAGTCCCTGGGGCTCGATGGCAGTCCCTTTCTCTGGACACCTCCGTCCAGTGACGAGTTCTTGGGGAAGTATGCAGGTTCGATATGTGCGGGTCCGTTCTCAGGCAGAGCGTTCTTTGCCAATGAGGCTTGGCGAGGAGGTGGTAAAAACTCGTTGTTGCCTTGCCCATCAGTGCTACCCATCTGGCTGGCATTTCGGACCAAGCCGAAGGCAGTAGTTGACTTTCCACTGTGGCCAGTGTGCCCAGTATAGGTAGACGAGCCATCTCCACGTCTTGGTGCTCCGAATCCGCTGCGCATAGAAGCATTGTCATTTTGGAGTTCGTTCACCGGGCGGTAAGGGTCCTCCTTGTTGTGGATCGACCTCGACAGAGAATGCAGGGACTCGGTTGAGTTATTCAGTCCTGGCGGGAGAAGATAAGGGCTGTTGATGATGTCCAAGGACAACTGGCCTCGGTGGCCAGGCTTCTCGCTCATATCATAGTCGGACAGACCATTAGGGAGCTTCTTGCCCTTCCTTGCTCCAGGGTGAGGTGGCATTCCGAGGCCGAAGTCAAGAGACTTGTGCTTATCGTTGGCATCCTCCTCTCTCGTCTTGCGGATGTGTCTGCGGTGCAGGTAGATTAAAGCGATGATAATGATCACAACAGGGACACTAGGTCATGATTAGCAGTGAATTTACCGACGGGAACATTGTCAACTCACGTCACACCGACAATGATGGCAATAGTCGAAGATGACGCGGATTGCGGCTTCTCACACTTCGAGGAAGTGTCCTTAGGTCCGCACTCGGCTGTTGTAGATGCCGCAGAGGCACTCGACGTAGTACTATCGCCGGACGAAGAAGTACCCGATGAAGTGGTATCACCTAGCGGGGAGCGGGGGAGGAGAAGAGAGGGAGTTGGCTGGGTGTATGATTTAATCAAAGTCGGAGCACCGCCCATCGTGAGCGGCCAGTGGATGTCATTGAGGTGCGGCTCCTCAGCGGCCTTCTTCTCTAGAGGAAAGGAGTGGATATCTTCAGCTGCAAGGCGGGTATCCATGGTGGATTTGTGTTGTCGGTCCTGCCGTGAAGCCTCCCGTGTAAGTGAAGGCTTCCGGTAATGAAGGTTGATGTGAATTTATTTGTTGGGGTCGAGTTGCGGAGAGTGAGCTTGTGGGTAGACTGTCGCAATGTATGACTTTAGATGCGATGATTTCGTCAGCCGGGATGGACGCTGTTTCTATGCTGTATTGACTGATGCTGCTATCATAGACGTCGTGGTAGAATGAAAACAATCGACAAAAACGGAACTCAAAAGTCGATGAACTGGCAGTGCTGGACCGTTGAAAAGAGTGACTTGGAATGAAGGACTTCGGGGTCAGGACTCGAAATGAGGGACAGTTATTGCTGAAGTAGCAAATGTGGGTTTTTAAATGAATGGCAGTCCTGCTCGGCAGGGACTATTGAATTATGGAAAGACGCAACTTGGATTGTTGTGATGGGCGGTTACATCAGGCTCGACGACGACGACGAGAAGGGAACAAAGGACGAAGGTCCCAAGGCTCCAAGGCTCCAAGCTCCAACCAAGGCTCCAAGGCTCCAAGGCTCCAAGGCTCCAAGGCTCCAAGGCTCCAGCTCCAAGCTCCAAGGCTCAAAGGTGCGTGGTGCGAGGAGAAGTTCTGGCACTGGGATGGGTTCGATGGTGCCTGGGACGGTATAGACAGTGAGGCGGAGGTGAAAACCTGGGGGCTTGACGGCGGGATGCTGGAAATTGAAACAGCGGATATCCCCTACGGCGCGTTCAGTAGGGTTAACATAGATTGGTGATCAAATGTGCATACCATATTGGCTATAGTAGCACATTCTATATATACAACCAACCCCTTCATCTGTCGCCCCCACAACCCGAATCCCAAAGTGGTTTAACTCAGGAACATGAACGAGATTGAAGTCTGCCACCAAATCGATAGTCAGACTCTACTTGTGGAACGTTCCATTCCCCCCCCCTACCCCCCCTACCCCCCCTACCCCCCCCCCCTTACCACCCCCTCCTGATTCGACGAGGAAAAAACGGCTGGTCAGCAAAAAAGCCCCAACTCACCAAGTCCTTTACATGCATATGTACTCGAGTATACAAGCATATCTCCCAAGACAGGCCAAATTATGACCCTGCTAAACAACCGAAATGAGTGCTGATCTTAGGGCCAATATTTAATCAATTTCCACAGCTAGAAGCAAGGCATGCTGGTCGTAAGTTACGCCTCAGCCGGGACGGTCGCGTTCGAGATGCTTCTTCAGCTCAGCAAGTTTTGACCAAGACTTGGAGACGCGGCTCGGCGCTGTTTGACGTACGGGTTTCTGGGAGTCGATGAGATGTGACAGAGTGCGGGGCCTGACAGCGAGAGAGCTTGGGTCTGCTTCAGTTGTCTCGGCCCCACATGAGGTCATTCGTGGTTTGTAGCATAGTTGAACAACGAGTCAGTTCCAAGTCGTGAATCCCCAAAACGCGAAAATGGAGAGGTAGGTAGGTATCATAACTAGTCGAGAGCGTCCACCGTCGTCATATTGCCCGTCAAAAACATCATATGTTCCTAAACTAGAGCATCGGCCGTGTCGTAAAACTGTCCGTTAAACATCAACATGTTCAAATTTCACCAGCCCTCCTCCTATCCTTCCTTCCAATGAAATGCCCATTACATATCACCCATCCCGCACTCAAGCATCCTTTGCCCCATCCTTCTTCTCATCCTTCACACCCTCAGCAGTATCCGACTTAACCGCAGCCCCACCTCCCTCCGCAGCACCTCCAACCTTCTTCGCCTCACCCTTCCCCTCCTTCCCCGCAGCCTTAACCTCCTCATCCTTCCCTCCTTCCCCTCCTTCCCCTCCTTCCCCTCCTTCCCCTCCTTCCCCTCCTTCCCCTCCCTCCCCTCCTTCCCCTCCTTCCCCTCCTTCCCCTCCTTCCCCTCCTTCCCCTCCTTCCCCTCCTTCCCCTCCTTCCCCTCCTTCCCCTCCTTCCCCTCCTTCCCCTCCTTCCCCTCCTTCCCCTCCTTCCCCTCCTTCCCCCAGCCTTAACCTCCTTCTCATCCTCACTATCCCCCAAACTAAACGGGTCATTGTCACCCTCCCCAACCGGATTCGGATCCACAGAGCTCAGCGGCTGCCACTTACTCTGCTTCCCCGAAGCCGGCGTCGTCGCATCCTTCGCCGCGCGCGGCGGTCCCCCATACACATCGATCTCCTCCGGCGGCCTGTTCTGGAACGACACCTTGCGACTCCCATCATTCGACCTCGGCGTCGCGGGCGTGGGCTTGAAGAGGTCGTGGTTGGCTAAGGGGCGGGTGGAGCGGCGCGCGTTGCCTGGGCTCTGGTTAGGAAGGGAGGTCGAGCGAGGTGTCACAATGTGGTGTAGCTCACTAGTATCATCGTTCAACTGTATGCCCGTGAAGTCATCGCTGAGGACCTGAGGATCCGCATCGTAGCGACGATAATTGTATTGCTGGTTCTGGTAGCCCTGGTTGTAGCCCTGTTCCTGGCGCTGCTGCTCTGCGTGGATGTCGCTGAGGTCGTCCCCGTCGATGCGCTTCTTGAGGTTGGTGAACCACCCGTTCACTTTGCTCTGTGTCTCGATGAAGCCTTTGCGTAGGTTCTCCTTGATCACTGGGAGGTCGTCGTCGATGAAGCTGTACTCGTCCTCCTCGTGGTACGAACCCGAGCGCTGGTTCGGTCCGCGTTGGGGGCCTCCCCTGTTGCGGTTGCGGTCCTGGGATGAATCGAAGTGCTCAGCCAGTTGCCGCGCGTAGAGCTCATCCGCCTCCAACTGCGTCAACTCAGGTCCAGCGCGAACAGGCCTAGGTGGCTGAGGAGGTGCCGCTTGCTCAGCGATAGTAGCCGCCTCAGCAGCTGCCTCTGGATCGGTCATGCCGAGGAGAGCGTTGAATGCAGGCTCGATTTTGCCGCCGCTAGCAATCAAGACGGCCTTGATAACCGCAGCCTCGACTCCAGGGAACGCCTCCTTCAGGGTATTCTCCGCCTGTTGTTGCGCGCTGAGCGGCCTTGGGGGCTTCGCGGGTGCCTGTTCGGTTTCTGTGCCTGCGGCTGGCTGGCCGCCGGGAGCTGTGGTCTGCTCACCGCTCGCCACGGGCGTTTCTTGAACATCGTCGTCGTCCATTTCCAGTGGTCGTGCGGTTGTTGGGGATTCGGCGCCGGAGCTGGTCTTCGTCTGTGTGATTATGTCAGTGAGCTAGCTGTGGTTTGTAGGATGACGTTGCATGGATGGTGGAGGCAATCCTACCGGTGGTGGGGATTCGGTTCTCTTAGGAGAGGACATGATTGTCGGAAAGGGGTTGGGGGAAGATGGCAAAGATGATTTTATATCAAGCTTGGTGCCTAAGTACGCGTACGTAAATCGCAGAGGATCTATAGTCGTCGTAAGTGCTGTAAAAAGACGATTGCTTGCGCCTCACGACTTCAACGTCTTGTACCGCTTCGGGTGACGACGCCCTAGCCACCGAGGGGCTAATCCACGCCACATGCGACGCTTGGCATAAGGCTGACATTTTGGCCTTAATAATAAGGCATAAATAATTATGTAGCACAGAATTGCCCTTCAGCCTTCTCTCTCTTCCAACCCATGTGAGAGATAGAACCATTCCGAAAGTCGCGGCGGAAGAAGTATGAGGGTTCATTACATGATAGGTCAGAGACAACAAGGGTTATTTTAGTCATGGCAGATTTCGATCTTGCTACGAGCTTCATTCCCTCGTTATATAAACCCGCGTCACTACTGCCCATAGCAAAACATCGTGAGAGACTTCTTTATACCATTGAAACCCATGCGGTTACTATAGTGGTTGGCCAGACCGGGTGCGGTAAAAGCACCCAGCTGCCTCAGTTTTTAGAAAAGGCTGGGTGGTGTTCTGAAGGCAAGGCTATTGCTATTACTCAGGCGAGTTTCTCTACCCGCATTTGAGGCATCGAAGCTAACTGCAAGATAGCCTCGAAGAGTAGCTGCTACGACAGTTGCCACAAGAGTCGCTGAAGAGTTCGGATGTACCCTCGGGCAGGAAGTTGGCTATTCGATCCGTTTCGAGGATGTGACTTCAGCGGCCACAAATATCAAGTTCCTAACGGATGGGCTTCTGCTTCGAGAGGCATTGGTGGACCCATTATTATCTCGATATTCCGTTATCATGGTCGATGAAGCTCACGAAAGATCTCTCAGTACAGATGTTTTATTGGGGGTTCTACGGAAAATCCATAACAGGAGGCCGGAGCTGAGAATCATCGTGAGCAGCGCTACACTTCAAGCAGAAGAGTTCCTCACCTTCTTTACTGCCGAAGACAGTGCCACCACGAAGGATTCAAATGGGACAGAAAGCGGCAAAGATGCGGGCGCAATTGTTAGTCTGGAAGGCAGGATGTATCCAGTGGACATTCTCTACACGGAGTCGCCCGCAGAGGACTATTTAGAGATGGCAATCCAAACAGTCTTCGACATTCACACGAAAGAGCCAAAAGGAGATATCTTAGTCTTCCTGACAGGCCGCGAAGAGATTGATAAGGCTGTGCAAGCAATCTCAGGACGATCAGCGCAACTGCACCCCCGCGCAGAGACAATGATGGCCCTTCCCCTGTACGCCGGTCTTTCTACAGACCAGCAAATGTACGTCTTCGAGCCAGCACCCGAAAACACACGCAAAGTTATCTTCTCCACAAACATAGCCGAAGCATCCGTAACAATCGACGGCATCATCTACGTAGTCGACAGTGGCTTCGTCAAACTCCGCGCCTTCAACCCCATGACCAGCATCGAAACTCTCACCGCAACTCCCATTTCAAAAGCCTCAGCAACACAGCGAGCCGGGCGAGCAGGCCGCACAAAACCAGGGAAATGCTTCCGTCTCTACACCGAATCCGATTACACCTCTCTCCCCCAATCCAGCATCCCCGAGATCCAACGTTCAAACCTCGCACCTGTCATCCTCCAGCTCAAGGCCCTAGGCATTGACAACATCGCGCGCTTCGGCTTCTTCACCTCTCCCCCCGCAGAACTCGTTATTCGCGCCCTCGAACTCCTCTACTCCCTGGGCGCGCTCGATACATACGCCAAGCTCACCCGTCCCCTGGGCGTGCGAATGGCCGAGCTTGCTATAGAACCCATGCTTTCAAAAGCCCTTCTCAGCGCATCATCATTCAATGTACTAAGTGAGATGCTCACCATAGCCGCCATGACGAGTCTCGGCGGCAGCGTATGGATCGAGCACTCCGACGAGCGCAAACGGCTCGAGATGACGCGACGGAAATTCGCAGCTGAAGAAGGCGACCACCTCACGCTGCTTAATGTGTATCAAGCGTTCATCACTACGGGAAAGAAGGATGTGAAGTTCTGCCGCGACAATTCGCTGAATTTCAAGAGCATGACCAGAGCGGTGAGCGTGCGGGGACAGCTGAAGCGGATGCTCGAGCGCTTTGGAATCGCTGTGGATGAGACGTTGAGTAGGAATGCGAATAAACAAGCGTTAGGTGCAGGTGGTATGGATAAGGGAGAGGCGATACGGCGATGCTTGACGACGGGATTCTTTGCGCATGCGGCGAAGATGCAGCCGGATGGGACGTTTAGGAATGTAGCTGGGGGGACGGTGTTGCATGCGCATCCGAGCTCGTTGATGTTTAATCGGAAGGCGGGGTGGGTTGTTTTTCAGGAGGTTATGGAGGTGGGGGGGAAGACGTATGTTAGGGAGGTTACGAAGATTGAGAAGGATTGGTTGGTGGAGTATGCGCCGGAGTTTTATAAGGCGAAGTGAGGGTGATGGGAGTGGGGTTGGGAAGCATTATGCTGGGAGTTTGGGGAAATGGATATCGTAGAATACTGATATAGGCTTGACATGAACCCATCTATATAAACCGAATATGCTAAATCTTAATTGTCAATTAAATTGTGGTGGAGCAATTTAAATTCGCAGTATATAATTTTATATCAGCACAAGAAAATAAATATAATGAAGCAAAACTTTAAAATAATTCAAGTAAATACTATCATAACTAACGATCAGCAATACATAAATTCCATTAAAACAACAAATCCCTCTACCTGTACACGAATACACGAATATACGAACATCAATCTACCTACTTTACCACCCTAGTCGACGTCACCCCTCCTCCCCCAGCCACGAACGAGGGGAACATCGAAGCGAGCCCTCTACATAACCCACAATACGAAATCTACCTGCAACAAACCACCCAAGCGGCTTTAGCTCACTTGGGAGAGCGCCAGACTGAAGACAACTTCGGTTCGATATCTGGAGGCACTGTGTTCGATCCACAGAAGCCGCATTCATCTGCGAATCGGGGATTACCTCGACTAACGAACACTTATTTTTTTGCCATTTTTTTCTGCGTGGGGGTATTGTGCGCACATAGATGGGGGAGGCTTGAGAGGGACGAGACATTGGTTTAAGGCACCAATGTATGTTATTGGACTGGAGATGTGTGTGCGTCACGGCAGCTGATTTTTTTGGGATATGGACGAGTTTTCTCCATGTTCATATTATTTCATATTGTGGTTGGTATATATATGCATCTCTAAAAAACAAATCCGAACACCACGCCCAATGCTTCCCACAATGCCGCTGTACTGTACTGTGTACCACCTATGCCCTATTACCCTGTCTTAACTGGACAGTTCCATACCTCTGAAAGAGCTGGCGAACTATCATAACCCCAAACAAGGACAAACCATACGTGCGAACAGGCCCGATAGCCCCAGGAACCACTGTATTCGACACCACCAATATGTACACCGCAGCCGCAGACTCAACAGCAGCAAGGATAGCAAAAGCGGCGCTCCACTTCGAGGCCGTCTTGGATATCGCAACCGTAGTATGATCCATAAGTGACCGGAGCCCAATGAGTATACACCCCGTCATCGCCGCCTGAGTCATCGATCTCGAATACTCCGTCGGCCTATGGAACGAGAGATTCCAAAACCACAATAAAACACCAAGTGCCACAGCGGTGAGGTTCCCAGACAACACCGATACTGGTGAGCTACCCTGTGACTGCGCCTTTCCCCTCGCAGCCCGCTCGTTCTCCGCTGCTTCCCGCTCGTCAAACGAGAAGGCCGCTCCAAATGCGTCCGCCAACCCCGTAGTATCTTCATGAGAATCAGGTGGGAAAAACTTCGGCTGTGCAAACACAGCGTCCTGACGACTGGATTCTCTAGGCGCCCGAGAACCCTGGCTTGGTAGCATATTCAACGTCATTTTATTGAAGAAGTTCTGCTTCACCTCCTCGGAAGGGGCTGATAGTAGAGGCTGGTTTGGTGGATTTCGAAGTTTTCGTGCTGGTGTGATTGGGGCTGGGGGGACTTTGAACCAGAATGGTGAGAATTCTGGGCCGGATGGTGCTTGGTTGAAGTGTTGTCCGTCTCTTTGTGCGGATAAACCGCTGTTGAACGCTCGGTGCGCGGATTGGCTGGGCATCCATTCCATCTCATCTGGATCTGGGGCGTTGGCAACCTCCATTGACGTCGATTGTCCATTATTAGATGAGTATTTGCCCATAGCTCCCCTATTAGTTGGTGAAAATGGCGATGGGGAGCCCGTGATGCTTAGCGCCGAGCTTGATTTGGACAGAGTTTCTCGATTGCGGCATGATATATTAGATATAGACCCAGGGGAATCCCAAGGTTTCGACTGCGCAAAATTCGTCCTCGGCGTTCCTTGGGACGATACTGGCGAAGACGCTCCGACGGGCTCTTGAGAAATACTATTCAGGGCTTCGTATAAGCTATTGGGAGCATGGCTAGGTGATGATGTTGCTTTCCGTTTAGCAATGAGAGCTTCGCGGTCAGGCGTTGATGAAAATAGGGGTTTCGACCTGGCGATGACTTTCTTGGTTGTTGTCATAGAAACCTAAGAAAGTCAGTATGTCTGAAGGTAAAGCGACTAGTTATTGAACTTACCCAAGCTGTGAAGGCGAACATAAACGTATGTGCAGCCATATTTACCGACGATTTAGCATCGCCGAGAATCGATTTACCACTGATATACCAAAGGAGTCCGCGAGCTAATAACAGCACGACTTGGTGTGAATACCACGATTCCAGGCCATGAACCTTATGAAGCCCATTCTTGATCGTGTATCGAAACTCCGGATTCCACCATAGGGAGCCCAGGGAGAGGAGCAAGCTTGCCGTAGCTAAATCAGGAAGCCGCTGTGCTACCACATCTGAAAGATGCGACCCAGCTGATAAAACGGGGTTGACCAAGCGATACAGGAACGGGCGTGAGGGGCCCATTCCGTCGTCAAGGATAGAATCTCCCAGGATAGAATCCCCTGCAAAAGAATCCACCGCAACAGGCTGAAAGCCCTCAAGGAGGGCCATAACCTCACAGGCCAGCTGCAAATAGATCCCAGTTGTCCAAGCTACCTTCCCCCCGTATTGTATTCTTTCTAACCAAGTGCGCTTGGCCTTTCGTCCAGGGCCACCATTCCTTCGGGTCCTCTCCAATTGTCTTCCATGCGCATCGACCTTGGCACTGTAGACGGCGCGCTTCATGCGATCCTGGACCTTGTCTACACAGTTTTCGCAGACCTGGGGATACCGCTCTTCTAGTTGCTGTTCGAAACGTTGGATATTTTGTGACAATCTATCGTAATCGGGATGATCTGGATCTTCTGGGAGGTATTGCGCTAATGAGGAGCGATAGAGATGTTGATTTTTGATGCATGTTTGGCAAAATACGGAGTCGTCAGCCGACGCTGTCGACCATGTTGGAGGAGGAATGGCCTTCGCAAATGACCTGCCTGGCGAGGCTTCTTCGAATGTAGCTACCGGGGGATCCGTAATATCTCCATTCTGTAACGTATTAGAAGTTATCAATGCAAGCAAATGAATCGCGTTTTACCTCATCCAAGTAGTTTACTGCCTCGCAGTTGGCGCACTCCCACTGGCGAATGCTACCATCCTGCCTGCGCGTTGACTTTCGGTTACAATAAAAGCAAACGAGAGGTCGACCCAGAGAGGAAGCCATGCGTTTCTATGCATCTAGTTTCGTTGTATGGACGGGAAATTGTAAATATTCGCAAGCTGTGTGTTTCAACTTTTGTGGATTCTGCCGTATTCCGAGCACCGCCTGGGGGTGGCTGTAGGGGTGGTAGGCGGTGAAGCGCACTGTGTTAACTTAGTATCAGGTCAAGGTGTTGGCTGTAGCTATGTGGCTCCTACCATAGCTCCAGGAACACGACTTTTTCATATGCAGGATGGCGTCGAGCACTCCATCACCTACCCAATTAATACACACGTACAGACACTTGTACAAGGCCCTGCTGCATGCAGTCAGATATTCGAAACCTAGCCGCCATGTTGTTCGAGACGAACTCCGTTGCGCCTTTCGAAAGTCTGATCCAAGCGCATACGATGCAGGGAAAATCGCCCGAACACTCGAGTTTATTGAAGGCGCTGGCAGGGAAAAAGGCATAGAACACCAGATATTGAAGAATATGTGTCACACGGAGAATATGAGAAGGTACATCGCTGCGATGTAAGTTGAAGCCGAGAATGGACCAGCCTTTTGAGGACCAAGCTGACGGTTTATTATAGTGTGACGCATAGGTCGAAAGGACTGGCTGGTGCCGCTAAAGCGAAGTCTTTCGAACATTACAATAGCACAATTGCAATGCTGAATGATAGCATGGGCATGTGTTTACCGGTTCACTGAAATAATGGAGCATGGCCAGATCCATGAGATACAGGGCGGTAGAAAGAGAACATCACTGGACCAACCAAGTCCAACAAAAGCAGAGAACACCATACTTGCTTGGACAGCAAACTCAAAAGGGCAGGAAATGTGTCTATAGTTTAGCCTGCTGTGTCAACCACTCACCACGGATCCAGAGCCAAACAACTCATCAGACACTGGCCGGAGAGAAACAAAATTCTTCCCACGGGGTTATACGACTATATTGGCAGAAGACCAGCAACTTGGCTATATCATCTCTTCAATTGGGGTGACCTGAGGAGGCGGCATGGGCACCGTGATCCTCATCCAAGCGGTCAAGTTGAGATGAATACATCCGGACGATAACTGCAATATCTTAGGCAATTGCCCCCGAGAATAGCTCTACCGGGCGTCACAAACCAATACTCTAATGTAAGATTTAATAAATGTAGATTATCATAATATCAAACGCTGCGCGTTGTTTACATATTGCTTGGTTTCGACTGTTCAATGCCGCAATAGGTGAGATTTCTACATAAATCTTTAATTCAGTGAAGCCTATAATTATAGGCCCTCTGATTGTAAATCATTTTACCATTTATCAAAAATTTATCGGAGATTTGTTGTAGTTCACATAAAAAGTGAAAGTAGGCGTAAGATACATTTACCACCAAATCTTACATAGTAGGTCGGATCCGGAAAAAGCTTGGCTCCAGCTCCGGAACCTCGCAACTTTAACGACAACCACCGCCAACTCCACGCAACGCCGCACCACCACCCTTAATTGACAGCCAACACCCCTCGTCATGTCTTCGAAAGTTGCACAGTCGGTTGTAAAAGCCACTCGCCGTGTCATTCCCGTGTCCGAGGTACGCTCTTCCCCTCCTGCACCCAACACCCTCCCTCTCCCTCCCCCATCACCCACCACCTCTTCCTCCCTCACCACTAACCCCCGGCAGAAATACACCGTGCAATCCACCGGCATTTACGAGCGCATCCGCCGCATCTTCGCCGTCGACCCCAGCCGCTCCAACGGCGTCCCCCTAAACCCTCAATTCCGCAACCCCACCCCCGGCGCCGTCGACCCACGCACCATCGACGACCGCGTCACCCTGCCCGCGGCCGACATCGCCGAGAACCCGTACTGGAAGCGTGACACGCGCCGCAACTACGCGCGCGCGAGCGTGGTTGGGCAGGGCGAGCTGGTGCAGCTGCTGAGCGTGGGGAATGCGAAGGATGGCGCGAAGGTGGAGTTGATTGGGGAGCAGGGCGAGAAGGCGTTGGTGGCTGCGAAGGGGGAGGGGGAGAACGGGCTTGCGGCGTTCTTTAGGGAGGGGGATGTGAGTGGTGTGCTTGGAGAGGGAGGGTTGCCGCCGAACCCGAGTCGGGGGGGGCCGGATGATGCGCCCGTTCGCTATGAGATGACGGAGGATCAGGCGTATCCCGCACAGTAAGTTTCTTGCCGTTGATGTGGGAAGTGGCGTGTGCTAATGATGTGTGCTAGGTACCCTTGCAGGACATTTGCTTAAAGAGTGATGGAAAGAAGGAGCTGGGGGGAGAGTAGATTGTATATATGATAGCCTTTGCCGACTGAGTGTGGAATAAGAAGATTCAATGAGGGCCTTTATTTCTTTGATGGTGTGATATGCGGATGCGTTTCTAGTTTCTTCTAGGGATGTGCATAGACAGATGCACCAATGCATATTACTGTCTATCGATATCGCTGACTGTCCTGGTATGGTTACGGGGACATCGTCATTGGCCACCCACCTTCCATAAGATGTTCACCACATAGCAAATCTACCATAAGTCAAGTTGTTTCCATTTTATTTAAAGCTACAAGCAAAGCCACCGCACAACCCGTACACAAACGCTACCCTGTCCATCATAACCCATGGCCAGCGGATACATAGAAGATCCGTGTCGCATACACCCCCTCTCTCACAGTAGCCTAACACGCTCAAGCCTTAACTGGCTCTGCAACAGTAGCATTGGCGTCCACCTTGTCCGCCGCCTCAGCTACATCAGCCGCCGCCTTAGCCCCCTTAACATCCTCCTTCTTAGCAGCCTCCGAATCAGCGCCTAACAGCTTCTTCACCGCAGCATGAGTGCCAGCAGGACTACCCGGCTCAGCAGCCAACACCTTCCCCTCCTTGTCCACGACAAACAAGCCGCGCTGAGTGCCAGAAGGGCTCTTCTTAAGCCCAATCGCCTCAATCAGCGTAGCCTTCGGGTCGCAGAGGAGATCATAGGGCAAGTTCTGCTTAGTCTTGAACGTGGTGTTTGCCTTGGGGCTGTCGTTGGAGAGGCCGTAAATGGCGAATCCCGCAGCGCTGAATGGCGCGTAGGAATCGCGGAATAGGCAAACCTGGGTGGTGCCTGCAGCTATTAGAGTAATCCTCCACATAAGATGGACGTTAACATACAACCGGGCGTGCTGGCGCGGGGATACGTAAACAGTACGACACCCTTCTCACTCTTCTCCACAAGCTTCTGGAGGGTGATCTTCTCACCACCCTGCGTCTCGATTTCGCCCCCGAAGCCGGCGAGGGTGATGGAGTCGCCGACTGCGACTTTGGCGGCCTTCTGGGCTGGCGCGGCGGCGGCGGCGGCGGCGGCGCCGTTGGTCTTGCTGGCTGCGGCTTTGGCCTCGGGCGCAGCCTTGGCCTTGGCGGCTGGCTTTGCGGCTGGGGTCTTCTTCTTAGATGGCGGAGGTGGAGCAGACTCGACGGGGGCCTTGCGCTTGCGAAGAACGACGGGCATGATGGCTGTGGTGGTGAGTGCGTGAGGTGGTTTGGGATGGGTGGTTGCGAGGTCGGCGCGCTGGTGTGCGACGCGAAGTGAGGTTTTGGGGACTTGGAGCTCGGAGATAAGGAAGTACAGAGTACGGGGAGACGCGATGTAAGACTGTGGTCTTCACGGATTGGATTGGGAGTGCGGGAGACGCGTCGACAGAAGAGTCAGCGCTGGATGACAGTGGGCGTGGAGTACGTAGATGGGACAAAGTGATAAACCACTAATAAATATCGCGACGACCACAACAATAACACGGATTGGGGGGAAGGAGGGATGGGGAGAGTTAAGAAACAGGTAAGCCGGAGGGTGGCAGTACAACACGTAGCACGAGTATGGTACAACTACGACATCTGAGTGCTAAATTAACGGCGTTGTAGGTCAAATGTGGTCTGGGCCGTTTCATGCAAGGCCATAGAGCTGAGGGAGTCAAAGCTGAGGCAGCAAATAGGAACGGCTGGTTAGCAGCCACGGCTTTCCCGAGTAACTTGAAGGCATTACAACTCCGTATAAACCGGTTGGAAGACGCGGGAGATTGTGTGTAACGGCAGGGCGTATATTACAGTGATGACGACTAGAAAAAAAGGGGGCAATCTTATATTTCAGCGATGTATTTTTACCACGGAGAACGTAGAGCAACAACGAACATCGATATGAGGAAAGATTGGTCGATAGAAATGACAGACTGCCAGGGAATTCCTGTGCTGACTCCGTCGAGTACGGAGTCAGCACAGGATTGTTTCTAAAAATCAAGTTTTATATTGTGCATAATATCACGTGAAAAAACATCACATGACACTACTCGTTGCTCGCTGGGCCACGAGCAAATCCGGGAAGCGTCGGCTGGGAGCGTCAGGGTAATCGCGGCACCGCAAAAAAAAGAAAGTGTTAGTCAGCGGAGAAGATAATTCCCATCTCCTGCCTCATACGTGAACATCCAACAACCTCCCGGATCATCGGATACACCTAATTCACGCCATAATCGACGACTACTGCTCTGGCTTTGCTGCGAGGAACAGACAACAAAGATCGGCCGGAGTACGCTCACGACTTACCCACACCCCACACGCGATCAACTGCTTTTTAGCGCCGCAACTCACACGACCATGAAGGTCTTCTCCAATTCCTGCAACTTCGACTACTCTTGGGAAGAGGTGTCGACTGCGAATTGGAGGAAGTACTGTCCATGGAACGATAAATCAACACACGTCATTGCCGTCGACACGCTGTCACGGCATGTCGACTCGGACACCGGAATTGTAAGTATTTTGAACCCGGCAATAGTGGCAAGTGATGAATGCTAACGCAACACCCCCAGCTCCGCACCGAACGACTCATAACATGCAAACAATCCGCACCGAAATGGCTCCTTGCCATGATGGGCGGAAACGAAACCTCCCACGTCCTCGAGACCTCCTACGTTGACCCGCAATCGAAGAAAGTCACCATGTGCTCGACGAACCTCACCTTCGCGAACCTCATCGCCGTGCAGGAGACTGTCATCTACAGGCCGACATCCGACGCGAAGACCGAGTTCCACCAGGAGGCCAAGGTGACGGCCGTCTGCGGCGGCTGGCAGAAGATCAAGACCGCGGTCGAGGAGGCGACGGTCTGCCAGTTCCAGAAGAACGCCATCAAGGGCCGTGAAGGATTCGAGGCCGTGCTCGAGATGAGCAGGCTCGCGTTCAGCGAGGAGAAGAGCAGGCAGAAGATCATGGCGTAGAGGGAACGACGATACATACACAACCGAACCTTGTACCAACGACATTACGAACCTTCCTCATCTGCATCAACTACACATTCGTCGATTAGCGTTGCATATAAAAAGGGGTTTTAGGGTTTTGGTTGTTTTTGGGGGTTAATTATTAAAAGTACAGGGAGTTCTACGTGGGGGACGGACGAGCCGGTCGATGCCTAGCGTTTTTGGCGGGCTTTTTGTTACATATTGATATTGGAGCGGATAGACTTTAGCATGCGATACCCCAAAAGGCAGGAAGAGCGCACTGCTACGGTTTATAGAAGGACGAAGCGATTAGAGACGCACACACCCTTAGAATCCAAATCACTTTTACAGAGAATAATGGGCTTGTTGGGGAATGTTCACAGTGGGGTGATATATGGTGTGACTATCTACAAGTGTGAAATGTGGGCTGATATTTTCTTGTGAGAACCTCAATGACGTAAACCAAATACGATCCCAATTGATACTATACAGATGTTGTTGAATGTGTTTTAAGTCCTATGTGTTATAAGTTCGCATCACATGATTGAAGAAGAAAGAAGAAAAGATTGGGGATTTCGTGAGGCTGTCCTCACGAAATCCCCAATCGTTTCTTCTCTTCTTCAACAATCTTATAATGGAGGATCCAGATAAAATAATGCCGTCCGAGACGGAATTCCCAGTGCCGCCGACGTATGAGAAGGCCGATGAGATCCAAGAGTTCGACGCGTCGGGACAGCTGGTCACAACCGTGACGGTGCTCCGCGGGAGCCTCGTCAAGTACGTTGGGTATTCTTACGGGGATTCTTCGTTATTGCCCCCTGAGTACCTGGCCAAGTACCCGGAGAGTCGCGTTTATGTATCTGTGAGTTGCGTTTCAATTCTAGTCAATATGAGAGTGTGATGGGGGCGGTTGTCGTATTACAATGCGGACGGCAACTAATGCACCATAGATCCCAACGAGGTCGCACTCATGGGCGAAGAGTTTCATGGAGATATTCCTACCAGCTGGGTATCCCAATAGTGTCACAGAGGACTATATGGAGTAAGTTCTGAAATATTTGTAACGCGTGATATCTGTCTGACAGTGGTTTTTAGATATCAGATCTATGTAAGCATATTAACGTCTCATTGTCATATTATTCTATCTTGCTGGCCATGAAGCATTCATATATGAAAAACTTCTACAAAGCATTGGCAACTACCCCCCATCAAACCATCCCTTAACACCCCCTCAGGACTCGCTCCAAGCGTTCTCAAGCTCCATAGCCGGCCTCATCGCCTCCCGCGCTGTCCTTGAAGGTACCCTCCCCCTCCCCTCATAACACCCCCCCCTAACACTCCCCAGGCGTTGGAGTCGGCGACGCCACCGCCTCCCCAACAACCGCCCTCCTCCTCTCCGTCCTCCAAGATTCCACCGGCCGCATTGCCACCATATTCTTCGCCGCGCGCCTCGGCCTCTCCCTCGAGCCCGAGTGCAAGCGCTGGCGCCTCGTCGCCGACATCTTCAACGACGCCGCCATGATCCTCGACTGCCTCTCCCCGGCCTTCCCCAAGCCGCTGCGCGTCAGCCTGCTCAGCGCATCCGCTGCTTTGCGCGCCCTCTGCGGCGTCGCCGCCGGCTCTGCAAAGGCAAGTCTGAGCGCGCACTTTGCTAAGAGTGGTAATCTGGGCGAGCTGAACGCTGTGAGTTGCCCTTCCCACCTGATCTCAACCCCCCAACACCACTAACAAACCCACAGAAAGACTCCTCCCAAGAAACCATCATCTCCCTCCTCGGCATGCTCGTCGGCACCGCCCTAATCCCGTACCTCACCACCCCCCTCCAAACCTGGACCGCCCTCCTCCTCCTCCTCTCCATCCACCTAACCACCAACTACTTCGCCGTCCGCGCCGTCAGCATGCGCACTCTAAACCGCCAACGCGCCTCCCTCCTCCTCCGCCCCCTCCTCTCCCCACCCATCAGCCCCGCCCCTCTCCCTGCCCTCCCTCCAAACCCCATTGCCAGTCCCTTACAGATCTCACAACTAGAAACCATAATCCACCTCGACCCCTCCTCACTGCACGATCCAAACCCAGCACACGCCTCCTTCGTCCCCCTCGCCACCGTCCTCTCCCACGCCTCGCGCGGCCCGAACCCAATAAGGCCACACATCCTCCTCAGCATCTTCGCCGCGGAATCCTACATCCTCTACTTCGACCGATACACCCGTCACGCGTTCATAGCGCTCAAATCGTCCGCCACAGCGTCGACGGCCTTGCGCTCCTGGTTCTGCGCCATGGAGTGCGCGCACATGGACGACGGTGCGTGGGCGGGCGGATGGAGCGGTGGGCATTCGTGGGAGCCTATGCGTGGGGGTAAGGAGGGCGCGGATTCCGCGGCGCTGGGGGGGTGCGTGAAGCGCGTGGCGAGGGTGTGGCCGGTGATTGAGGAGGGGTTGAGGGGGGAGGGGTGGGATGTTGGTACTAATGCGCTTGAGACGAGGGCGGGGACGCGGTTTAGTGTTGTGGGGGGGAGGAGAGGGAGAAGTGGGAGTGGTGGCAGGAGTGGGTGGTGGAAAAGAGGGAAACGCGGTTGATGGAGAGTAGGACGAAGGAGAAGAAGGGGGAGGAGGTTAAGAAAGATATGGTGCTGTCGCCGGCGCCGTGGTCTATCTTTGGGGCTTTGGGCAGGAGAAGCAAGAGTTCGGAAACTATGTTGCTGGTTCAATCACCTATAAAGGAAATAGCGAGCGAGGCACCTAGCGAGGCAACAATAACCTCAACAACATCACCCGCCTCAGAAGCCGGCTCATATACACACCGAGGAAAACACCGCCTACGGAAATGGCTCTCCTCCACCCTCCTCGGAAGTCAAGCGCCACGCGGAAGGGAAGACAGGAACAGTGACGCGTCTTCCTCCTGGAATGAAAGACCATCGACCGAGAAACCCTCCCACGACGTCCTCTCCGAGAAAGCAGCTCTAGAAGCAGCAGCGACTGTCAAACCCTCCCCCTCCTCCGTCCTCTCCGAGAAAGCAGCGCTAGAAGCAGCAGCAGCAGAAGCCCGGAACCACGCCGGCAGCTCATCCGAACCCCCCCCGCCCTATTCCGAACACTCCACGAAGGAAACCGTGGATGAGGGAGGCGAGAGCACTGGAAACACCGAGTGAGATAAAAAGGCTAGAACGGCCTAGGGAAAGAGCGACTGACGTAAAGGGGCTAGAACGGCCCAGGGAAAGAGCGTTGGAAGAGGGTAGGGACACATATATCCCGAGGGAAGGTGCGACTGGGGATGTAGATCCGTTTTCTGGGAAGGAGCGAAGGGTAGGGTAGGTAGGGAAGGAGCGACTGAGGAAGTAGATGAGTTTTCTGGGGAAAAGCGAAAGGTAGAGAAGGTAGGGAAGGAGCGACTAGGAGAGTAGATGATGTCTTGCTGGGAAGGAGCGACTGGGGGGAAGTAGGGTGGGTTTATTTTGTGGGAAGGAGCGATTGAAGGATATGGAGTTCAGGTCCTTGGGCGCGCATTTTGGGGGGTTTTAAAAGGGTCAAATGGGATGGGTATGGGTATGGATATACGGATAGATGAGATCAATGAGATAAATGAATGACACGTATGCATAGACGCGTTGTAGTTCGCGCGTCTTCTGCCTGTTATATGGGTGTCTGCCTGCCTATATGCCCATCTACCTACGTGCCTACTGCCTCCAAACCCTCTATTGCACCTTCCCTACTTTTCCCACCCCTCGCTCCTTCCCAGAGTACTCACTCCTTAATCGCACCTTCCCTCAAGTGTGGCCTGCTGTGTTGTTCCTCACCCCCTCACCTCCCCACAGTCCTCGCATTTCTCACAATCAGACACGAGAGACGAGAGTTGTTTGTATAAAGTAGTTGAGGGTATAATTATATATCACCATCCCACCCATCCATCACACTATCTCTCTTCCCCCTTTCCCCTTCCCCCGTCATCATCGATCCAAAGCATCTATAGGATATATCCAAACAACACCAAACAACAGCACACGCTCAATGCCTCCCCCCCACCACACAAGTACAAAAAACTCCCAAAGTCTATGTAGAAGCCTGGAACTGACACCCCGCCATCGTTGTAAATGCCCAATCCCCCACACCCCAAAACAACAACGCCTTCGCATGTGTTCCTCGTATCCAAAAGCTGAGAGTATCCCAAAACGCTCCTTTTGCCCTCCCATATCCCTTTTCCGCGTAATGACGCTCTGTCTCTAAAATCCAAACAAAATGCTCCGCGCTGTGCATACAATTTGACCCCTTTTTTAAAAAAACATCTCCGGTCTTGTCGTCGTATAAATATAGACAAGAAGTTCCTCTTCTCTCTCCTCTCTCACACACCTCGTGCATTCATAGTAAGCACCTTCCACAACAACCCCCTCTTCCCCATGAACCCCCTCTCCTGCGCCGCCGCAGGCGGGGGCGCCATCATATCCGCACCCCCGCTAAAACCCCTTTCCGTCTCCTCACCCGCCCTCGCCCCCAAATCAAGGCTCGACCTCGCACTAAGGCTCTCCTCCCACCCATACCGATCCGTCGACGTCGCTTGGGAACCCGCTGCAGTAATAGAAGAGTGCACGCTCGCGCGATCGACGAGCGTGCTCGCGAGCGAGGTGACGCTCATCGCCGGTGTGAAGAGCGCGGTATCATTACTCGTCACGCTCGGGTTGCAGCCTCGTTTCGTGGCAGCAGCAGCAAGGAGTCTCCAATCGATCTCAGCCTCGTCTGCTTCAGCGCCCTTGACAGGTCGCGCCGCCTCAGCAGCAAGGATAGAGTTAAGCGTCAGCGCCGGGTGAGCGTAGATATACTGATTCTGCAGACTCGGGCGCGGGATCCGGCGCCTCGGTTTCGGTTTCGGCGGTGCCATCCGTGTAGGTTCCGTGGGCGCAGGCGCGGGCGCCTCTGATTTTGCGACCGCGTCGACTCCTTTCGTCTCCAGTACGTCCGCCGCGCCCGCGCCGGTCATCGTCGGCATCGAGGAGATGGCGGGCGATGGACGGCGCGGGGCTACCTCGAAGGGGGCCGTCATCGTGGCCGCGGGCGGCAGCACGGAGGCGGGGATCCTCTGCGAGGGCGGCGGAGCGTGGGGGACGGAGGATCTCGGCGCGGTCTGCGCTCCCTATTGCGGAGGGGGGGCGTGCGGGTAGCTGCTGGATGTGCTCGGGTTGTATTGGTTGGTATTGTGGCGAGACGCGTGGGGGTAGCTCGAGGTGCTCGTGCTGGATTCGGAGGTGTGGGAGGGGCGGGTCTTGCGGAGTCCCCATTTGAAGCCCATTTTCTCCCAGGCGGACCCGCCAAATTTACTCTTTGGGCTTGAATCCGAGGAGTCGAACGAGTCGGCTGTGGGTGGTGTGATTGGGGGTGTCATGGGCTCACCAAGGGAAGTCGGAGAGTCAGCGCTGCTCATGCTGTCGTCGGTGTAGGAGTCGTCGTTTGCTTCGGCGTTGCTGGTCGTAGGTGAGGTATAGTGAGAACCCAGGCCACGCTTAAGGGCAAGCGCAAGATGAGAAGGTTGTGACGGGCGTAGAGGTCCAGAGTAGGTTTGCGTGTCGCGACTCGAACTCCCATAACCTGACTGTGAAGAGGATCCGGAGTGGTTACGGGATTCTTGTGTGAGCATACCCGACATATCATCCGTCGACGCGTACGGACTCCAGTAGGTGGTGGGGCCTCGCGTTACCGAGACGGAATTAAGGAAGGGCACAAGGACACTCTCCTCCATGAGATCATACACTATCCTGACGGCCGTATCGAGTTGTGAGGGGTGTGGTGGTGTGAAGTGGCTTGGGGCAGAGACGAGACGATCGCGAACGTCGGACGGTAAGTTGACCTCGCGGGGTCCATTCGGTGTGATGTAGGCATCCAGCAGCTTCTGCCATAGCATACGAACGTATTCGCAACCCTCCGTCGACGGTGTTATTAGTAGCCCAGGGCTATTCTCTCGTAATGTTTCATAATGTTTCCGGTACCGCGAAGCATCCATTGTAAATTCTAGTGTTTCCAAGCAGTGATTTTGTGATAGGTAGGCCATGAAGGCGCTGAGCGTCCATGGCGGCGGCGCCGAGTTTGTGAGCACCTCTCGCAGTGTCGGCCTTCGCGGGCAGTATGGTCTAGCGGGTATGGCAAGGCTCAGTGGCCTCGATGGCAGGTTGTCGCTAGACGACATGAATTCGTCGTCGGCGTCCCAGTCGAAGACGACCGCAGAGCACCTCGGCGAGGGATAAGCGGTATTTTCTTCGTGATTTTGTTGAGGTATTTGTTTCGGTCGTTTCGACTTTCTCATTGCGATTCGGGAGAACCTCATGAAGCCCTTGGCCTCTTTCCCAACTATGCTACTGCTCCTGCTCTTTCGTGTACTGAAGGATAGAGACGTTTCTATATTGACAGCATTGGCAACGTCGTGTATGTGTAATGCAGTAGGGTATCTGGTAATGAGGACAACGACCTTTTTGGAGTCGCGTTTGGACCCAAAGAGGGTCTACGATTTGACTGGCGGATCTAAGAAACGACGAATCACTTTCAACACCTGTAGGTAGCCGATCAAACTTCCAATGGTTGGCGATCTCCGTTTCCGTTCCAAGACACGCGGGTGTCAAGCGTTATGCAGTGCGTCGTCAGGAATGTTTCCTGGGCTCCGCGCGTCCGAATGTATGGTAGGGGTGTGAGTGTGGTGTAAGTTGGTGTGGCGGTGGTGCAAACGTGCGTTTGAGAAACCGTCGTGTAACGTTGGCGAGTGTGTCGGGAAGGAGAGGTATAAGAGAGAGCAGCCTGTGACAGATTCCTTGTGTCACCAGTGAGGATGTATGTAAAGACCCGATTCGTAGTTTCCTCTTTCTTGCGTAATAACACTCTTTCTTTTTTTCGCAGCGGGTGACACCAAGGTGGTGCAGTAATGGGTACCAAGTCCACTTATAGTCCCACTGCCCTGGGAAGGAGACAACGGCTGGCAGCCTTGTTTTGGTTTCAAGGCTGGCAAGGTGTGATTGTGTGCGTGTGCTTGTGTGAGGTAAGGTATGGAGCGGATATGGAGCGGATATGGAGCGTATGGAGCGTATGGAGCAAACGGGATCGGTTTGGCGCGGCTAAAGACAGCACGTTCTCTCGCAGAAATAAGTGAATGGGTCGGTCGGGAAGGATGGGCTGGTCTCGGAGCAGGGATATGGGTCGTCATGAATGTTTCGAAAGAGGCTTCTGTGCATCTGAGATCCGAAGTGCGAAGTGGGTATTCAGTAGCAAGGTAGCGTACTCCGAATAGTGGATGCCTGTGGGTGCTTGTGGGGCCAAGACGTAATAAAGGCGAGTGGGGTCGGGGAGGGGCGTGGGACAGCGGAATGATGGAGGGCCTGGTTTTTGAGCGAATAAGTAACTTTTTGTCATTGGTGAAGAGTACTACAAGTAAAGAGTAAGTGGTGCTTCGTATGTCAAGTCGGTTGCAGGTTGCAGGTTGCAGGTTGCAGGTTGCCACTGTGCAAAGGTGCGAGGTGCCACTTGGGGGTTTGAACGACGACGACGAGTGGACAGAGTGGATTGTAGCAGTGGAGTGTATCAGTGGAGTGGATTGTAGCAGTGGAGTGGATTGTAGCAGCGGAGTGGATTGTAGCAGCGGAGTGTGTTGGGAAGCAGATATGAGGTGAGGGATCTTTTCTTTACCTTTTTCTTTCCTGTACAATAGAGAAGTGAGGCAGGGCCAGGAGCGGCGGAGAGTAAAAAAACAACAGTTCGAACAGCGAAGCGCGGCGGATAAGTAGCGGCAGGGTATTGGAGTATTGGAGTAATCGTAGAGGAGAGTGAGGAGAGTGAGGAGAGTGAGGAGAGTGAGGAGAGTGAGGAGAGTGAGGAGAGTGAGGAGAGTGAGGAGAGTGAGGAGAGTGAGGAGAGTGAGGAGAGTTGGCGTAGTCGTTTCGCGGGTCGGTTCTTCTTTCGTCGCTTCTGGAAGGGAAGGAAAGAATAGAGTAGGGAGTAGGGAGTAGAGTGTACGCTGGTCAGGGTTCACTGCTGGTTCGGTGGCGAGGTGGAGTCGAGGGGTAGGGAGACAGGCGGGGCAGCAAGGCGTAGTTTGGGCGTTTATGTGCAATGGGGTACAGTAGAAGTTGCAGGTAGAGAGCAGGAGTGTAGGGGTTCGTCGAAGTTGCAGGTAGAGGAGGAGTGTAGGGGTTCGTCGAAGTTGCAGGTAGAGGAGGAGTGTAGGGGTTCGTCGAAGTTGCAGGTAGAGGAGGAGTGTAGGGGTTCGTCGAACCTCCACTCTACGACCCCCTACTCCGTACACTCCGGGGTTCAAGAAGGATTGGTAAGATTGGTAAGATTGGTAAGATTGGTAACCACCACCACCACACCACCCCAATCAGCCAATCAGCCAATCAGCCAATCAGCCAATCACCCACAGCCAATCACCCACAGCCAATCACCCACAGCCAATCAGCCAAACATCCACCACCACCACACCAAAAACAATCCATCCACCACCCAAACACCCACCCCCGTCCTCACTAGAACGACGCTAGAACCTTGCCACCAATCCCCAAAGCGGCCATGACGAGCCCCACTCCACAGTCAATCACCCGGACCCTATTGCCATTTCGGGGTTAGTGTGCTGCTTCGTTCGCAACTTGTGTCGTATGCGGGCGAGGGGGCCGGAGGGAGAAGTGGGGGGGATGGTTGTGGACTAGCGCCGGGTGGGAGAGAGGATATGTGACGAGTTGTGTGGTGGTTGATTGGGGAGGTGACAAGGCAGGATTTGTTGGCACTGGTGCTGGCTGGGGGGGAGAGAGAGGTAAGGGCGAGAGGTAAGGAAGAGAGGTAAGGGAGAGAGGTAAGGGAGAGAGGTAAGGGAGAGAGTAAGGGAGAGAGGTAAGGAGGGATGGGGGGAGGTAAGGGAGGGATGAGGCTGGGATGTTAGACGGCGATTCAGCAGTGTTTTACAGCTGTCTGTCGGCGGTTTTACACTGCCTGTTTTGGCGGTGCCAAGCCAAGCTAGAGTAGTACTAGAACTCAACACCTACAAGCCCAGATCACATCACATACGAATATCAGAAGTTTGAATGGGATCTACAATCTTAAAGTAGTCAAACCCTAGGGCGGTAAGTAATCAAGAGATATAGAGGTTACGGCTTCTAATATCACATTGGCTTTTTAATTGAGGAAATTACCCAGCTTGTGCCACTCCTTTGGCTTTACACAATCAAGCAGAGAGACTTGGGCAAAGCTAGACTTGGAGACTGCTCTCTATGTAGTCTTAGCCTGCCTTGTATATCTAGGGTGTTAGTTAGCTTGTGTTAATCTATTTAGCTAATTACTATGGCTATTAACAGTCTTTCACAATGTAATGGGCCACTTAATAGAATCTAAAGGCATACTTAAGTGGCACCCTTACTGTCATACTGACATTCGTTGCACTCAGTTTGCTATCAAACTCAAGAGCAAACTTGGAAATCTCCTCCTCAAACCTACAAGTCACTATACATATTTTGGCTTATCACACCAACAACAAGAGCAATACTACTCAACGATTGCTACAACCATCTATGATTCATTACACGTCATCGCTCCTTAGTTACTGGGCCGATATTACCACATAGCATATCTCTACAACCCTCTATGATTCATTACATGACATCACTCATACTACCACATGACATATCTCTACCAACTAGAGGCCTAGGAGCATGAACGATAGCTCTAAAAGCTCCTACGAACCTCTATGATTCATTACATGTCATCGCTCTTTAGTTACCCACAAGATTGGTTAAGTTATGACATAATTTGTCTATGACATAATTTGTCTATGACATAATTTGTCTATGACATAATTTGTCTATAGGGGTACTCTGACCTTGGACCTCCTTTTACTTCCTATAGGCTATGAACCTAAGAGATGGTTCTATGGGATTCTCTTACGTCGACTACAGTTACCAAGCCTGGTTAGTCATGGAAAGTCTTGGAAAATGAGAGAACTACACTCCTTTAGCATAAATAGGATTGCCCTTTCCTTAAGAAAGGGCAAGCAGACAATACAGTAAATCGACTATCACATACTTCCACGTCTTTTCCAAGCTTCCAAGCATTGATCTTGTTACTCCTTGTTTCTGAAAAGTCAGTGAGGTGCTAACCTCTGACTTACCCCTGAGTTCCCAGACTCAACATTTGTTGCAACTTGTCTGAACCACTTCACTACATCACACACCTGATTGCTGCGTTGTGGAATAGTCTAAGCTACGACCCTTTGGCTCTGTTTTCTAAGACAGTGTGTTGTCTTAGTAAATTCATCCCTTCCTTGGGTGGCTAGATTCTCACATCTGGTGCACCCACCATTACAGGCAGGTGTAATGGTGGGTGCACCAGATGTGAGAATCTAGCCACCCAAGGAAGGGATGATTTTACTAAGACAACACACTGTCTTAGGAAACAGAGCCAAAGGGTTGTAGCTTAGACTATTCCACAACGCAGCAATCAGGTGTGTGATGTAGTGAAGTGGTTCAGACAAGTTGCAACAAATGTTGAGTCTGGGAACTCAGGGGTAAGTCAGAGGTTAACACCTCACTGACTTTTCAGAAACAAGGAGTAACAAGATGAATGCTTGGAAGCTTGGAAAAGACGTGGAAGTATGTGCTAGTCGATTTACTGTATTGCCTGCTTGCCCTTTCTTAAGGAAAGGGCAATCCTATTTATGCTAAAGGAGTGTAGTTCTCTCATTTTCCAAGACTTTCCATGACTAACCAGGCTTGGTAACTGTAGTCGACGTAAGAGAATCCCATAGAACCATCTCTTAGGTTCATAGCCTATAGGAAGTAAAAGGAGGTCCAAGGTCAGAGTACCCCTATAGACAAATTATGTCATAGACAAATTATGTCATAGACAAATTATGTCATAGACAAATTATGTCATAGACAAATTATGTCATAACTTAACCAATCTTGTGGGTAACTAAAGAGCGATGACATGTAATGAATCATAGAGGTTCGTAGGAGCTTTTAGAGCTATCGTTCATGCTCCTAGGCCTCTAGTTGGTAGAGATATGTCATGTGGTAGTATGAGTGATGTCATGTAATGAATCATAGAGGGTTGTAGAGATATGCTATGTGGTAATATCGGCCCAGTAACTAAGGAGCGATGACGTGTAATGAATCATAGATGGTTGTAGCAATCGTTGAGTAGTATTGCTCTTGTTGTTGGTGTGATAAGCCAAAATATGTATAGTGACTTGTAGGTTTGAGGAGGAGATTTCCAAGTTTGCTCTTGAGTTTGATAGCAAACTGAGTGCAACGAATGTCAGTATGACACTGCCTAATCGATAGGCTTTGGCGTTTCGATTACAAAGTCAGAACAGCACTAGGTGATTACTAACAATTACTCTAACTACAATAGGTATCTGGCTTGCTGTAAGTCTTTAACAGATGACTGTTGAGAGTCTATAGTCTTATTTCCTAATTAGGAAACAGTGGAGTTCATAGGGTGCAGGGTTTGTAAAGGGGTTTTAGACTATATTGATCGATTTTTCTACACCAACTATATACAGGCATGTAAAATGAGCTGTTTTACAGTAGCAGATGCGTCCTGGGCACAAAGAGATCCCCCGAAACACAAGGCGTACCAAACTTCTCCAACACCGCCAAACCTCCCTTTGCCTCTTCTTCCCATTAGCGAATCGACACGATACCAAGCCGCCAACCCCACACCGTCGCGCCGTCCCCAGCGTCGCCACTGCGGAGAGGAGCACGTGTGTGGTTTAGGGCTTTATCTGTCTGCTAGAGGCGAGGAATCGATAATGCACAGTGGTACGGAGTAAACCCGCTCTACGGAGTACACGCCAACAAATTACAAACTACAGGCAGTAGTACGCACGGCGCACGCACTCATTGCGGACCATTGCACCACAATCCCCCTCTCCACCGTTGCGGCCCGTGCAAAAGGTACTCTATACATAACAAATCTCGCAAACCGTATCCACACACGGCCCCACCCTCCCCGGCTTCCTGTCCTTTTACAGTTCGCTTCTCCATTTTTTATTCTCAACAGTGCAATCCAGCCGGGTCGCTCCCAGCCGCGGTCAAGCCACAAAAACGGAACAAGGAAAAAAAAGCCTTCTTCTATGGGGGCTTCTGGACGATTGCTGGATTCGGGGATGCCGTGCAGCGTGCAGGACGAGGTGGAGTTATGTAAGGTACACACCATGTGTACTGCGCTCTCTGTAGACCCCCCCGATTGCAGACATCTCCGAGACCTCCACGGCCCGAGATGAGTGAGTGGGTTTTTGGTATGTCCGTGTCGTTATCCGTTCGCTTGCTGGTGTGATGCTGTCCTCTGCTTTCTGCTCATCGCTGATATCTATCTCGTCCCTCAGCTCTCCTCTTCCCCCATCCATGAACCAGCCGTACTGTTATACAGAAGCTTTTGCGTGTATGCATGGCCAATGACTACAAGCCTACTGGGCCGTCTAGATGGTCGGTAGGTGAGGTGGTATGCTGAGGAGGGCGGGAGAGGTGGGCGGTGGTGATTTATACTCCCGAGTTCAGGGCCGAGGCGAGATGCCGAAGACGAGAGAGGAGATCAAATATGGGAAGGGGAAGGTGAGTAAATGGTACGAGCGTTTGTTGCCTGGCGCCTGGTGGGTAGATGTGCAAACTCGATTCCCATTTCGTATCTACCGGGTAGCATTTGGCTATGGGCTCCCCAAATCCCAAGGGCGGAACATATCATCAGGCTTAGCATATATACAGACACGCACACGCACATAATTCATCCCATATCCATATACCACCCCCCATACACCACCAAATCCACGATCTATCCCACGCCCCCCCAGATCCAAGAAACTCCTTCCATGCAATCTACCCAACCATCCACACATCATCAACCCCCTGCACAACAACAACCCCCTTCATAACAACAAACCCCTTCATAACAACAACCCCCTACTCACTAACCTCCCAAGCCCTAACAGCCCCATCATCTCCACTCGAAACCACCATCTCTCCCTCCCTCCCATCAAACCGCTGACACCACGTAACATGATTAATCTCATACGGTCCATGACCCATCTCCGCTGTGGCGAGGATCTTCCACTTCCCATTCCCCATCTTCCCCTCCCCCTTCTCCCCCTCCTTCCCCTCCCCCTTCTCCCCCTCCTTCCCCTCCCCCTTCTCCCCATCCCCACCCTCCACCACACCGTCCGCGCCTCCCTCCACTTCCCCATACACCACAATCCTCGAATCCCCCCCACAGCTAACCACCCGTCCCGTCCTCTCACTCCACGCAACCGCATACACAGCCCTTGTATGCGCCGCGGGCAGCGTCGCTTCGATCACCCATTTCTCCCCCTGAGCAGCAGCGCGCATCGTCGATGGGATGCCGCCACTCTCCGCCTCAGCAGCTTCGACACGCTTCCAGACGCGCAGTGTGGTGTCTGCCGAGCAAGTTATTAGGCGGCGGTGTTTAGGCTTCGGTGCTTCGGCGTCTGCTTCCTGCTCAGACTCGGCGGCTGGTTGGGAGTCCGGTGCAGCACCCTCCCAAGCAACACCCCAAACCGTTTCCCCCCCCCCTCCAGCACACCAACACACCCCCATTCCCCCTCCCCATCCTCCCTCCACACGCGCACGGTGCCATCATAACTCGCGCTCGCCAAACACTCTCCCTCATCGCCCTCACTTGGGGCCCAGGCAACGCACTTCACATCCCCCTCATGCTCCGTCAGCACCGCGACCGTCTCCCATTCATCAGCCCCGTCGACTTCTTCCCAGATCCAAATACTCTTATCCCTCGAACAAGTCGCCAAATACTGTCCCGACGGGCTAAACGCCAGATTCTTCACCTCAGCATCGTGGCCCTCGAGGACGACGCTGAATTCCCAATCCTCCCCATCCTCCCTCTCCCCGTCATCCCCCTCGTCCCTCCGCCACACCCCAGCAGTCCCATCAAAGCTACCCGTCACCAAACCGAGTTCTCCGGGGCGGAGATGCGGTTTCCAAGCCGTGGAGCGGATGGAGCGGGTGTGTCCGCCTTCGAGGATGGAGTGCGGGGTGGAGGTGCGGAGAGAGGTTATTTGGGCGGATTTGCCGAGGGAGGTGCTGAGGAGGGGGAGGGTGGGGTGGGGGGTTGAGTGCCAGGCGCGGCGGGGGGAGGGGGGGTGGAGAGGGGGGAGGGGTGTGAGGTGCATTGTGAGGCGGGGTAGGGGGTGTGAGTGTAGGTGTTGGCGGGTTGGGGGGGTCGGAGAGGCTGGAGAGGTGAGGTGAGGTTGTTTGGGTTGTTGTTTGTAGGTTGAGAGGTGTGGAAGCGTTGTGATTGATTTATGGCGGGGTTGATGTTCGAAGGAGGGGTAGCTCCGTTTCCTATCTGCGCGGAGACGTCGGATGATCCGCTTTGGTATCGTCAAACTGGGAATTGCCGAGGGAGGTATAGAGCTGAGAAGACAAGTAAAGCTTCAGTCGACGTACGTCGTGTCGAGTGCAGCTCCGTGATTATTATATTATTTCCTCACTATCGCAGTGCGTAACCGAATTGATCAATCAGCCTCGTCTGGCAGCGTGGGGGATTGGCTGGGGCCGGTGCCGGATCAACGACCCCACCGAGACGGCGGATTCGGCCATCCACCGTCTCTTTGATACCACCACTCTCTTATAAAAATGGAAAGCTGTCTGACAGATGAGGAGGAAATCCTGGTGGTATAGAGGAAAATATAAAGAGAAGTAACATGTCAGCCCATCTATTTCCAAATAACAAATCTAGCCACCCTCGTCCATGGAAAGCGCCAGACGAACACCGTAATACCCTCGGCTGGCACGCCTCTTGACTGGCATATAAACCAATCTAATTCTAATTATATCATTATGATGCTTGGGACAGCATCTCAAGACCCTAGAAACTGCAAAGTAGTATTACAAGGCCTCCTGACAGAGTTGAGAGACGAATGTAGGGGGTTGTAGAAAGGAATGCGCTGGTAGCAAGAGGACGAAGGTTCTGTAGCCCCGCTAGATAGCAACCGCAGATTGAGGTAATGGATGCTAACCGATAGACGCCGATATACTGGGCCACTGCTAAGAGGCATCAACCGTCGTCAAACTTCTTCTTGACACTAACAGTGCAGTATCCTTCGCCAGGTGTTGTTGCCGTTGCTGTTTGTCGTTGCTGCGTGTGTTTACCGCCTCCCATAGCTGCTTCTTGTTGCCGCTTGCTATTGTCACTATCCTGTCACCGTCACTATCCTGTCACCGTCACTATCCTATCACCGAAACCATCCGGCTTCTCAGCCGCCCCGAGCATGACGGAGGCGGCTCGGTTTGGAGCTGTGGTATTTGGAGCTGTAGCATTAACCTTTTCCGTGAGCATGTCGGCCTCAGTGGGCTAGCAGGTGTTCGTGTGCTTCGAATGGCACATCGATGTTGGGGGTTTGCAAGGTTCATCAGTTCGGAATGGGAATCTATTCCTATGCTATTTTCGAGACAGCGTGGGGTTGAAGTATGTGAATTTATTATATCTATTACAATTATATTAAAATTACCCAATACACCATACCGTAACCCGGATATGGCTATATCGTGACGTCCTCGGACTAGATTTTCTTAATAATGTCATACTTATTATATTATTTAGAAGGCATCTTACTCATTCTACACCACTTCCCCTTGTCAGTATCTCCTACACCATGCTTCATAACAAACAATCCAGTATGAGAGATTTTATGGATAGATCGTATATTCATAGTCTATAACCAAAAAACCACCCAACTTATTTATCTCAAACCTCCGCCCATTTTCCATGTCCATCCACAAAACATCAGGCGTAGTCTATCAAAATCTTCCGCTTCGATAAACCACCTCCAGGAGGCAAAAGCTCCCTCACAAAACGCCATGGATGTTTTCTTTCATCATCTCCATCTTATCTCATCCCTCATCATATACAGACACCCCCCTTAAACCTCCTTCTCCTCAACAACCACGCCCCATGGGTGGTCCTCGCGACCATACATGATATCCACGAGCCAGTTCTTGATGACGTTGGTGTAATCCCCAACCTCGCCCTGGGCCATTGGGACATCGATATCGACGCCACGGAAGTGGATTTTGGACACTGGTGCGACGAAGAACTGCTTCTGCATTAGCCATCTGCTTCCACACTTCGGGGGTATAAACTTACAGCCGTCCCACAAGCAAAACACTCAATCAACCTCCCCTCCTCCGACGCCTCCACAATCTCCCCCATAGTATACTGCCTCTCCACCACCTCCAGCGCCTCCAGCTCCCCCCCCTCCTTCGCCAACCTCTCCTTAACAAGCTGAATCACACTCCTCCTCGTCACACCATCCAGAATAACCTTATCCCCCAACGGCGCAGTAATCAACTGCAACTTCCCCTCCTTCGTCCTCATCACCGTGAAAAAATTACTCGCTCCCGCCTCCGTAACCTGCGCCTCATCCCCCAAAAGCCAGAGGACCTGGTTATACCCCAACCTCCGCGCCTCCTGCTGCGCCATCAGACTAGGCCCGTAATTCGCGCCTACCTTGGCGAATCCGAAGCCCCCCGGCCACGCGCGCACGATGTCGTTCTGGGAAGCGAGCAGCTTCATGCCGCCGGGTGTCTCGGAGAGCTCGGGCATGTAGGTCGCGATGATGAAGAGCATGGCCTCGTTAGGCGTCTGCACCCCCAGCTCAGCCTGCGTGCCAATCATCGTCGGGCGGAGGTAGAGGAACTTCCCCGCATTGGACTTAGGCAGGAATTTATCCCCATCCACAGCCACGAGCTCGGTAATCAGCTTCTCCACCTCAGCAGTGTCGAAAGTGGGGAGCGCGATGCGCGCAGATGACATGAGCAAGCGCTTAGCATTGCAGTCGGGGCGGAAGAGGCGCAGCTTGCCGTCGTAGCCGCGGTAGCACTTGAGGCCCTCGAAGCACTCGGTGGCGTAGTGGAGGACGGAAGCTGTGGGCATGATGGAGAAGGGGCCGTAGGGCTTGAGTTCAGGGATGCCCCAGCCGGAGTTGACGTTCCAGGTGCAGGTTATCATGTGGTCGGTGGCGAAGGAGGAGACGTTGCGGATGGGGTCGTCGAGGGCGGGGACGGTGCGGGGGGTCGTGGTGCGGGTGCGGGTTAGCTTTGAGGCGTCGAGGGGTGCGAGGGAGGCGGCGCTGCTGAGCTTGGCCTTGACGGCGTCGGCGCTCAGGTCGGGGTTTCCCTGCACCACGGCCTGGGGAGGCGTGGCGGATACGGCGGAGGGAGACATGAGGGGTTGTTGGTGGGGGTTATCGCCCGATGGTATGCGAAGTGAAGTGATGAGATATGATTCTTCTCTGTGTCAATTGAGAAGAGGGAGGGGTAGAGTCAATGGGGACAAACAGAGCTTGGATGGCTGCAGTTATATGAGTGTATGTGTGGAAGAGGTAAAGAAAAAAAGTAGAGCGTGTCAAGAGGAGGGGTTGGGGTTCACTTTTCTAGCCACCGGCCTTGGAGGAAAGACGGAAGGCGGGTCACGCGCAACTTTCTGGTGCGGGAGCTAAGATGGTAGGAAGGCCAGTTAGTCCATTGGCTCTAATCTCTGTAAGAATCTCGGCGGCACGGTGTGTTTCAACGTGGTCTATTCGTCTCCTATTCGAGGCTATATTTTGCATACTCCTCTGCTCGTCCGGTAGTTTCAGAATTAATTTCTCGGTGGTCGTGCGTGGTCGTGGGCGGCGAAAGTTCGATAAGAAAAAGACGCGTGCTGGGCCGGAACAAAATATGACGTCGACAGGACCCTTTCCTCGGTAACACAAAACCCTTCAATGGAGGCGTTTGAAGATCAATCAATGGACAGCCACTTATATCTATTGATACCAGGTGACTGCCCCCCTTTTTGCTTGGCCTCGTTGGCCCTTCAATTCAGCAACGGAGATGATGTTCATATCGATTGGTAAATCCATCCCAAAGTGCGGAATCAAAAGGTCGATATAGGCCGTTGCAAGCCGAGCGTAGCCCTTTTGTTCCAGCTGCCGAATCGCCGAGTCGAAAAGACATAATGAATCAGTCAGCAGGTACAAACAGCACGTGGATCAGAGAAGTGCACAATGACAATGCTATTGATTCTGTCTGATGATTGACGACGAGGATTGACGATGGAGGAGGATATTGGCGGTTGATGGTTGGCGGTTGATGGTTGGCGGTTGATGGTTGGCGGTTGATGGTTGGCGGTTGATGGTTGGCGTTGATGGTTGGCGGTTGATGGTTGGCGTTGATGGTTGGCGGTTGATGCGTTAAACGGTGATAAGTGACAGTGGTGGTCGTGCAACTGGCAGTAAAGTTGAGTATCTCCGCCGCCATATCCACGCCTTTCAACGGCCCTCTCTCTTGTACGAATACCCTCACTCCTACCCAGATAAATAGAAAGGACAAAAACACAAAAAGTCAAAAAGTCGAAAAGACAAAAAGTCAAAAAGACAATAACCCCTCTCAAATTCCCAGGGGGAATCCCCATCCATTTAACCCCTCCCGAATCTGTGATTTCAGCCTTGCATTCCCTGTCTTCTGATTCGCCACTCCATCGCCATCAACAATACGGATAATATCTATAATCCAAACCACAACAATTTTCCAACCTCATCACCACCTAAACACCACGCACACACAACAATGGCATCCTTCGCACGCCCCCTCTTCCAATCGGTACCCTTCCCCCCCCCGACTCTCTCCATCATCCCAGATCAAAGAACCCCAAGCTAACCTTCTCCCCCCCAGGCTCTCCGCCACGCCGCCCGCCCCTCCATCCCCTCGGCCTTCACTCGCTCCCCCCTCCCAGCGCGCCGTTTCCTCTCCGCCGAGACCAAGACCGCCATCACCGAAGCGGTCGGTTCGGCGCCCGTGGTGCTCTTCATGAAGGGCACACCCGAGACGCCCCAGTGCGGGTTTTCGCGCGCGAGTATCCAGATCTTGAGTTTGCAGGGGGTGGATCCGGGGAAGTTTACTGCGTTTAATGTTTTGGAAGATGATGCTTTGAGGTCGGGTATGTTGTTCCCCATCCCCTTCATTTTTGTTGATGGCGGTATGGGTTTGGTGAAGGGGGGCAAAGGCTGACAGTGTGTAGGCATCAAGGAGTTCTCAGACTGGCCAACGATCCCCCAGCTATACGTCGACAAGGAGTTCGTAGGCGGCTGCGATATCCTCGTTTCCATGCATCAGAATGGCGAGTTGGCGAAGCTGTTTGAGGAGAAGAACGTGCTGGCGCCCCCGGGAGTGGGAGAGGAGAAGCCGGCCTCGGAGTAAGCTTGCTGTTTGAGATGAGGGATGGATTCGGGGAAGATGTTGTACGATGGAGGGTGGGTTGTACGTATAGATAGATACCTTGGGGAGATGTTAATGAGGCTATGCATTCTGGTTGGCTCGTGTCTGGGGGTTTGGTATGTTGATGTTGCTGTTGGTGAAGATGGTGTGGAGGTTATCTTTGCAGCGTTTTGTTGTGCATGGTGGCTCGTTGTTCGGGACTTGAGTATGCCAGGTAGACTTGCAGTAAGGCTGGTCATTCAATTATACATCTCACCTCTCATATCTTCAGCCTCCAAAAAAGAGCCTCAATTCATTTCCAATAGACCTGCATCTCTTCCATGTCCAGAAAGACAGAAAAATTATTTGATGGCGGGGGTGGTGGAGTGCAGTGATGGGCGTGGTGGGGTTGTTTGAGTGATTGTGGAGGTGGGTGAGATTTGTGAAGGTTTGTGAGAGGATTGAATAATCTCCATCTCCATCTCCATCTCCATCTCCATCTCCATCTCCATCTCCATCTCCATCTCCATCTCCATCTCCATCTCCATCTCCATCTCCATCTCCATCTCCATCTCCATCTCCATCTCCATCTCCATCTCCATCTCCATCTCCATCTCCATCTCCATCTCCATCTCCATCTCCATCTCCATCTCCATCTCCATCTCCATCTCCATCTCCATCTCCATCTCCATCTCCATCTCCATCTCCATCTCCATCTCCATCTCCATCTCCATCTCCATCTCCCATCTCCATCTCCATCTCCATCTCCATCTCCATCTCCATCTCCATCTCCCATCTCCATCTCCATCTCCATCTCCATCTCCATCTCCATCTCCATCTCCATCTCCATCTCCATCTCCATCTCCATCTCCATCTCCATCTCCATCTCCATCTCCATCTCCATCTCCATCTCCATCTCCATCTCCATCTCCATCTCCATCTCCATCTCCATCTCCATCTCCATCTCCATCTCCATCTCCATCTCCATCTCCATCTCCATCTCCATCTCCATCTCCATCTCCATCTCCATCTCCATCTCCATCTCCATCTCCATCTCCATCTCCATCTCCATCTCCATCTCCATCTCCATCTCCATCTCCATCTCCATCTCCATCTCCAGCTCCATCCCCATCTCCATCTCCACCCCCGATCATCCATCCATCTCACAAACCTTCACAAATCTCACCCACCTCCACAATCACTCAAACAACCTCACCACGCACATCACTGCACTCCACCACCCCCGCCATCAAAATGCCACAAACCCGCCCCATCCACCGCGCCCCTCACACCTCCACACCCGCCCCAGCGCACTCCTCCCGCTCCAAGAAGCACAAAACCATCTCCACCGCCTCAATCCTGAAGCGTAAACCCATGGCAGCACTCTACACCCACCGCCGCCGCCACCGCCACCGCGCCTCTCACCACCGACACAGGGAGAAGAGTGGGCATCCTTTGATGAGGGATTATCAGGGTATGTCTTTCGCTCCCCTCCTTGTCTTACCAACTTTTTGTGTTTTGGGATTGGGATTGAGGGTTGAGGATAGAGGTGTGGAGGGTGTGGAGGGTGTGGAGGGTGTGGAGGGTGTGGAAGGTGTGGAAGGTGGCAGCTAATGAATAGTAGATGATGTAGCGAAATGCCGGGACTCTGCTGAATCGAATGCTGCAGTGGCCCTCTCCGACGCCCACGCCAAGCTCGTCGCAAAGGTAGACAAAATCAAATCCTCCAACACCACCACCCTCTCCACCCTGCAAACGCAATCCGAAGCCCTCCTTGCGCCACTGGAGGAGACCGAAGTTGACACCGCCACCACTGGGAACGCCGAGGTGGGCAAACAAATCGAAATGTTCCGAGCACAGCTTGCGGCGGGGGAGAAAGAGTTAAAACATCTATGGGAACTATGGGACGAGGCGCAGGGGGAGATCGAGAAGCTGGGGAGGGAGGGGGCAGGGGATATGCTGAAGGGGTGGGAGGAGGAGGTTAGGGAGAGGATTGGGGAGATGGAGGAGGAGGCGGGGGAGGCGGGACGGGAGGCGGTTAAGGCGATGGGGGAGGCTGAGAAGGTGAGTTTCTTTGTTGCATTTGTGCTTGTGTTGGTGGTGGTCGTGGGAGGCAAGGGAGAAAGGGTGTTGGCTGACTGATGGGTGTTTTAGGAGATTGATAAGAAGTTGAGGGAGGATCATGAGAAGCTTGTTGCGACGATGTTTAGGGGAGAGTAGGGGGTTGTGGTGATGCTTTAAGTGGAGGAGCTTGCTGGGGGAGTTGCTTGGGTTTTGGAGAAGAAGGCTAAGAAGTTGCTGAGAGGGTTGAAGTTTGGAAGGTCAAGGGGAAAAGTTATAATATGGGTTTTGCCTAACATTGGCTCGAGGAACGGGGGATAGGACTTGCTGGATGAGCTCCACTTGATGTTTGGAGGCGCCAAGGGATATACTTATACCACACTCTCAAAATTGCTGAGTCGCTATTTATTTATTTGCAAAGTATCTTAGAAAACATAGCTAGATAGAAACTTATAAAACTGCAATAGGCTTGATATATCAATTCCCGAAGGCCCGGCCTTACGAATAACAGGAAGCTACAAATAACAAGATGCTACAAATAACACGGCGTTACAAATAACAGGAAGCTACAAAGAACAAGACGCTACAAATAATACGGCTACAAATAACAGATACAAATAACAAGACAGTACTAACATACAAATGCACATTAGCTCACCTGTCATATCTATGATCCCGCACCACCCGATGGGCCTTCACAAATCGGTGGTCCCACCAGTTATACACCGACTATCCTTTGAAATCAATCCCGTCTTTGAAGTTATTGCAAACGTAAATGAACGATCTGAAAAGAGTATTATTAGATAAGCGCGCGCGTAAGCTTCGCCAGTCATAACGTCGCAAAACCACGTTGAAGACCACCCGTGTGCCTCGTACCGGAGAGGGAGTGGCGTGTTGATGGCACCTGGAATGGGCAACGATGGAGGGTCCTCATCAGAGAGAAATATCACGGTAGCTGGCAGAATGTTCGAATGATTTCTGACGCGGAGGGGCAGTGGCCATTCTTCGAATGCTTGAATCATTACGGTTATTGTTTAATGGATCGATATAACCTCATCCATCACTATTAAGGCTGGTGTTGCGTGAGGCTTAGTGGTTGATTTTCGACGCTGTTGACAGGGATAGTCGTATTGCTGAGCTCGTCCCGACACCCAGAGACAGCTATACTGTTTCTCTGGATTGTACTGCCCCACATTCTGTTTCTTGTGTACAATCGTACTGGTGGTGTCCTGTTCTCCAGCAGTACAAATGACAAGACTGGAAACGGGGACGTAGAACCGTACTACGGTTGCAATCGGGTGGGTGTCCTACCATATCCTGTCTTTTGTTTTCCAGCACTGCAAATGCAGTAATGATAAGAAACTGGAACAGGAGTACTACTACAGAGCTGTGGTAGACGCTATCGTAACATGAGCAACGTACTATTTTCATACATGTCTCTCACACTTCTCAGTAGAGACACTTGTAAGTAATATGTATTCCTTGGGGTATGACTATGATATCCCACGACAAAGCAATTTCGACTTGGTGTTAATATAGACAAACCAATACTAACTGCACATCCGCGAGTAGACACTGCAAATAAAATAAACGTATATGAAGGCCAGCTCTCCCGATCCTTGCTCCTTATGCAGGCAGAAGACAAAAATCACAGCATAGTGGGCTTCTCAGATCACTTACATCCCGACCGTTAAGCTCCCTTCGCACTAGGTTCTCGAGGTCCAAGCCGTCGTAAGCCGGCAGTCCTTGACCTGTAAATGCCTTTCTTAGAAAGCCTTTCCAGATACTCCTCCTTTGATCTGCGCCAAGGGGATTATAGTTGATCTTGAACTGGATTCTGCTAGCGATAGCATCATCAATATGTGCGACCCGATTGGTTGTTAGGAACATGATGCCTTGGTAATATTCAAGCGTTCGCAAGAATACACAGACTATGGCATTGCGAATTATCTCTGAGGCGAGCGCTGCTCTAAGTAAACATCCGCTTCATTAGTAGAAGAAGAGCATTCCATCTTGAACCGCGTTGGAATATACCTGGAAGACGCGCCTCAACGCTTTCTGCACTAGTGCCCAACTCGCCCGCGGAGACCTGTATTGTTGGTATGTGCGGTAAGATGGTGTCTAAGCAGACATACCGAATAGAGTGGCCTTTGAAGATGCTCAGATAGGACCTCAGCTGTCAAAGTCTTCCTCACACCTAGTGGGCCGCTCAACCTAAAAGACAATCAGTCGAGGCTGGTGAATCTGTAGAAACAGAGAAGACGCACGGGTAGGACTGGTTCTTTCAAGCTGATCCCTTGAACATCTCCTAAGATAGCCCTCAGGATATCGCAAACTCTCCGACTTAATGTCAATGTGGAACTTCGTCTCTTTCGTATCCTTGTCTGTCGGACAACAATCAGATATAGTACACCTTCATGGGAGTGATTACTAACCGACTACAATGAAAACGAAATTTGTCCAATGTAGTTATCTCATGAGCTGACTTCGCTGGCTCCACAAGTGCGTACTTGTACGTCTTATTATCCCAGCTGTATTGAAAATGATTTGTTAGCAAGATCCCACTCATTTAGCAGTGGCATCATGCACTTCTTCAACTGTTTTGAATGCTTTGGTATCTTTGGCATCAGCTTCAGCCACCTGAGCGTCTGTGGTATCGGGTTGAGGACCGTCTGAAACCTAAGCCAATCCCGCCTGCTTTGCACCCACAAGTTCTTTCAAGAGGTCCTTGAAGTCCTGGATCGTAAGGGATTGTGTCGGTGCCTAGGGGACAGATGTACGAGATTCAAGGTGTAATTCTATCATCGAACCAACCATTCCCATAAGCGCGACGTGATCATGGCTACTGTCTCGGCCTTCTCATCTCATCCCTTCCAGCTGGACGCAGTCTACGACCCAGCGGCATACAACACTCTTCCATCTCTCGGAAAAGCTCATAGTTTGATGACTGAAGATGCCATGGCCAAACTCCAAGGTCCAATCCGGCAATTGTTCCTGGACCACGAAGTGCAGGACCACTACGGCGTATGTCTTCTCCACAATCACTTTCAAATTCCCAATGGTCAACGTCTCGTTGAACACGGGCCCGTCTCTCTTCCATGGGATTAGGGGGACGAAAACAAATGCTGAAATTTGATGGGGTCATTGCTCCCCGGTCGATCAGACTGCTTGACGGGAAACTAGCTCCATTCGAGTTTTCTTTCTCCCTGACGGAGCCTGAACTCAACAGCGAGTTCCTGACGGAGGCTTTTCGTACTATTCAGGACTTAGGATTGCATGGTGTCTTCGGGGTCCGATACTTCGATAACCACGACACCCAGCTTTCGGTTGAGATCATACAAGGAAACGCGAATGTCATGATACCACGAGGATCACTTTCAGGCCTGATCGATGCGTTCTGGGTCTTCAACCAAGATGAAGACGATAGATGCCACTGCAGAGAACAGTGCTTTCCACAAGGAGGTTCTGAGCACCAGAAGAACCATTCTTGCGGATGATAGAGGCAGGATCGACTTTACGAACCTGATATTTTAGTGACGGTTATTGGATATTGGATTGTGTACCTGTTTTTAAGAACCTACTATTTACAGTCACTACTGCTCTTGAAGGATTTAAACCAGGTTGATATTTAAATTTAAATATCAACAAACCCAGCTTGCTTTTCTTGTCCCACATACGGTTTCGATTCCCGAAACATACTTGTGAAGGTACCATGCTCTGTCTGTACCTGCCCCATAACTTCAAAACCGAATCTGCTGTAGAGTCGAACTCCATCAGGAGATGCCATAACAAAGGAATTCCAGCCACAAGAGTCTGCCTTATCGCAGCCCCACTGCAGCAGCATAGACCCAACGCCCTGCCTTTGATACTCTGGTGCCACCGATATCGTATTCAATCCTAACACAGGGACTTAGTTCACTTCAGAACAGGAATAGTAGCAGACTTACTCCATACGTTTTGTTTGCCATCCAACACTTTTTGGCGCTCTTCTCTAAGACGCTTAGAGACTTGATTCCAAGCTCTCAAATCTAGTGACGCAGGATTCCAGGACTCACGCCTCTCGTTCGAGTTTGCCTTGCGCCTTGTTTTTCCACTGCTCGACTCCAAAGTCCAGACAGCAAAGCCAGCATAGCAATCAGAGCCAACGGTCACTTTACGGAACCAGCTTGAATCGTTCTCTAAGCTTTCTTGCAAGCCCTCGACTGTCCACTTTATTTCCTCTTCTTCTTCGTTGGCATTTGGATTCACATTAGGGAACATGGTCATTTGTAAGGGATCTCGCCTCATTGCAGGAAATTCACACCGACGAACCAACATATCAGTATCGCTAAGACATACGTCCGATAGCTGGTACTGCATTTCTGTAAGGCGGCCCTCACGTGAGGGCACGTGAGGTGTCACGCTCTTACAGTGGACCTGGCGGGCTCGGTAAATTAGGGCCTACGGGTTCCTGTATATAAGGGGCTGGAGGCTCGGAGTGAGGCCTCCAGTCAATAGTCGCTGTATATACGTAGACCTATTGTTACGCATTGAATCCTACTTCCTACCTACTGATCTGGTTACCTGAGCTCCCGTGTGACCCTGGGTCCTACGACTTTACAATTCTATTGACTCAACCCATACTCAGCCTACCAGATCAGGATGGCGAGCCAGGAAAAGAGGATTACCCGAGCGACCTCCGGAGGAGCGACTCCAGCGGCAGAAACCATCGAGGCCAGCCCACCGACTCTGGGCCCTGAAGCCAGCAGCTCCGCGACGAGCAAAGCGGACAGGATGCCGTCAAAGCTGGCCGCCCTCAAGAATAGGATCGAAGAAGAGAGGGCCTACTACAATACCATGGAAGAAGCCCTCCAAGTATTCCGACGATCGCACGGCGACGACTATAGCGCCTACCCGGAGGAAGTAAGGGTCTTCGCAGAAAGACAGGTCCGAATACAAGAAGAAGGACGCCGGAAAAGGCGACACCAAGACAGTGAGGAAGAATGGGAGGGGACCCCAAACGAGGAGGAACAAGAGACTGCCTCCGTAGTATCGCGAGAAGCAACCCCGTCGTATAGGCCTTTCGGCAAGGTCAAGGACCCTAAGGTCTACAAAGGCGAGTCGACACGAGAGCTCAACGAGTTTATGGCCTCAATCCGCGCTTCCTTCCGATACCAGCCAAGAATGTTCCCAACCGAGCAATCCAAGGTGGCCTTCGCCGCCCAATACCTTGAGAGCGACCCCATGAAGGAGTGGGACAACCGCTGCGCCTCGCAAGAGGAAGGGCTCGAGGACCCTTTAGATATCGCAGGGTTTGAAGAGTTCCTTCGCGACCTCCATATCGACCCAGCCAACCGGCAACGCATTGCAGCCCTCAAATACAACGGCGCCCACCAGCGTAAGGGGCAGGGTATCCGCAAATTCGTTGCGTACCTCGAGGAATTGGAGCGGGAAATGGAGCCCTACACCGAGTCCCAGAGGACCACCCACCTCCTGACGAAGTTACACCCAGAAATGAGGCAGCGCCTCCTTGAGGGTGGCTACGCCGAGCGTTCCACGACCCACAGGGAGGCTGTTGTCAATATCCTAGCCATGCTGGAAATGAACAACCGGTGGGTAACCGAGAAGAATCCTTCTACGGATAGGCCCAACACAAGGGAGAATAAGGGAACCCTGCAGGGTGGCTTTCCAGCTCGGAAGGGCCACTTCAATAGCCACAAGTCGGGCAATCACCGGGAGCGAACGCCCTTCCAGGATCGCCGTCGATCGGACCAACAACCTGCGCGCAAGCCAGCCGACACCCAAGGCGCAAGGCCTACCCAAGTAGGGAACGCCTGTTACAACTGTGGCAGACCAGGCCACTTTGCAAAGGACTGCCGTAGCCAGCACACTGGGCCGGGAGTCCGGAAGCTGGATACCCAACTCCTCAAGCGGGAGTGACTCCCTACTGAAGCCCTACGCCCTACGCAGGCGAAGAGGATGGAGATCGACATTGAAATCAAAGTAGGGCCTACCTGGCACAAGGCCAAGGCTCTACTCGATTCGGGGTCGGACGCGTCAACTATCCACCCCCTCTTCGCAAAAGATAAGGGCCTAGAGTGCCGAGACAAGGGCCCACCTCGAGCGAGGGCTGTGGACGGCAAGGAGATTGCCATATACGGAGCGGCGACCGTACAGATCAAGGCCTGGGACCACTTTCGAAGGGAGACGACCGTAGACCAGACGTTCCTTTCCATGGATACCCCTGGTGTGGATGTTATCCTTGGAATGGACTGGATCGTACAGGTCAACCCCCAGATCGATTGGCAGACCCAGATATGGCGCTACCCCTTCGATATATCGAAGGCGATGGAGGTGGGTATTGAAGAGCTAGACAAAGGCGATACTGCCTTTGTCCTGGCGTTGACCTCGGAAGGAGCATTGGAACCCCAATGCCCAAGGGAGTACGCTGAATTCGCCGACGTCTTCTCTAAGGAGCGGGCAGAAGACCTACCCGAGCTGGGTAGGAAGACCCACGGTATCGATACCAGCATGCAAGAGCCGCCTTACGGCCCGGTATACAACCTATCTGAGACGGAGTTGGCCACACTCCGGGAATACCTTCAATCAAGCGAAAGGAAGGGTTGGATCCAGAGGAGCATAAGCCCAGCGGGCGCGCCCATACTGTTCGTACAGAAGAAGGATGGCAGTCTACGCCTCTGCGTGGATTATAGGGGTCTGAATAAGATCACCGTAAAGAATAGGCACCCCTTGCCGCTGATCACAGAGACCTTGGATCGGTTCCAAGGAGCAAAGGTCTTCACAAAGCTTGATATTAGGAACGCCTACCACAGGATCCGGATCCGCCCAGGCGACGAGTGGAAGACCGCCTTCCGCACTCGTTACGGCCACTTTGAGTACAAAGTGATGCCTTTTGGCTTGGCCAACGCGCCAGCCACGTTTCAGGCCTATATGAACGAGACCCTCGAAGGGCTCGTTGATACGATATGCGTTGTATACCTCGACGATATCCTTATTTATTCCTCTAAAGAGGAGGAACATACCCACCACGTACAGGAGGTCCTAGGTCGCCTACGAGAGGCGAACCTATATGTAAAGCTCTCAAAGTGCGAGTTCAATACCAAACAGGTAGGCTTCCTTGGATATACCGTCACAACAGAAGGAGTGGCTATGGAAGGCGACCGGGTTGCTGCGATAGCTGAGTGGCCTACACCCAAGACCTACCGAGAGGTCCAGGTGTTTCTCGGCTTCGCCAACTTTTACCGACGCTTCATAGAGCAGTACTCCTCTGTTGTGGCACCCTTGACTGGCCTTATGAAGGGGGCCAAGGCCGGTAAACAGACCGGGCCCTTTGTGTGGGGAGCAATGCAGCAGGGCGCGTTCGATCGCCTCAAGGAGGCCTTCACCACAGCTCCCATGTTAGTCCATTTCGATCCAAGCTGTAAGATTAGACTTGAGACAGACTCCTCCGGCTTCGGGTTGGCAGGGAATCTTTCCCAATATGTAGAAGAAACCCCAGAACGAAGGGGTGGGTGGCACCCAGTCGCCTTCTTCAGCAAAAAGCTGGAGCCAGCAGAGCTGAACTATGAGGTCCACGACCAAGAGCTCTTGGCGATCGTGAGATCTTTCGAACAGTGGAGGCATTACCTAGAGGGTAGCCAACACCCAATCGAGGTCCTGACGGATCACAACAACCTGAAATACTTCATGGAAACCACCGCCCTCACAAGAAGGCAGGCGCGGTGGGCGCAGGCGTTGTCAGCCTACGACTTCCAAATATCCTATCGAGCTGGCAAGACCAACCCCGCAGATGGGCCGTCTAGGAGACCAGACTATGAGGAAGAGAAGGGTAGCCAGAACGTGATGCTTCCTACCCTTCGAAACAAGCTCCAGAAAGCCATACAGGCAGGAGAAGAAGCCCTGCAGATGAGGCGGGTAGTGGCTGACTTACAAGAAGTAGGCACCACACTGGGCGAAGACCAGAGTAAGGACACCAAGAGTCCAGGTCTCGTTGTCCCTCGAGTTATGGTGGCAGCCATGGCTCAGGGAGAGAGCGCCTACAGTGCCACGGCCGAACCCTTAGCGGATCTGATCAAAACCCTTCAAGCGGCTGACGAGCTCGCTGTTCACAGGGCCAGAGAAGCAGGGTCGGCGTGGGCGAAGGGCTCTTCAGGTTGGAGAGTAGACGATGCAGGCATCCTACGCTTCAAGGGAGCGGCCTACGTGCCTCCCAATCAGGCAGTACGTATGGAAATCTTCAAGATTTGCCACGACGACCCTTTGGCTGGGCACTTCGGATATAAGAAGACCCAGGAACTGATCCGACGGAAATACTACTGGCCTGGATTAGACCAGGAAGCCAGGGAGTACGTACGTGGCTGCGATCGGTGCCAGCGGATCAAGCCGGTACGGCATAGACCCTACGGCGAAATGCAAGGCCTCAGAATGCCTACTAAGCCCTTTGAGTCCATAAGTATGGACTTCATCACAGATCTGCCGCCTAGTATAGGAGCAGACCAAGCTAAGGCTTCAGACTCCATTTTGGTAATCGTAGACCGATACACCAAGGTATCCAAATATATACCCTGCCGGAAGACCATTACTGCCACCGAGTTGGGGCGGGTCTTCCTTGAGTATTGGGTTAAGGACTTTGGAATTCCTGCTGAAATAATTACAGACCGCGGCAGCGTATTTACGTGCCACTTCTGGTCGGCCTTCTGTTTCCACCTCAAAGTACGGCGGAACCTATCGACTGCCTTCCACCCTCAATCTGACGGCCAGACGGAAAGGCAGAACCAGAATATTGAGGCCTACCTACGCCTACACTGCAATCAGCACCAGGACAATTGGGTAGAACTTCTTCACTTCGCGGAGCTTACCTACAATAATGCCTTCCACGATTCCATCCAGATGTCGCCAAATCAGGCTCGATACGGTATCAACATCGACCTGCGGCAAGGGATCGAGGACGACCCCATGAGAAGGGAGGTGCCGGTTGCAAGAGACCGAGTCCAGAAGATCCTCGACCTACGAAAGGAGCTTGAAGAGGCCTGGGCGAGATCGAAGGAAGCCCAAGTCCGAGGATATAACAAGATCCACAAGCCAATGCAGTTCATGGTCGGCGAACGGGTGTGGCTTTCTGCCAAGAATATCAGAACCACCCAGCCAAGTAGGAAGCTAGGTCACCGGTGGCTCGGACCGTATGAGATCACCGGGCGGATAGGTAAACAGGCGTATCGATTGAGGCTTCCCCCACGGTATAAGGCGATTCACGACGTGTTCCACGTCTCCCTACTCGAGAGGTATCGGGAAGGCGTTGAGAAGGCCGATCCTCCACCAGATCCAGAGATCGTGGATGGGGAAGAAGAATACAAGGTCGAGGCAGTCCTAGACCACAGGACTGTGCGGAGGGGTAGAGGAATCCGAGAGGAATACCTGATTAGGTGGGCAGGCTACACTGCAGCTGACGATCAGTGGGTTCCAAAGCTTGACGTAGGACTACCGTTAATCAAGGCATATCACAAGGAACAGACGCAGAAGGCAATGTAGTGTATTGTCCTAAACTAAGGGAAAAAAACAACGCGTCAAGTTCCGAAGGAGAAGGGCTCACAGACCCAGAAGCAGACCCCGACCCAGACCTAGAAGAAATGCGCGCGTCAGACAAGGGGGCGACGACGGGGGCAGGGCGTGGATTGAAGCGCCACTGGTCTGGACGCACAAACAAACGCTCAAAAAGAGCACGATCGTAATCTGCAGGCGTAGGCAGGAGAATAGGTCCTACCGACAAGGGCGCGGAGGGCAGGACAGGCCTCACTCGAGCTACCCACAGGGTCAGCAAAACGTCCAGGAAGGATGGGAATCACAAACCTACGACAAACTTCAGGGCGGCGACGTGGGCGTTGAGGCCAACCTGGTAGGCGTCTAGAGCCGCATCAGTAGCGGCGTGGAACATAGCAGCAGCAGCCTTGAGAGCCTTGGTTTTGGCCTGATCCAGCTCAGCAAGGGTCTCAGCGTGGTGAAGAAGGGCTTGGCGTGGGTCGTTGAGGTTGCGGACGACGGGGCCCCCAGCCTCAGGGAGAGGCGCAACAGGTTCCTCGTGGAAGGACGTAGCAGCTCTCTTACCCTTATTCTTGACCTTCAGGGTGCGAGGCTCCTTGCCCTTATCAGCGGTAGTGAACTCGCGTTGGGCAAAGAGGAGGGAGGCCAGAGCCTCACGGGTGGCGACCGAATTATGTTCCAGCCCAGCGTCCTCGTCGTCAGCGCAACAGTTCAAATAGGCGTCGGACTTGAGCTGCAGGGCAGTGAGGGCATCCTTCTGATCAGGACCGACCTGCCTGGTTGTCAGCATATCCCACTAAGAAGGAAAAGGAGGCCTACCGGAACGCAGTGGTGGTTTCCTTGGAGACAGTCGCCGCACTTGTCCAAGCCAACAGGGACCCAGCAGATCTGTCCAGGATAGTTGTAATAGGTGACTGAACACTTGACGCAGCAGTCGCGGGAGCCTGCGCGAAGGGGACCAACAGACTCTGGAACTGGGCGGCGCGCAGAAAGCTTCCACCCCAGCGCCGTACGCATCTCCTTGGCGGCCAACTGAGCAGCGACCTCCTCCTCCTCCTCTGGAGCGTCCTCAACCGAAGGTGATCGGTAGGGACGCACGGTGCGAGGGCGAGAGGTGGACGCAACGGAAGCAGGACCGAAGGGAGTAGGGGTGGCAGGTGACTCCAACTCGGGAGACCCAGACATCTGGGCGGAAGAGCGCTTGAGAGGGGTGGTGACAGGCGCCACTGTCTTCTTGGGCTGCTTGCGCGGAGCCATGATTGACGGAACTAATCCACAGATCAGTCCCTGAAGACGAAGGACGGAAGGGAGGTAAATACCTTGCGAAGAGGGAGTAATCCTTGAAGCAAACCTTGGAAGAGGATCAAAAGGAAGAACCCAAGAACCCAGAAGAGCGGGCACTTGGTGTGAGGTTGTGTGAGGAAAGTAGGAAGTTGGGTAGGAAGTGGGAGTTAAGCGCGATGCCCACAACAACTGGGGGTGGCCGCGGCACAACAACAAGGGGGGTCACGGGACCCCCCTGACAGGCGCGAGTTCGATAACAACAACCCACCCTACGCGCGAGCAAACAAGCCAAACAAGCCCAAACAAGGGCGCAATCAGCCCTGATCTCTATGCCTGGAATTGGGGGCAATTCCCTAGAAGGGGGAGGTAATTGTAAGGCGGCCCTCACGTGAGGGCACGTGAGGTGTCACGCTCTTACAGTGGACCTGGCGGGCTCGGTAAATTAGGGCCTACGGGTTCCTGTATATAAGGGGCTGGAGGCTCGGAGTGAGGCCTCCAGTCAATAGTCGCTGTATATACGTAGACCTATTGTTACGCATTGAATCCTACTTCCTACCTACTGATCTGGTTCCCTGAGCTCCCGTGTGACCCTGGGTCCTACGACTTTACAATTTCTAAGAAAGGCTAAAAGATTCAGTTTTGTGCTTAGACCCTAGCCACTCGAGATGTTGCGTTGCGGACTTGGTTTGGGTAAAGACTAAAGATTCGCTGAGCATTGAAGATGAGGTTGATCGGTAACGTGAGTCGTGGCGTAACGCGGGGGGTGGCGTAACGCGGGGGGTGGCGTAACGCGGGGGATTTTTCAAGACCACACAACAAACTGTGAATTTAACTACTATCAACTATGATGCAGGATTCAGTACCGCTCCAAGAAGGTTCCTCTGCTTCTTCTTCATTATGTCCCTCAATTTCATCATCAGAGAATTCGTTCTTACCCTTTGTTCTACGCCGTTTCTGACTTTGTTTTCGAGTCACGTTTTATGCCACTATCACTACATCACATAATTCTTGCGTAGAAATATGAAAGCGACCCTTTAGAACTGCCCTTTTCCCCCTTGTACGTATCATACGTCGCTTTATAACTGATCGTAAGTTGTTGGCATCAAGTTGGTGGACAATACTACGTGCTCGAAGTTGCTTAGCCCCAACTGTGAGTTTTTGGATATATTGCCGTACTAGTGTTGCTAGTACCTACTACTATTAATTGTTACAAGGAGCGTATTTTCAGTGCGTAATGTTGTGCTATCTAGGGGTGAGCTATTAACAAAGACTTGATTAAAAATATCATACTAATTTGGTGTTTTTGGTCGGTCAATCCTAAGTGATGGCATATCATAATTCAATGTACATAGAGCTCGCTAAGGATTGAACGGAAACAAGCCAGCTCTACGGTATGCTAACTCGATATTCTAATGAGTACATACATTAAGTTGTGCTTCTATATATGCCTCTATCCATTCATACTTCTAGATGCGTGCAGGTTGAGCTTGGTTAAGCGGAGACAGTGCTGCTATAAGACGCTTTCTCAAAGGTCTAAATATTACAACATCTAATCGTTAGGACCGCCTGTTCGCTTCGCTCACAGTCGGATCAAGCAAGTGTCCCCTCACAACCAAGTGTCCCCTCTCAGGGCAAAATAAGTAGGTACCTGTATATAGAAAAACATATAGAGAGGTACCAGTTTGAGCAACCTCCTCCTTCAACAGGATAAACCTTAAAGATCTTGGCTATAGCTGCAGCTGTTTCTGTTAGATTTTGATGAAGCCATTCTTTTGCATCATGTAGGGCAGCTTTATATCCAGACATGTGGTTGGTGTTGGTATTATTAGTAGTATTAGTAGTTGGTTTCTAAGAGGGGACACTTGGTTGTAAGGGGACACTTGCTTGATCCGACTGTTAGCGAAGCGAACAGGCGGTCCTAACGATTAATGGCTAGAGCAAGTGTGATGTATGAGGGGGAAGGATTAGAAGTATAATTCAGTTCTATAAATAATGTGTAATAAAGCTCCCACTAATATGTGAATCATGGCCATCGCATATAAGAAGTAGATATTGACCATCTGCCTTTTACACATGTAGTTGGTTAAAAGATGCGTTTCAACCACTCTAACCTATAAAGGTTGCTTGTCTAGCCATTTGCAGAGAAGAACCACTCATTAATAATTGTAGGTGGAATCCATGATTAGAGAACGTTCTTGCCCTTAAAGATCCTAAGGGGTGGGAGAATGGTTCCATCTACACATATGCACTCTACTATAGAAACCCATTCCTAATGCCTAGGATGCGCTTGATGCTTTGTACAAAGTGTAGAATCTAGTATAATCTAAGTAGATTCCATTGTCCTAATTGAAAATCCAGATTCATCCATGTTATATGTATTTTCTTGCGTGATCCCGAACTCTTGAACCGCCTATGTGTATGCATTAAACCATGCGTTAAGCACTAGTTTTGTCATGCCATCCATGTATACAGTTTCAATCCATCGCCTATTGGTGACTTAATGGTAAGGATGTTGCTGTATGAATCCTAGTCACGAACAAGGGTAAATCGTGGTTAGGGTGGAAGTGAGTTTGGTGTTGCGTCGTCAAAATTAAGTGACTGATGTGAGCGGAGTTCTTTAGCTATTTCTTTCAACAACTGATGCCCTAGAGAATAACTGCTAATAAGGCCCTTAATCCACTTCAGAAGTACCTGTTCTTGCACACCTAAGAGATTCTGCTGTTGCTAGTGGGCTTAGGAGCATGTTAAACCTCCATTAACACGACATGTCACAGAACTCTTTAGCAGCCCTTGTTACGATTGCACATCACAGCCGCTAGCAACTATAGGAACAGGCAGCTATAGTAGCCACTAAGGTTACAAGGGATCGCTAAGCGCAGAGCTGCATATAATGAGGAATAGCCTCCCTTTCTTCTTCTTCTCTCTTTAGATTCAATCTAGCTTACTTTACCTAGACTGGCATCATGACCTCCATAACCATCATAACATCCTAATCTTCCTCTCTTTGAGGTTCCTCCTACTCGTCTTTGATATCTTAGTGTCACCTTTTTCACAGCTCTCTTCTGTCTAGGGCTTCTTCTATAGTATTAATGTAAGCCCTTTCTTCGTCCATCTGTCTTTAGAGGTTAGCTAACTTTAAGGCCATACTCTCGACCCTTCCTACTATAGAGTTACTAGCTTCTTAGGCTATAGGACTTAGAGTTGGCTTAATGGAATCTGCCATTAGTGTCGCTCCTCTAGAAGTCACCTAGGTAATCCTTTTTTCCTAGCTGCCATCCTGACCTAGTAGGCTGGATATAGGTTGAGTTAATAGAATTGTAAAGCATAGGCCTAAGGGTCTCATAGGAGTCTTGGGAACTAAGTTAGGAGGCAGGAAAGGATCATATTCTTGTAGCTTAATAGGTCTATGTAAATACATCGACTATTAACTAGAGGCCTTCTTCTGTGGCCTCTAGCCCCTTTTATCTAGAAACCCTTGTGTCCTCCTTTACTAAGTCCTCCTGGCTCTCAACTAAGTCCATTGAAAACCCTGATGAGCATATTCCCTTGCATTTCTTGCACTTCGATATCTGCGAGTGGTTCTTCAGCTTTGTGTAGTAATGCACTTGCAGCATCCCTTTGGTCCTTCCTGGGAAGAACTCTGCAATTTCGTCCCATGGCAATTTCTCATCCTCTTTCAGCTGTACCAACAGTTCGTCACCAGCTGCTGAATATGTCGATTGCCTACCAGGTCTGCTCACAATTTGTTCTCGCAAAGGCGGTCACTTTCCCTGTTTCTGCGGAGCTAACGGTGACCTCTTTGCATGAGATGCGCAAACCTGTGGACGAGCTGACCCTCCAACTGATTCCCCACTAGACGTTGAATTTGATATGTGGAGACCAATTGACAACGTATCAGGAAGATCTAGCAGCCTGAACTCTAGGTTGTAAGTCATCTCTCGTCCGATCCTCACACACTTGAGGAAGCCCTGCAAAGGGTATTCTTGGTAGACTGGCTGGCCCGGACCGTAAAGACCGGACTGGACTGGACCGGACCGCTTATATGAGTGTTCCAGTCCTTAAATTTAAGACCGGACCGTGGTGCGGTCCTCCTTTTTTTTAAAAAGCCCGGACTGAATTTCAGTCTAGTCTCTAGGGTTAAGACCGGACTGTGGTTCGGTCCTCCTTTTTTTTAAAGCCCAGACTGAACTTCGGTCCTCATTTTTTTCAAAGCCCGGACTGAACTTTGGTCCAGTCTCTAGGGTTAAGACCAGACCGTGGTTCGGTCTAGGCTTTTTTACCATCCGAGCTTTTTTTAAAAAAGCCCGAACTGAAGTTTAGTATATTTAGCTTGTAGATCACGATGTTAGTCCTGTGACCAAGAGTAACGGTATATAGTAACAGTATATTGATAGAAATTAGGATAAATTTATCATATAGATAATAAATTATGGTAATTACATTAGAGTTATAAGTGCCGTATGTCTCAGAATGCATCAGCTTACAGTGGCTTCCCTACCATCATCACCACCGCCATCGCACACAGGTTTGTGTCGACTTTGGGAGGCCAGCCTTCCTACCACCTAGCGCAAAGGTTGGTATCTATCGCAGTAGTTAACATAATATATTGTTCAAGCTGGTTCCAAATGCTATATAAGGCTAATTAGTGATATATTCCGTTACTGTGAGCCGTTACTCTAACCCACATCTGAATAGTACCCTCCTCTACCTTCTAAGTCATTGCGAATGTCGAGGAGTATCAATGGAGGCTTCATCATTCTGAAGGTCCTTATTTAGAACCCCAAAATTTCGCTTCCTCCGAGTTTCTAATCTTCCATTGCGACCTTGTGTAGATCTATGTGGCGTTGATGGGTCTGGTAGGTCTTGTTCAGCATCCTCCTCATCAGATGATATTACCATCATCATAGCAACTTGTCAATCAGAGTCCTCAATTATAGAGTCTGGGTCAGGAGCGCCAAATACATGGTCTATATTATCCCAATGATTATCAAGTTCCCACTTATACCTATGATAGTGTTTAACAATCATCGACTCTCGAACTGTAGTCATACTCATTTGTGCCCTGTGGTATTCATGGATATCGCGGGCAATATTAAATATGCGCTCAACTCCAGTACCAGTAGCTGTTTAAAGCGATTTGTAAGATATTTGCGTTACTCTTAACCGTTACTGTAGGAGCTTACCTGGTACTGCAAGGATATCCCTTGCCATCTTCGCAACTGAAGGGTAAGAGAGCTCTAAGGTCTTCCACACTAGGAGCACTGGAGTATCTGCATCAGCACTAACCACTGGCGCATTTAAATAATGCTCAGCTTCATTATAGCTGGTACTTGATGGGCTCTGCCACCCTTTATGTAGCTGCCGGTTCATCCGAAATACCGCATTAAGACTTGTTGGTGTATAGGGGCAAGGCGGTACTGCCTCATGCTGGTCCCTCGAATCTTTTTGATAGTAAGCCTTCCAGTAATCTAAGAATATTTGGCGGTACTTCTTTGAGTGGGAACGGTCCCATTCAGGAGCGTTAAAAATGTCCAGTTTCTGAGATGGATCAAGAATTGCAGCAAGAGCATACGTCTGTTCAACAGGACCACCAGTTTCAGTGTAATAGTGCCTTAACTTTGCAACACCTGCAGTAATAGCAGCAGTAAACTCGTCTACCCAAGGATTAGATGCTGTATCCTTGTTATATAGCTTTTGATTGATATCATCAAGATGGTCAAATAATGTATTGTATACATTCCATGTATGGTTGATTGTAGTGTCTTTCGTGTTTCCAATAAGATGAGTAAAATTCTGCAAAGGGCCGCAGAAGAGCGACTAAGTATTTTAGTTTTTTCCAGTCGGTTGGTGATAATGCGAATTGATCAAGATGAGACTCCTTAATAATCTGTTCCTCAAGCCAACTTTTAATTGGGATGCGTAGTCTTATCGCTCGGACTATCATGTCATATGTAGAATTCCAGCGTATATCAATATCCCGTTTTAGCCACAGTAGTCTCTTTGCTTCTATATCAGATTGCTTCTGGAGCAATAATTCAGTTTTCTTTGCAGACCTGCTCACAAGATTGCTAAGAGTGCGTATCTGTGTATTTGACGTCAGTTGGCGTTACTATCAAGCGTTACTATCATGGACTAACCTTTCTAATAGCTGATGTGACTGTCGTATCATCAGTAATTGAAACACCAGTAACATCTATAACTTCTTCAGCTATGTCGACATTGAAGGCCTTTAGCATAGCTTTTACAACTAGCTGTATAACATGCGCCATGCATGGTATTTTTGTTGCATCACTACTCCACTCTACTTCTTGTGTAGTACTTCTCATGTAGCTCTCAAGTTCCTTGCGCATTGTTCCATTGTTTGATGCATTATCAGTTGTCACGCAAAAAAGTCATCCCGTAATATTGAATTGTTCCAGTACATTGTGTACAACAGCTGCCATATTTTGTTCTGAATGGACTCCAGTCATTGGCTCGAAACCAATAAGACACTAACGTGCATGTATAACGAAAGTGCCAAACAAGCGAAAGTGCCAAAATCATGCGGTGACCAACCCCCCCAACTAAATGTTAAATTCCTCCACAACAAAACATGCGCCATAAAAATGATGAAAGCAAATTAGTGCTAGCTATCCAAGCTATGCAAAGCGACTCAAATTTGCGCCTTCGAGTTGCAGCTAGGATCTATTCCGTAGACCACCGCAAGCTACGTCACCGTTTACAAGGCATACCTTCACGACGCGATATCCAAGCCAACTTACGGAAATTAAGTAACCTAGAGGAATCAGTTCTTGTTCAGTATATACTTGACTTAGCTGCTAAAGGGTTCCCTCCTCAGTTGTCTATTGTTGAAGATATGGCAAATCGACTACTTGCAACATGCGACGCGCCATGCGTCGGGTCATGTTGGGCTTCAAACTTTGTTAAGCGCCATGTAGAGCTCCGGACACGCTTCCAGCGAAAATACGACTACCAGAGGGCTAAGTGCAAAGATCCAGAAGTCATTCGTGGCTGGTTTGAGCTTGTATGGAACACAATTCTAAAGTATGGCATCAACAATGCAGATATCTACAACTTTGATGAGACTGGGTTTATGATGGGCGTCATCTCAAGCGCAACGGTAGTAACGAGCTCAGATGGGCGGGCAAAGGCAAAAAAGGTGCAGCCTGGCAATCGGGAATGGGTTACAGTAATCCAAGGCGTTAGTTCTCAAGGTTGGGCAGTGCCGCCATTTGTCATTGTGGCAGGTAAAAACCACCTTGCATCTTGGTATGAGAATAGCAGATTTCCAGCAGATTGGGTAATCGCTGTTACTGTGTAATGGTGGGTGCACCAGATATGAGAATCTAGCCACCCAAGGAAGGGATGAATTTACTAAGACAACACACTGTCTTAGGAAACAGAGCCAAAGGGTTGTAGCTTAGACTATTCCACAACGCAGCAATCAGGTGTATGATGTGGTGAAGTGGTTTAGACAAGTTGCAACAAATGTTGAGTTTGAGAACTCAGGGGTAAGTCAGAGGTTAGCACCTCACTGACTTTTCAAAAACAGAGAATAACAAGATCAATGCTTGGAAGCTTGTAAAAGACGTGGAAATATGTGATAGTCGATTTACTGTATTGCCTGCTTGCCCTTTCTTAAGGAAAGGGCAATCCTATTTATGCCAAAGGAGTGTAGTTCTCTCATTTTCCATGACTTTCCATGACTAACCAGGCTTGGTAAATGTATTAGAAATCAAGTGCGACCCACAACTAGCTTGCTAATCATGTAGTGAATGTAAGAGAATTCCATAGAACCATCTCTTGGGTTCCTAGCCTATAGGAAGTGAAAAGGAGGTCCAAGGTCAGAGTACCTATAGACAAATTATGTCATAACTTAACCAATCTTGTGGGTAACTAAGGAGCGATGATGTGTAATGAATCATAGAGGGTTGTAGAAGCTTCTAGAGCTATTGTTCATGTTTCTAGGCCTCTAGTTGGTAGAGATATGCCATGTGGTAGTATTGGCCCACCCCCTTAAGGAGGAGAGTTTCTTAATAACTTGTTCAATGAGTGTCCAAATGATATGCCGTGATGTATGTAGCATAAACAGATGTAGTAGAAGAGTTTGCAGCAATCGTTGAGTAGTATTGCTTCTGTTGTTGGTGTGATAAGCCAAGATATGTATGGTGACTTGTAGGTTTGAGGAGGAGATTTCTAAGTTTGCTCTTGAGTTTGATAGCAAACTGAGTGCAACGAATGTCAGTATGACATACTGCAAATGGCTGGACTACAAACGAGAGAGGTATGGATTGGATTCAGCATTTTGAGAAGCACACAAAGCTCTGGAGTGTTATGTTACGGCTACAGTAACATGATGTCATGGTTACAGGGCCAGGGCCTAGTAACGTGACGTGTGAGTCACAGTGGGAAGCGGGGTAGGCTGCCATGTAACGGGGCTAATGGATTGTTGCAGAAACTAGTGGATATTGGAAAAGTTGAGCTATCCACGAACTATCCTGAATATCTAGCTATCCGCCAACTATCCAGATTACCCATGAGGCACGACGCCACTATATAAGTAGATAGTATTTCCTTAGATAGGAGCTTCGTGCTCAACTCAATATAGTATTCTTTACAATACTGTAACGTGTTACTTGGAAAGCCTTTGTGTCTAATCCCCTGCCTCCTCTGTCAAGTCAACCTTACGCAAGAAACCTCTGTGTCTTCTATTGTTTAGAAGTCAGCGTTACAGCTGGTGGTTATCGCTTGTTAGTCCTTGATGGTCATGAGAGCCATGTCATACTGACATTCGTTGCACTCAGTTTGCTATCAAACTCAAGAGCAAACTTAGAAATCTCCTCCTCAAACCTACAAGTCACCATACATATCTTGGCTTATCACACCAACAACAGAAGCAATACTACTCAACGATTGCTGCAAACTCTTCTACTAC